ACTATCCATTTATATTGAGTGAATATGCAGATGTATTGAAAAGATTGGAATTAAATGTGGCTGATATTTTGAAAGAATTCAGAAGTTCATCAATTCTGCTTCCTCACTTATTGACTATGCTGAATGTGTTGCTGAAAAAGGATATGCAGAGTCTAGTTTGGGAGAGGTTATTAGAAGAATACAGCGAATATCCATTTGTAACTCCAGTTGAAGTAACTCAAGAAGACTTTGAGGCAGCCATTGAAATGTTGTTTGAAAAAGATTGGTATGACACATATTGGAAGTCAATTGAAAATAAAGTGAAAGAACGATCTGAGGCATGTGTTGAGCTAAAAAGGAAATTGGTACGTAATTATTACTCCACTATTCAGCCAAATGAGATTGTATTGAGAGTTCCATTGATTTTGGAGGCAGTTGATAATCTGAATGGATTAAACAAATACAGCTATTTAGAAGTATCTCAAGTTGATGTTTGGTGGAAATGTGATCTTCCTTCTCGTGTTGAACCAGGAACTACTATTTCGAGTGAAATGCTAATAATGGAACAATCGCTTCTGCATCCAAATGATAATCTTCATAGTTCTCTTTTGGAAGTAATGTGGACACCCGAATGTCCAATGAAAATCCATGATAAACTGGCCATAATTTGTCCACGCAAACGAACACTCTTAGGAAATGTTGTATTAGACATATTGAAAGTAGATATTTTGCGACTATCTCTGGAGAAAGTGATAAGACAAGTACAAGATATTGATGATCTTGTATCAAAAGTAATAGCCACTGCTCAAGCGGAATGCAAAGTGGAATTAGATGAGCTTCAAAAAGCGTGGGAAGAATCAAATGCCAAAATGAAGGAATGTGAAGCAAAATATCAACAAAAATATGAAGAAGTTGTCCAGAAGAGACAAGAATTGATTGACAAATATACAAAAATAGCAGAAGAAAGAACTAAAAAGAGTGGATTTGAAAAGGATTATGAAACAAAAAACAAGAATACAATAGGAATGTTCACTTATATGTATGCAGTGAATAACTTGAAGGAATATGATTTTATGCCTTATTTGGCTTATAGTAATGAACAAGAAAAGCAAGCAATCAAGTACAATCTTATCTATGAGTATCATCCATTTGATTTCCAAATGATATTCATTTCGAAGCAAGCAAAATTCCTACTGAAAAACAAAGTTGCAACAGTTAAGTTATCAGCCCCAGAAAATATGTATTCATATTTACAATCAAATGCCTTTCACATTACCAATGATGTGAAATCCTATGGTGTGCCTTTGTCAACTGGATATTTGCTAGTTTTGCCATTAGCACCATTCAAATGGACTGTAGAAATTCAAATTGATGGAAAAGTCAAAAAGTTAAAGAAGAATAATATTTGTATGGTTTATTTTTCTAATACTAGAGGCATGCTAGATTACTATGTTTATGAAAAGAGAGGCACCTTTAGTAGGCAAAATGAGATGATATGTGATTCGGATATGTATTTATTACTAAATCTCTTGAAATGCATGGTATATATAAGAGATCAGTTTAACTTGAAATACATTATTCCTGTTAGTCAAGATCAGTTGCTTGAATATGATTATAAAAACAGCAATCATGCCAATAAGTATTATTCTTCATCTATTTATTGTTCACGTCAAAAGAATACATTTTGTATATTTGAATCAACATATTCAACTCGATTCTATTATTCTGTAAATTGTAGTGAAATACACAGCAATCAAGATATTATCTCTGCTGATAGAATCTCATTTGATAAGGTCAAAATTGGTTGGACTGTAAACGACTACCTTAGTATAGGTAATGATATTGGTTCTATTACCAGTATTGAAAACACTTCCTACAATGATGTATCAGAGTTTAAAAAGGCTTATAATGAAATGAATAGTATCAAAGGAACAGTAAATAGTGCCTCCAGTGAGGCGAAAGAAAAGAAAAGAGTGGTGATTATGAAACAACAAGAATATGATTCTTTTCCGAATTATTTTTTCCCTGGTAACCCGAGTGCTAAATCTTTATACACGATTGGCTCTACATTGAATGATGTGATTGTCGTGTTGTATGATGGAAAGAATGCTTCGATTGGTCTTCCTGTTGATAATACATATTATCTTCCAGTGAGTTATGAAAGAGAAGATGGAAACCAGATTACCCTACCTTACTTATCTTCAAGCAATGAAGTCGAATTAGAATTGAGTAGTGAACAATGTGATGTATCGAAAGGTTCTAATAGTTTTGTACTATTGATGAAAGACAATACAATTGGACAGAAAAGAGTGGAATTGACTGCAACTGTGTATTTGAAAGAAGGGAGAAATGCATTAGCGACAGAGAAAGTGTATCTGAGTTATGAACGAAAGGCTATGCCTGACCATATTATTACTACAGTACCATGTTGTTTCACTGTATATTCTTGGGATCGTAAGTCAGTTTTATTTCCATGCTCTTTTCCACTTGATGTGAGTGTTGTTGTGGATGGAATTAACCAATCTTATCATATCACCAGATCTAATTGGACGCAGATTTTGTCAAATCCTATTGTCGAAGTTGCTTATTATTCCTATAATAATAGTACATATCAACAATTAGAATATAGCACTTGCTTTACTTGGAGTAAGAAAGGACTATCGTTTTTTGAAAAAGAGTCAATGAGACCCAACATGATTAAAGTAACCCTTAAAAAGGCATTGAATCCTACAACATACATAACCAATTTGGAATCAAAGCAATTAAGTCAATTCTTATCTGCTTTTATTAATCTCTCTTTAGTTATCATTTCCGCTAACAAGCAAAATAAAGAAAAGATTGTATCTACATTAAACGGTTGTATCAATTCCACGATTCTTCCATCCATACGGAATGCTGCTGAATCTGTTTTGAAGTCTGTATCATATCAAAAATCAGCATTACAGTGGAATCTATTGGTAACCGCTACGAAAAATACTGAAGCAGTTATGGATTATGATAATTACTTGAATGATAAAAATAAGACTAAAAGTGCAGTATACAAGGAGCAACTGGAGAATGATGTTGAGGATTTGGCGAAATCAACAAATTCGAAAGTGGAATACGGTGAAATAGGCGATGCAGTGATAGGTGATATTCAAAATAGAGCACAGGCAATCGAATCAAATGAAGGTCATATACATTATCAAGGGCAAAGAGAAGAAAACGCTGAAATAAAAGAAAAGAACGATAATAAGGATGTTGAAAAGTATAAACCTATTGACTATAAGGAATTCTTGGATATAATGAACAAAATGAGCATGGACGAGATGTTTGAGTCGGTTTACAATCGTCGAATGATAAAGAAGTATATCAAGCCACTCAGTACATCAAGTACATTAACTCAAGAAAAACTAGAAAACAAACGAAACGAAATAGATCTTAAAGTTGTTCAAGCTATCATGAGTAGATCTGTGACTATTATTGAATCGATGAAGCAAATGGATTGTATGAACAGAAAGCCTCACTCCACAGTCAATATCATTATCGATACGAATTGTAGTTTGAGGAAAAATAAGTTACGAATGCGAACAATCATTTCGTGTATTTTGGTAACAGTAATGAGAGAGCTTGGAATACCGTACAATTTGTATGTCTTTTGTGGAAGATATAAAGGTGTTTATATTCCTATGGAAGATCGATCGATTCGTGAAATCATTTCCTTTTTGTTTGATATGGAAGAAGTGGTAAAAATGCCTTCAACTCCTTTGGACCTATTGACAGTTAAAGGTCATTTCAAGAATACAGATCTAGTGGTGATAATAAGTGATGGATTCAGCGAGCAATTGATGTCTCAGGATGATGAAGTTAGAAATATGTTTGGAGTATATTCCAAATTCTTTTTGTTGTGTGTTAAGGGAAAGAATAACGAAGCATTGAATCCAACAAATCAGTCTTTATTGGAGAATGCACTAAAGGTTAACTTCCATGACAATATGATTGTTATTGAAAAGAAAGTAGATATTGTCAATCTAACAAACCAAAGATGGTTAGATGTGTTTTATGATTCAGATATAGCTAAATCAAATGAAGCGATGAATACTTTCTATTCACAGAACTATGCTCTTGATCTTTATGATAACTTGAAAGTTGAATTCAAAGTGAACAAATCATTGGTTTCTATCAACACAATATCAAGCACAAAATCAGCAAAAATGGTGGATATATCAGACGAGAATCTTTTGGTTAGTCCTAAGTCCATAAGTGAAACTACTGTATTGACAAAGTTGAATGGTGTAATTCAAGGTGAAAATCTCTTTGATGCGATGAGCATTTCCTTATTCGTTCCGAATAAGTCGACAGCCTTTGTTGCATCCACTTCAGGAACATCGATTCATATGGCAAACTACATCAAATATGTGGTTAACAAGACTGGAGATGGCAAGTTTTTCAAGAAGCTTGGAAGTGAAAAGATTCGGAGTTACAATGCAAGTATTGTTGTCGATTGTTCTTCGATAGCATTCAGTGAAACAAATCGAGTTCATTCATTGATTACAATCTTCACAATGCTTCGAAATCTGAGTAATATGCAACTGCCTTGTATTGATTTGTGGGTGGCTTCTAGAGACATTACTCGTGTGGCCACAGGCATTTCATCGATGGATTTATGGGAAAGCAATATTGTGGCTGCATTGTATCAATCATTATTGTCTCCTTGTCAAAATACTTGTTTGCCTGATTGTATTCGTTATGCTTGTAGCACCTGCAATGCTCGATCATTCCAATCTATAATGATGGTGTTAACAAATGGTGTTTTGTGTGATGAATCCAGAGCAGAAATCAAATCGATTGTGAGTGGAATCGAAATGACTTATCTCGGAATTGGAATTGGTTTGTATTTGTGTGGATTTGAAGATTTGTTCCCCACAATGATTTGGAATTCGAATCCAAATCAGTTGTCCGAAACGTTGTTGAATTTAACCAACGCATCAATGAATGGAAATCAGAATGCAGTGCCAGAAAAGAATATCGATGGAACGATGATGAATAATACTTTTGGCAAAACATATGCTGAAACAACGCAAAGAATATGCAATATTCCTAGTATTTATGAAACTACATTGAGCAGTGTTCGACTTAACGATATAACAAATAAAGAGAATAAATTCAAACAGATTGGCGATATCAACGACAGTAAATATGATTTGGGAGTGGATGGAGCGTTCGGTCATTATTCGATTTTGTTTATTATTCTTTATTTATGTAGGGGAGAAACAGATGATGATGGCAAAGTGATTGATGAATTTATTACTGATGAAGTATTGAGAAATGGAAAGGAAGTGAATGGAGAAAGATTCTCACCAATTGCTAAATTAGGGCCACGGGTTGTAAACGGAATAGCAAAAGGAAAAGGATTTAACATTCGTTATGCTTATGATTACAAAACTGCAATTGAGGAATTGTCAAGTGGCAGATATCGAATGACATATATTACTTGTTCTCCTGGAGATGGAATCATGGCAAAAGAGTGTGATAAGGATGTGGATCAATATGTATATAATTTTGTGAGTTGTGTACATGAATTCAACATGAGAGGAGGCGGTGTATTCTGGTTCTTGGAGAACTATCCTTACACTTATGAAGCTGATCTGTACTTTAAGACATTCTATGGATTTGAAGCAGTTGGGGACAAAGACAAAAACATCAAAGGAGGTAAAGTAATGAAACGAGTGAACAGTGAAACACCAAAAGCAGGTCAGTTCATTACCATTGGAGGAAAAGCAACAGATCTTTTCAATTTATCTCACTTAGATTTTGGAATTGTGAGCATTTTTGAAGGAAGAACGCTGTGTACGTTGAACGAAAAGAAACTAATAGATAAAGGATTCCGTGTATTTGCAAGAGAAAGTGAAGGAAATGCTACGATTATGGTGAAAGAAAAGAGGGCTGAAGGCAAGGAAGGTCGAATCATAATTGATACCGCTGCCTCCAAACTGTTTTTGGAGTTTACCGAAGATGGAACAGCGCGATGGATCAGCAATGCTGCGGTTTGGTTGTGTAACACAGAGCAATTTGAAGCAGATCGATTCTTGGATCCTAGTGTGACTTCTGGTATTAAAATGGACGGAATAAGACTGCCTGGATTAAGACCAATGGAGAAACGAGTATTTGTGAGTAATAGGCCGCGTCAGACAAATTTCTGCATGAGTATTGTAATGGACACAACAGGATCGATGTATACCTATTTAGAAGAAACCAAAAAGAACATTGTCCAGATTCTTGATACCCTAAAGCAAGTAAGTAAAGACCATAATCTTCCTGAAGGAGGAATTGTTGCACAGGTCGTACAGTACAAAGATTATGCAGATACAATGTATGGTGAAACTGCTGAGTATATCACGAATGATATTAGCAGATTGAAAAACAAATTGGAGTCATTTGAAGTGGATGGTGGAAATGCTGGAATGGATTGCGATTATGGGTGGTGCGAGGATGTTCAAGGAGGATTGATACGAGCTTTGGAGCAGATGAAGAAACCTCCATACAATACATATAATCACTTGATTCTAATAGTTGGAGATTATCCCAATCATGGAGATCATCCTGATTGTGGAATCACTCATACTTTAAAAGGTGAGAGTATTGATGGGCTTTGGAATAACATTTATCGAGATATTCGGTCTTTTTCCAGTATCAGAGTGATGTTTATGCCAACTGGTGATGCAACAATTACATATACGATGGAACGGATGCAATCAATGCTAACCTCCAAAATAGTGGATAGTACTATCATAACTTCCGAGACTAACTATGTGGAAGTTATTAAGCAAACTGCTGTTAACGAGTACAAGCGGATTATTGGTATTTCTTGAGATATATCTGTTTGTTGAACCATTATTTTTCAATAGGATATTTCTTTACATGAGAGGTAACAGGAAGTTCTATTAATTGTGAAATACTGAAATTGAAAATAATCCGTCGCAATCAGCATGCATGATACGAATGTGCATAATGAATTCAAAGTACTTATATCTTTGGAAATGTGTTAAACAAGGATATATTGTAGTCTCAGGATATGGACAATAAAAAGAGATAACAATAGTAAATTTGTATGCATACTACATTTTTAAAATGATGACTTGAACTTATAGATATAGCTATACTTAATCTTTATAGTACTAAAAAGTATGTTTAGTACCCATTATTTAGTCTTCACATATTGAAATATGAAGATCATAATCCATCGTAATCTTTTTTTATATATGGAATGAGTGGCTTAAACGTGTTATTTGCAATGAGAAAACAATATGATTATATAATTGCAGGAGACTATTGTGATGTCGGTTTACTAATATCGAAAACTCAAACACTTATAGTTCGGCAGTTGCAACGGCTAAAATGGACAATTAAATTAGTTTCACATAGTTATATAATTATGTCCACCATGTGATATTCATTGATGTATCAAATTAGCTGACATTGTTTCTTGGGCATTATGTTTCACTAAGGTTTTTGATGCTCCAAATCATATGAATTCAGCTCATTCATGTTTCTATTCGCACCACTAGTGATTAATTGCTCAATTCGCTTTTGCTGTCAGGGAGTGTAATGCAATATCTCTGGTGGAAACCTTGATCTATGGAATATATGCAAAGAACATATACAGCTAGCAAATGAAGCTGAGTTCAGGCAAAAAAACAAAAGCTGAACACATATATTGATATATAAGAAAGATAATTTACAATATAAATCATTGAATTGGAATTCTTTTTTGATAGTGTTTGATTTCAAGAAATCAAATGAATAACATGGTTGTCTGCTATATCAATATAAGCTATAGTATTATTGTAACTGTGATATACAAAAATGATTCCTATTTCACCGAGTTACAGTAATAAACATTCTGAAGCTTCAGATAAATAATGAAAATGGTTTTCATACGATAGATACTAAGAATGATCATTATTGACTAGTCATATAGAAATTATGGATTGAAATAATGTATAGTATGATATACTACACACTTTAATAGTAAGTTGCTAGTATCGAATAATTCTTTGCTGGACTCGTTTATCATGCGTTAGTTTCTATAGTATTAGTATTCACAAAACGATAAGTAACTGATATATTATTAGGCTCATATGTCACAGCGATCAGAGTGATTACGTACACTCCCCTTTTGTGTTCTCCACTATTATTAGATATTGTTCCTTTGCACGTTTTGGTCATATTTCTATTCATATCATAATAGTAAAATCAAGAATATATATATATATTTTAGTAATGAGTTCAATCCTGGGTGGCTAGATTCTCAAAGTCGGTATTTTTTTGTTTTTCTCATTTTCTTGGTTCACGTATGGAAAAGATAATCAATTTAGTCAATTTTGCTATTGGAAATTTTCGTTATGATAGTTACGCTATTGAAATGGCACAGGCAACAGTAAATGAAGAAATGAAACCAGATGGCTGGATTTCACTCATATTGAATAGTAGTGAATGTGCAGTATTGAAATTCGATAATGGAGCATTTATGAATCAAGGATTTGTCCTCAATGAGCAGAAAGTGTTGAAAGTGTTTGGAAATCATCAAATTGGTGATATTTCATATAATGAAGAATCCATTGGAGAAGGAATCGTGGATTTGGATCATGGAAGTCGATTTGAAGGATTGATATTGATAGAAAAAGAAAAAGCAGGTAAAATTGGAATTCCATTTGGATATGGTGAAATGTATGATGATGATGGAATATTGGTGTACAAGGGCATAATGATCAATTGGAAACGATTTGGGTATGGAACGAGTTATCATAATAATGGTTTGATTGAATATGAAGGATATTGGTGTGATGATAATCGATTTGGAAGAGGAAAAGTGTATGATCGATATGGTAAATTAGTGAATGAATGTAACTGGTATAATGGAGTTAGAAGCGAAACCGATTATTGCGGAAATGGTTCAGAACCACTAAATATTGGAATGAAAAATTTGAAACTGACTGACAAATGTGTATTGGTTGATTGGAATGTTTCATTGTTGTATAATTTGGAATCAATCGAAATCGGCAATGAATGTTTTGAATCAGTGCAAACATTCAAAATCGATGGATTGAATCGATTGAAAACTATCAAAATCGGAAACAAGTCATTTACTCAGAAAAAGAATGACTTTGGAAAAGAAAATCCGAAATCATTCCACATATTGAATTGTGAATCATTGGAATCCATTCAAATTGGTGAATATAGTTTCAGTGATTATGCTGGAGACTTCGAATTGAAGAATTGTCCACAATTACAATCCATTCAAATTGGTAATATTGGTTCTAGTTCATTAAACTTCTTTCTAAGTTCGTTTGTGATTCGAGGTATTGATATCATGCTTTATAGTTAAATGACTAGATTTACCATCATTATTATCTATTGAACTTGGTGATTATGCCTTTTGTCGTTCATTATCAACAATAATTGAAAGTATTGCATGAATTCGAAGGAAATGATGGATGTAGATCTTCCATCACTACAATCTATTAGACTCGGGTTGTATGCGCTTCCAGGAAGAGACAATGATTCTTGTTCACTGATCATGCGAAGTATGAATGAAATGAATCGAAATGATTGAACAACTAGATCTTCCAAATCTGACATCCATCGATTGCGGAGGAGGTAGTTTCCGGTTTCCCCGTTCAGCGAGATTGGAAAGTGGGACTAATACTGAATTTTAATGTCTTAGATATACCAAATCTTCAAAAGGTTAGAATAGCCGATTCGTTTCGGTTTGTAATTCACCCCATAATATTGAGTATAACTAGTTTCCGATTGAGTATTAGATGTTTCTGAATTACTATTTCCAAGAATATACCATGAAGACATTATTCGATCTATCGATCTTCCAGTTGCCAATATTATCTTGCCCAGGTGGACATGCAATGACTCCAATTATACGATATTTGATTTCTCTCGATTTGCTATGGTCAAATCAATCGATATCAGCGATGATTGTTTTGGATCAGTGCAAACGTTCAAAATCGATGGATTGGATCGATTGAAAACTATCAAAATCGGAATTAATTCGTTTACTCAGAAAAAGAACAGTAGTGGGAATGATGAATCGAAGTCATTCCACATATTGAATTGTGAATCATTGGAATCCATTCAAATTGGTGAATACAGTTTCAGTGATTTTGGAGGAGACTTTGAATTGAAGAATTGTCCACAATTGAAATCCATTCAAATTGGCACAATTGGAAGTGCGTCGTTTAATTTTCGTTATTGTTCGTTTGTGATTCGAGGTTTTGAGCTGATATTGAATATGGATAAAGATTAGATCTTCCAAATTTACAGTCCATTACTTTGGGAGAATGGACATTTAAGGAACCTACATCAACTATTATCGAAAGTAAATGTGCTTTTGAGTGGTATGATTGAAATAGATCTTCCATCATTACAATCCATTCGACTCGGCAAGACTTCCTTACGTGGGAGGAGAGAGAGTTTAGCTTGTTCACTGATCATGCGAAGTAATGAATAAAAGGAAATGATATGATTGAACATAGATCTTCCTAAGCTCACATCCATCCATTCGAAAGGAAGAAGCTTGAAATACCCTCTGCACGTGACAATGGAAAGTAGTTTACATATGAATATGAATATGGATTGTATATAGACATCCCAAATCTTCAAAATGTGAAACTTCCATGGTCTTTCGAGAGAGTTCAATCGATATCAATTTCGAGTATTTTGTGATGAATTTGTTTTGTGTCATAGATGTTTCTCCTCTTCTTGCTAATCATGTTGAAATAAGCACAGATAGTGATTCTTTGGATTGATACTTTTGTACTATTTCTTCAGTAATGACTGATCATGTAAGAACATGGTAATAGATTGACTGGTTATTTGTTTTATTTACAACCATTTATCGCAGTTTGTTTATTTATCACCTAAAGCTTAATTTTGATTAGATAATGATTCATCATATTACAAACTGTACTTTCTTTATCTTGGTAAATCTAATATCTCAGGTGCTATTAAGGCAATTTTCATCATACAGTAGTGGTGTATATACATGAAATGAATCATAATTACTTGATGATTCGGGATGTTTAGAATTATTATGGTGGCAAATATCCCTGTTATTTTCACGTATATTTTTCTTTACTGATTGATTGGAATCGATATCCTTTGATTCCTAATAGTGTTCATATAATCAACATTTGAAACACAAAATATGGATTATGAAAGAGTAGACAAGAGTAGTCATGAGAGCTATACATCAATATCTGTCTCTATGGAAGGTTTGCGAATCATATAAAAATGATGCTATATCAGGAATTGACTTAAGAGCGTAAGAGAAAAAAAGAATCCTCATTTAGTGCTATTGTTTCCATCCTTCTATCATACCATTCTAACACCGCATAGATTGATACATCAAACAAAGAAAATGACTATTCCAATATCTCAAGATCATCTCCATGATTTTTAATCCTCAACTTGTTGTGTTTCTTCAGTTTCTTCAGTTTCTTCAATTCATCCTCATCCAGCATCTGAATCGACAATTTGTTGTTTACAATCGACAAAGAGAGTTTGTTCATATCCGCAAAATTACCGACATCATCATCTCGCTCAAATTGATCGAGTGTAAGCTTGTATCCCTTTGGTCGTCTTCTCTCCATTTCTTCCGCTGTCGGCTCTCCTTTTACTGGAGCATGAGGCACAATTTTAGGATCAACTCCGTATTTCTGGCGATTGAGAGCAATATCATATACAGCTAGCTTTCCAGGATACTAATTAGTCAAGACCCCCAATTACTAATCATACGAGACAATTTCTCATGTATCCAGGGCGCACAGTTACAACATCACCCTTTTTCCCCAAATTCCATACATCTTGAATCAGTATAATTGGAATGGCTTTTCTATGAATAAGAATTTGTCCAAATACTCACGATACGGATCGAGATAAGATACACGCTTTCTGAATAGTGCTTGCTGCTCTAAATGTCAGAGTACTCCATCTACTCATACCGGAATGCTTGCATCTTGATTTGTAAAAGAAAAGGTGGTTTGCCAAAACAAGCGCTATTTTTGGAATATGGATGGTTTGTTATTATGATACTCTCAACCAAATGTACACACGTTTTCCATCACATTACGATAACTTTACTTTTCGTTTTTCATAGTTGGGTTCATACCCGAGTCACCTTGGTTCTTATGTCATCATCTTCATCTGAACAGGTCGAAAATCGACTATCGTTTGAAAAATTGTCACCATTTGGTCAATCATTGGCTGTGGGAACGTTTATCGCTTTCACTTACCCTGTAGATTAGCGTCGTCATTTTGTTGTCAACACTTCCCTTTATTGGGTGGATCGGTATTCCTACTTGGATAATGGTTTCCTTCTCAAGTTGTATTGGCTTTTACCTTATGCAAACTGTAAAAGTGGCAGAACGAAAAGATTCTGCTCCCAAAATGCAACCCTTTCTTGTTTCCCCTAATAGCGTAGAGATTCTCCCCAAACTCCCCCGGCTCAAGAAAAAAAGACTGTCTATTCTATCACCGAAATGAAAAGTCTCAGAGAGAAGTCAAGTCCTTCATTCCCCTTTTTCGTCTACTCTATCATCCATCGTCGCTCTGTTTCTCGCTCTGCCACACCAGGAATCTATCGTTCTCGTGACAGCAGCCTTGGCAACTCTCGTCACGTCAGTTCTCGCTCCTCCTCTCCAATCGTCTTCTATACGTCCGGCGAGCCTCGTCCGAGCTCCCGTTCGTGTACTCCCACGATTCGCCGCTCGCTGGACGCAGCACTAGACAGCGAGCAGATCTTGAGTCAATTGCGCCTAGCCGAGGAGCGAATGGACTTCTACCCGGGCGATCCGTCGACGCTGCCGCAGGGCGACGTGCTGGGCCGCGTGCAGTGGATCCAGAAGAACAACGGCCGCATCAGGACAATCGGGAAGGTGCAGTCGACACGCGATTTGTTCTTCCATTTCAACGATGTGGAGCTGGAGGACGGCGAGCAGCTGGAGGTGGGGGATCGCGTTCTGTTTCGCGTTTCGGTGTATCGAAATTTGGTGTGTGCGACGCACATTCGGAAGATTAAGGGAGGACGGTCGAAGTCGTCCGTAAATGTGCCGGTGCAGAGGGAAAAGAATAATGATATATAATCGGAAGTTGTTTGTTGAGAGGAAATAATGAGAATATGAGGGGGGAAGAATAGAGTGTTGCGTGGAACTGTAGGTAGATCTTCGCTTTGTAAAGACATTATGGACAGTGAATACCATTTTTTCGTGGTAAGGTTTGGATTCTCTATCAATTCGTCTCGTTGAGACAGAAAATGAGTTACATTACAAGCGAAAATAAAACGATAGGTTTGAAATTAAAATATAAAAAGAGTCGTGTGCAACTTGTCAAAGTCCTTATTCTTTTTGGATTCTTTACAGATGGTAGGATTTGGAGTGCTCTGAAGGTACTTATTCTGTAGCCTGCTATAGGATCAAGTCTAAACAATGAAACGTGCGAAGTCTGCTGCGGTTGCGCAATGCTGCCTTTTCGGACGTCACTTCGAGGGCCTGCCACGCAGCCAACTGATGGTAGAGGCAAAGTTCAGTATCTGATCTTCTTAGCGAATTATAAGGATATCGTGGAAGAAGCATTGGATCTTTTTAGAGGGAATGTCTTCTTTGCAAACTTTGAAGTGAAAGGTCCAGCGGATCGCTTGTTGGTAGTTCTTATCCTATACATTAGCCGTGTCGGTTTTGATTATTGGAACTGATTGTTAGTGCCTCAAAGACATAGAAAAGTGCAGTTCAGCTGCTGAGGCCAATCGAGTGTTGTACGTGACCAATGCGAAAAAGATGATAACGCCGGGTTCTCCTGGATACTCATTGAATCGGATCTTATTTGCCCCAAAAAATGACCAAGAAAAGCGTAATGGGAAATGTCGGTTTGTGAGTGTTAGAAATGTATCATGACTATATGGATCAGATCCGCGTAGAGTTGTCTCGCCGATTAGTGGATCGAGTGTAAGTGGAATGGACGTTTTTGGGATTGTAGGTTTAAGGATGGTGAGTGGAGTAAGAAGTGGTGGATGACGTTTTTGAAGCGCGATTTTATGAACTTGGAAATCTCTCTGCTTTGTATTGTTTGTTGTATCGAAATGAATTGTGGGAAGATGAGAAATGTACTGTGTGTGTGTGTGTGTAAATATCTGAGATATGGTAGTAGATGGGTATTTATATTAATGTGCATTATTCTTTCGTTTGCGGAAATAAGACAAGAACTCATTGGTGTTTTATTCTAGCGTGTAATTTTGATTTTAAAATTGTACAACAACTACTATTATTCTATTTTTGTAAAATCACCACCAGTCGTTTTGGAAAAAAGAAATAGTAGTAAACTACCTATTTTGGCTATATCGGGATTTTCATTTTAAAAAAGGCTTTTACTCTAAAATTCAAAATTTAAATCAATTCTATTTCTTCATTTTTCAACTGGATCATTTCGCTATTTAAAAGCCTTTATTATTATTATTATTATTATTATTCTCACCAATCTATGATCCATCAGTACGTTTTTCGTTCATTACTATCGCTCCCCCACAACACACAACACACAACACACAATTCGTCTGCAACAAACACAGCATTACACCAACTTCGAACAAAGGTTCAGTTTACAATAGCGACACAGATACTTCAGCATGCTTTCCACATCCTCCACGCGATACCCCGTCATTCTCTCCAGCTCCTCATCCCACATTCTACGCCTCATTCCCGGTCCTCTCCCTCACCGCACTCCCAGCATCCGCCGCGCCGCAGCGATCACTCCCGCGGCCAGAAGCGACGGCCGCGTCAGGATGGTCGGGTACCACAGCAGAAGGCTTTGGAGCGAGTCGAGCGCGAGGGTCTGCAGCGCGTTGAACTGGCTGCCCAGCGAGGTTCGAAGGACGGACAGCAGCAGATTCAGGAAGTGCGCTGCCGTGTTGCAGTGGAGTTCCCATTGGAGCACGCTCAGGACACGTAGCTCCCAGTGCGCCAGCGATTTGGCGCTCTTGAATTCGTTTGGAATAAAATGGAGAAGATTAGAATAGGAAGGAATCTTGGAGCTTCGCTCCTCGTACTTTGCAGCTAAGATTACACATACTACAGAAATGGCGTTTAGGTCGCTAGGACCAACGTCGAGGGCGCTGCAAACACGACAAAAGTATCTCATTATGAGAGAGAGAGGAAAAAGGATACTGAAGGGCTACCATGCACGTGGAAATGGAGTAAGAGAAATATAAACACATTTCACAAATGTTTGCCGCGACCGCCCGATAATAACGTACAAACAAACAATGGGGAGAAAACGAACAATCTAGGGATTACCCTGAGTGCAAAACACCCGACATTGACGTTCATGTTGCCGCATAAACACTAATAGATCTATTAGCTGGTCTGCGCTAGAATCGTCAATTACACTCTGCACTTCATCCAACAAACTTTGACAACTACGTTTCTAGACGACACCAGGCTTAAGGTGTCGGCTGACAAAAGATCGTCAGAAGAATCGCTCATGAATGAAACAATAATACCAAACTAAGTAAAATAAAAACTGGAAAAAAATCTCAAAAGGTAAGACAGGTGACTAAAAAAATTGTGTGTAAACAAACAAGGCACTGGAACTCTCTCTCCTCACAGATCTGGTTCACATAATCCATAAGCCACAAAAAACTTTTACTATTGTGTCACACCCACACACGACATCTTACTTATTTCCTCCCTTCAGTTCATTAATGCACCTCTCCCACAGCTCCTCGTTCGCCACTGCAATGTCGCACAGTGCGTTCACCTCCCAACACACGAGGGATAACAGCAATCGCCAGTCGACGTCTGTCACGATCTCCGCCGTTTTCCTATGAGTCAAACGCCCAAACGAAAGCAACGAGAGCGTCCGGATGAGCTTATGTTGTTTGTCTACGGCTCACGCCTTTCCGATGTGACTACAGTGTTCGATTTTTTCTGCAAAGTTGTCGGATGGTGCGGCGACGCTCACAGCGGGCATCTCCAGATCCACGTGATCAAAACAGGAGCGCAAAACCTCGTCAAAATTGCTGACGGAGCATCGGAGAAACTCCTTCTCCACCGACTTCCACACATCGCCCACGGCATACTGGATGTCCGCGAAAAGCTGGATGTACCCGCGTGAGAGGAGCAAGCAGCACAAGTGCGTGAGAATGGAATCGATTGCAAAGCGCGGAGCGACGGGATGATGATCTTCGAAATGGCGGTGTTCTTCCATGAGTACAAATCGATATACATCGCCTAGCGCGAAGGTCTCGCCCCGCACCACCCGCAAAAGCAGCAATTCCAGACCGGCCTTGTGCGCCACGCATTCAAAACCGTGGGATCCCTCCTCGTTCCAAAGAAACGCAAACGACGGCAGCAGAAAGCGCAGATGCGACGGCGTTTGCCGCGTCACCGCCAAGTAATTGCACCAGCTATACAAGAGCGCGTCGTTGTCCGCGGGGATGGCTGTCTCCGATGCGGAGCACGTGATTCCCTGCAGCACGGAAATCACCACGGTGGCGAAATCGAGATCCCCCGCGGCTAAAAAGGTCCGGAACACAAACACGAGATCGTTCGCGGAATGGAGGGCACGTGGCCAGGTGGTTCGTTCCTGCTTGCGTAGGCAGCGGATTAGGATCTGTGGGAAGAAAGAAAGCGCGGAGAGCGAGGTAAGCGTGGCATGCAGACATGACGCGGATCCGTGATTCAATGCTGCGTGAACGCAAAACTCCAGCGCCTGCGAGAGACCCGGCGGCTTCGACGCGAGGAGAGCGTGGAGGAACGCGGGGACCTGCGCGGGGAAGCGGTCGATGAGCTCGAGGAACGGCGCGGAGGCGACGCAGGCGACTTCGAGGAGCAAATCCCCGCGGTTGTGGTGGAGGAAGAAGGTGTTGCTGAGCGACACGCCGGACCACACGGAGGGCAGCACGCCCAGCGGGACCGCGCGGAACTGGTGCTGCTTGGGGCCGATCCAGGCGCGGTAGATGGGCGGCGAGCGCGCCAGGCGCGGGAACCACGCCTGCGAGTGAGACCGTGGAAACGTGGAAACGTGGAGACGGTGGGAGGCGAAGAAGAGGAGCGCGTGGCGCGCGAAGGCGGGGCGGGAGGAGGGCGCGTGGAGCGAGAAGAGGCAGAGAACGTCGGTGCAGAGCGCGCGGCGGCGGAGCGGACGGAGGTCGACGAGGTCCGCAGAGCGGTCGCGGTTGAGCAGCACGAGCTGAGCGAGGTCCACCGAGCCGGAGGAGGCAGAGGAGGCGGAGGAGAGAGGGGCGGGGTGTGGGTTTTGATCGGGTTTTGATTCGAGTTTGTCGTGGGTGTCGAGTTTGATTTGCATTTCGTTTGCGTTTTCGTTTTCGATTGCGTTTTCATAGTCGATTTCTTCGTTTTCGTTTACGTTTTCGTTGTCGTTGTCGTTGTCGTCATCAGCTCCTTTTTCCACGCCGAATTCCACGGGGGACACGGGCGGCAGCGTGGTGGTGATGGGGAGGAACGCGCGCGGAGCGCTGGAGCCGCGCGGAAGAGCGATCTGCTGGAGCAGATGGAGCGACTTCGCTGCACGTGAGCGAAAAAAGAAGGAAAGAAAACCGGATGCATCGAGACGAAGCACGAAAAGCTCTTGAGAGTCGAGAAGAGGGTCGGATTCCTGGGAGGAGGCGAGGCAGCAGACGAGCGAACTCTGCTGGCGAATGTCAAGGACGCGGAACGAATGCTCGCTCTCGAGGAAGAGTCGCTGATGAACATCCTCCGTGCGAAGATGAGAGAGGTCGAAGAGGCAGAGAAGCACGCTGTTGCTGGCGATTTTGGGCGAAACGGAGATGAGGATCAGCGTGTTGGAGAGCCAGCACGCGCTCGTGATGATCTGATCTTCCTAGAATTCAAAGGAGCGCGAGAAAGCACATCGACGATGCCGCAGGTGATGCGCCACATGTCGAGTTCTTTGATGTACACGCAGAGATCCGTCGCGGAATAGAGAAGAACGCGGTTTCCCTGCTCGCTCGCCGCCATTCCCAGCAAGGGGAAGTTGCAGATGTTCAGGAAGGACGAGGGAATGCTGAACAACGAGCCCGTCACGCCGTCCTCACAGTCGGGCGACGTCATAAAAACGCTGTGCGAATTGAAGGCGACGAACGAGGCGTTTGGACTACGGATTGAGCGGCGTGGGAGGCAAAACTAGCACGAAACGACGTCGTTCGAGCGAAGGAAGGACTGGGCTACGATCTTTTCGACACCGTTGAGTAAACAAACATCCCCCAGGGGCGAAAAGCAGGAGCACTGCGCACAATACGACGCGTCCTTCTCGGTGTACCAGAAAATAGGGCTTTCTTGGAAGTTCCACACGGCGAATCCGCGCGCGCCGTAGCTCACCGCCAGATGATCATTCTCTTCGTTCCAGCTGAGATGCGTCACTTCGGGGACCCAGTTTTCGGGAGGGAAGTAGAGCGTGTCGTAGCGACTGAGCGAGAAATCGCACACTTTCTCGGGGAGAACGGACTCGTTGGTCCAGTGAAAACCGAAAACTGAAACATCCGAGTCCGTTTTCGCGATCGCCAAAATGTGGGAGCGAGTTCCCATCCGCAGGCGGGAAGCGTTCGAAATGTGCAGGTCGAAGCATCCCTCGAAGTAAATTCGCTTCTCGTAGGAGATCCGAAACAGCAAGGTCAACCGACTGTCTAGCACGACGGCCAGCAACTTTAAATAGGGGTCGTAGTCGATAGAGCTCAAGCCGAACACATCCGGCAGAACTTTGGACACTTCAGGCAAAAAGATCATGATGGGAGCGCTGATGGGATATCCGCGAGAAATTCCGCTCCACTCAATTTCCACTAGATTGCCAGCCGCAGTTCCCAAAAGAATGCTGTTGGGAGTCGAACTCACACACAACGGCTCTCCGTACTCGTCAACGTTCCTTTTCGGGAGCGCAGTTAGCTTGCAGCTCGGTAGATAGATTGAAGTGTCGTTCTTGTGATGCTGTTCAAACATGTACTCCTCATACTCGACATCCCACTCTAGCACAATTCCCTCTCCACAGACCACAGCCAATTGGCGACTATTTGATCTCCATACAACAAACACTCGACGAAGTTGCTCAGCACTCGCAGAATCTGATCGTTGCAATGATACTTGATTTAGTAAAATCAATTCAGAGCAAGCTGACCATATTTGAAGGAACGAGGGTGAGGCTACCGCGTAAAGTTTTCCATCCGGACTTAACTCCATGGACACAACGTCAGTGCCCGGTGGAACTCGCAAATGCGTTCCACTTTCAAATGGAATGAGCATAACGCTTAGTTTTCTGCATCTTTTTCTCGCTTATGATTTTTGGAATTCCCGTTTTGGCTGCCTTTTCACTCTTTCACTTCCATCAAACCAAAATGTCGATATCAACGTCAGGAAACGATAACACAAGTGGTGACGTCATCGAGAAGACAATTCTAGCATGTACAAAGCATGATGGTTGTGTAAGGTGTAGCTGTACAAAAGAATATTCACTTGCTGAACTCGGCAAGTCCATCTCGTGGAGAAGCCGTTGTTCATCGCGTGTTGCTCTTCACTCCGTCAATTCGCAAGAACCTGTCGTTTCAGCATCTGGAGGCACTGGAAAAGGAGTACGTTTCTGATAGTGCCCCATTTAAATCAAATGTTTTGTCGATTATATCCAAGTACAATGTACTCGCTGTATACAAGTTCGTAATGAATAGGAAGTGACGCTCGATGTGGTTCCGCATCAGCCCCCCTGCAAAGACATCGTGGATTACTACCTGACGTGCATTTTGGTTTATAAGCTTATTAAGATTACAAAATATGAAGATGTACGGAATTCAGGATGCATGGAGGCTAATCCACAGGCCTACTCGCTCATCAAGGCGATGATCCAGAACTTCATTACCGTAGGCTACATGGACATCCAGAAGGAATACATCGTGACGCGTGTGTGCACCTACCTCATGCTGCTGCACAACCAGGCCTACCCGATGCCGTCCCTGCTCCGCGACCTTCTGTCCTGGTACCGCATCGGCTGCCTCAACAACAACCGCATTCTCTGCGTATTCTGCTTTCTATTCTACTCGCCTCACCCGCAGAGCGCGCTCTACAACTCCATTCTCCGCGTCTACATCACCGACCGCCAGTACCTCACCGCCTCCCACTTCCTCCAGACCGCCAGTTTCCCCGCCCACGTCTCCGACAAGCAGTTTCTCCGATTCTCCTATTACAAAGCCCTGGTTTCCACGGTTCTCCTCAACTACACCGAGGCGGAACACTGTTTATTTTCCATCCACAAGAAGTCGGGCGGCCAGGAGACCGGACCCTTCTTCGAGGAGGTCGCCAAACTCTCCGTGCTTGTTAAGCTTTTAACAGGAGAGAACCCCGAGGTGCCGATCCCCGCGGGAAACCGGCAATTGTCGCCGTATGGAGAGCTGGCCGCGGTGGTGATGCGGGGCGATTTGGACGCGTATCGACGCGTTGTGGAGGCGAGAAATAACGTGTTTGTGAGAGATCGGCTGGAACGAATCGTTGCGAGGTAGGATTCCCGCGGGAATGATCATGGAGATTGCACAATACGGTGATTCGGATTGCGCTGGTGAAGCTGAGCAAGAGCTATAGTCGGATTTCGCTGAGCGAGATCGCGTCGATTTTGCAGCTGGATAGCGCAGAAGAGGCATGTTATACGTGCATGCGAGTAGGGGTAGAGGAGGCACGTAATGGGAAGAATATACGCGATGGAATCATCCAGGGGAGAATTGAAGGCGATTACTTCGTTACAGAGGAAGTTGTAGGGATGATTGAGAGATGTGAAGGTAGGACTGTGCAGAGGTTACGTCGCTGCCGAAGGAGCAGTTCAGCAAGAAAATCGCGTTCTGCTTGAACTTGAGGAAGGAGATAATCAAGAATAGCGTTTGATTTGATTGTTCCAAACAGAATTGTTGATCATCAAGAATCACTGAACGGAATCAGAGAACCATCACTCATTTTTCTCTTATTGTGGGAACGGTGTATCCTTAGATTCGAATGGGAGGATCGAAGTGTAAGTGGTGTGATAATGTGCTGGCAGTGTTCTTTATGGTCAACGGTACTCGTTCACCTAGACACAGAATCCACTGCAAGATGGATCGAGAGAGGTTTACTCTCCACGAAAGCTAGCTTGTGACTTCCTTTCACTATTCTGTAAACCATATTAACCGTTTCTAGAGATCGACTCTCTCCTGAACTTGTATTCTATGAAAAGGTAGGTGGTGTGATGATCATCATGGCGATTCGAAGCGCTTTAAGTCGTCCAAAATGCCTTAAGGTGTCAAACATCAGCCAAAAGATGAGATGAATGATCGATTTGAATACTGGCTAATCGGAAATCGGTTAGCCACCTTCTTGGATTCATCTAACATGTATTCTAGGTAAGCGGTGTGAAGATTGAAAAGATTCGTTCGTATGTATGTATGATTTCAGATCCTGTTTGGTTTGCGATCTGAATCACGAAACCAACATGGCTTCACGATGAAAATGAAGATGGAGTCAAACAACCAGAATCCCATTTGCCTGTAGATTTCCATTCTACCTGGCATAAGTTTGTTCTGGGAGAGAAATGTTGGGTTTTGTTTTAGAATACGAACTGTCTGATATGAAATTGATTGGTCGTGAAGAACGTAACTTACATTTTAGGCTTTAGGCTTTTTCAGTCTCTTGTACAATACATATTTGTAGTATGGTAGGTAGCATATAATTGAATTTTGGCATGTTGGTTGACTCTTGGCACTGTATTGTGCCTGCTTTGCATGTTTAGCCAGGAGATGGGAGACTGGGCCTATTCTCTTTTTAAACGTGCACAAAGAGTAGTGGTTTCATACCAACATTGTTGTTGTTGTTGTTTTGTTGCAATTGTTGGATTTCACCCCACTAATACTTTGTAGTCGTAGAATTTTGAGTTGTATTGTTGTTTGATAAAATAAACAAAGCAGACACTATCATCTGAGTCCAAATCACTAACAGTGTAAGCACTTTCATAAAGGACCGAGTTAATCCATGCATTCACGCTATACTTGACGAAGCAACACACAAATATTACCTGTTATAGGTAGTTCCGTTCGTTTCAACAGAATTACCATCCGGAAGCATCTTTCCGACCAATTCTTCCTTGTTCGTAATCGACTTTGTCAAAATGACAGTTCCCAAGTCTCTGGTTGGTTCCATAAAAAGAAGAGTGAATAAATGAGACAAAAAGAATGCGGGTTGTGAGGCTCGAACTCACGACCTCGGGATTATGAGACCCGCGCTCTTCCAACTGAGCCAAACCCGCCTGTCTATCATCCCCAGACGACTTCATATGAGTACGAGATACGCAGTGTTTTTCACTTTTTCAATGAAATCCACCGAAGATAAACCTGTGCCATTGGAGTACGCAAGGAGGTTTTTTACTCGATTCAATATTCAAGTGAGGACTGTACTAATGGCGATTTCTTTTAGATATTTATAAAGTATATACAGTTTTTGACTCTGTGCATATTTATATTTTGTGTCTTGTCATGCGTTTTGCTGACTTCTGTTACTACTTCAATCATTGTATATGAGTATGTGTATCACAAGCTGATTCCATCGGATTCCAATCCATATCCCATTGCATTTGACTACTCGTATTTTCTCTGTTCAATCAATCAATCAATCCATAGGAACTATTACAAATCATACGATGAGCGAGTGAAGAACAACATCATTCCGATGGCTGATGTGAAATACGCCACACTAATTGACTCACTTCGTGCGACGAAGATGCAGGTAGCCAGTCTGAAAGGGAGTGCACACTAGTATCAAGGTTCTCACATCAGTTTGAATATGGAATACATGCTTCCTTACTCTGCTCCCAACATTTGGACAGGCGTGTATATGATCGACTGTCAAATCTTTAGTTCGAATGGTACGCTTCTGAGAAAGAGCGCTGAGGTTTATCAGAACGGATTCACCTTTATCGTGAAATCGTTCTTAGCGAGCACTGTGTTTTACCCTCTGGCCGCTTTTGGGTTCATTCGCGAGGGGGAAACAAGGGAATTCGAGTGTGTTTCGGATGAGGCTTTTGTTTGTTTTGGATTCGATTGTGAGTTAGAGCTCTTTCCAACAGGCAGATCGCGTGCGATTTACGTTGTACAATCCAAGTGTCATTGTCACCAATGCTTGTTTGAAAGCTGATTTGAAAATGACAGGGTTTCGCTACTATCTTCAACGATATCGGTTCTTCTGTGGGTTTATCTTTGTGTTGTTTTTGGTAGTCTCGGGATGTTTGTTTGATTGTAGTCCTTGTTTTTCATTGAATTGTTTTTCTGTTTGATTGGATGTCTGGCCATCGCCTTCGTGTACTGGAAATCGAATCAAAAGATCAAGCCAATGACCCCGAAAACGAGGAATTTCATGGATAAGAAGGCTATTGCCGCTCCAATTCCGGGTCCAAGTTCTCCATCGAAATCAACTTCCTCCTCGCCCAAAGTACATCCCACAGCCAAATCAACATCGAGTTCCGATTCAAATTCAATTCCAAACTCCAAATCAAAAGCAGAAGCAAAATCAGAGGAGAACAAAAACGAAGAAGTCGAGGAAGCGGAAGAAGCCGAATCTTCAAAAGAAGAGAGGAAAAAACAGCGTGTAGTTGATGATTTTGCAGACAAACTGCTGGCGGATGAAGGTTTACGCAGGAGAAAAACAGAGGAACAATGAACTGGCTGTTTGTTTTAACAATAGTTTATATCACTTTTTATTCTTGAAAATGGAGGAAAAGGATGCTCCTGTCGTCGTCCCTGCCACTGAACCGGCTGTGGAGCAGCCGAAGATTCAGTCTGCAGTCGATGTTAGATTACGTCCCCTTTTTGATTCTATAGGCAGTCCAGCCAGAGGTGCAAGTACCTGTCTATGAGAAGAACGAATTAGATCCCCCTCCGGAACAAAATCAATCTGCGGAAACCCCAACGTCGCCCATGCGACGGGTAGGCGGTCGCGATAAATTCACCGAGAATCCAGAGCCGCATTCACTGATCAAGGTCCTTGGGTATCCCAAAACAGGTAAGCTTTTGTCATATTGTTGAGTCCAGGCGGAAGATTAGGCCGGAATATTCTCCTCTGGGGAAACGAGTTGAAACATTCCTATTTCCCTTTAGTATGTGTTCTGGGTCCTGACTGGATCACGATGCTATGTACCTACATATTTCTGCTGGTTGCTCTCCTTTACGATACTTACCAGTTCAAGTACTTTCCTCAAGCTGAATTCAGCGTAGAAGAGTGATTCAGAACCCCTACATTTACGCAGTTGTTTGCTTTTTGTTTTTTTGCGTGTTCTGGATCTTGATGACCACCACATTATCGAACCAGGGAATCATCTGGAGAGGAATTCCTGCCAAATTCGAATCGCAGCCGCTCACAATTTGCAGAATCTGCGAAGTGGAGCGACCTCGCGGTTCCTGCCATTGTGATGTGTGTCAGGTGTGTTCTCTTGACGTACGAATTGCTAGAAATTGTGAGAACTAGTTGGATCATCACTGTCCGTGGATGGGGAAGTGCATTGCAAAGAATAATCTGAAGTTGTTCAATGTGAGTGTAATGTGCATTTTTGGAAGTATCTTCCTCGCTGGGTTTGCGTCGGTATTGGCAGATGGTTTTATGAAAGAGTTTGTTGTTTGTTCAAGAGAATTTTCCTGGAAATTTCTGATGTTGTTAGACTCTTTTCTCAAAAATGTGTATTACTCACAAAGGAGCTGTTGTCTTGGAAACAGAGCGACTCCTTCTTCGACCCTTCAAGAAGGAAGACGCTGAATACGTGTTCAAGTATGCATCTGATGACGAAACTACCCGCTTTATGCGGTTTCAAACTCACAAATCCATAAAAGATAGCGAGGACATCGTAAACATATGGGTGAACGGAAATTCGGATCCTCATTGCTACAATTGGTGCATCGTCTGCAAGGAATGCGGCGAATGTGTCGGATCGATTGCGATCAATGAGATCGTAGAATACCACAATCAAGGATCGATCGGGTACATCTTGCGGAAAGACCATTGGAACAAGGGGCTTATGAGTGAAGCCTGCAAGAGATTGATTCGATTCTGTTTCGAAGAGCTGAACTTCCAGCGTGTCGAATCCATCCATAGTCAAGAAAACCCTGCTTCGGGGCGTGTGATGGTGAAATCCGGAATGCAATTCGAGGGAACCAAGAAAGAGTATTTCCCAACCGATCACGGCTATGTTGACTGCAACATGTACGCAATCACTCGTTCTCGATTCGAAACGCTTTTCTCTCATTCCTCTGTTTGTAAACAAACACTCCATTCCTGAGCATAACCAAAAGCAACCACTGCCTTGTTATACAAATCTCCCGCCAACTTCCGTCCTTCATAAATTTGCTTTATATCCAATGGCTCGATGTTTTGACCCAGCATCATCAGCATAAACACTCTTCCCTTCAGCAAAGCCCCGTTCTTCGCATCGCCTCCAATAACAACGGTTTGGTACATCTATTGGAATGAGAAATAGTATTCCAGCTCGCTACCTCGGAAAAGAAGCGCACTTGGACTTTGGAAGCAACGAGCCTTCCATTAATGTAAAGATTACTAATTGCTGGATAGGCTCCTTCACCTAAAAATAAAATTTCGGATAGAAGAAGCTACTCATTTCACTAATATCCACATCGGGTTCAAAGGGAGAAAAGACGACCGCAATGTGCGTCCATTGATTTGCACGTACATGAAGAGGGCTAGATAGAGTTTCACAGGGGGAATTGCGCGATCTCCAAATCACATTTATAGTTCTTCGCATGGAACAACAACAACAAATAGCTTACTCACTTGACTTGCTATAATACACACCAAAGCCAATGTTCGAGGAGGTGACGTTACAGGAAATCACTCGATTACCGACAATCATCATGTTGTCTTCCGGTCCTGAAGCACTTGGCTTGAGCCAGAACATAATCTGCATGAGAAAACGAGAAAACAGCTTACACTCAGATAGGGACTATCAAAATGCGTTTTCGTATTAATCGCTCCAAGTCCTCCGAAATGATACCCCGATAAGTCTCTAGCAAGGAGTAGATTACCATTAGCCTACGTTGGCTTATAAGATACCTTCAAACGTTGGCTTCCTAAGCTAGATGACGCGTTCGGAGAGAAAAGAAACTTAGAAAACAACAATCCGAAAAGAACGGCAAGACACACAAAGCTTCCCAAAATGATAAGATGGGCGATGTCTCTATTACCTATTTCGTACAAAATCCATGAAGCATACGAGGAAGCCGAGTAGCCATTTTTCCAAAAATGTGATTTCAATATAAAAACCTCATTTATTTTGTAACAACAAACCAAAAATTAGCTCATTAGTAAAGAGCATACTATGATCGTGGTAACTCCCAACAAGAAGAGGAGCAAGAACCCAATCAGAACAGGAATCGTCAACCACTTGCAATGGGCGCTTAGCGGATGGTACAAAAACGGACAAAGCTGAGGAAACTGTCCCCAAGGGAAAAAGGACAGAGAAAAAGCAACACCGATGCAAATGCCTGCGATATCAACGGCCACCGAATATACATAGAGGAAAAATGCCAGAATAATATCCACCACCAACGACCCTATCAGACAGATCAACGTAAGTGTTAATTTATGTTTTGGGGGTCCGCAGCACATTCGAATAATGTACGCGATGAGCACGTTCATTTGGAGCACTAAGGACCAACTCCGAAACCCATTGACTGTGCTTGAAGGAAAAAGCAGATAGGAAGTGCACAAAATACAGAGCTGTGTGTACAAAAAGGACCCCAAAAGGCGGATCTCCGTGTAGTGAAACTCAGCGAGCAGCAGCAACTCGCACAGAACGTTGAGTGTGATGTAAGACAAACAATCAATGACTCCTTCGTGGGTGAATGGAAATAGGAAGAATGTCACCAGCTTCACTTGGGTAGTGCTCAGTGGGGTAAAACTCCAGTTAAGCATTCCACAAGAGAGGAAGAAGCAGCTTGAAATCCCCACCATGGAGTTGGAGGAGAAGGGCGCCAGTCCCTTCCGAAAGAAGAGAACAGTCATATATACAATAGAAATGGCAGAAATGTATGTGATCGAGTGGAGAAACCAAGAGAGAAAGTGAAAAGAGGGGGACGTTTTGACTTCCTTGCCTTCCAGAGAAAAATTGTTGCTACTTGGCGTATTTTCAGAGGACTAGGCGTAAGAAACCCGCAACCACAGCTAACTAGCTCAGGAATCGTACTGAGGGAATCGGTCAGTACTTGCTACAGTGAGATAGTTAAAACGGATTGTACCTTCATAAAATCACTAGGTTCATCATCAAATTGAATATACATTTGAATGGTCTTCGTCTCCAAAGTGTCCATATCCAAGTGATGGGTTAACAATCTGTACTTCTGTCAACCAAATAGCTTGACAACATATCAAAATGACATCTCCAAAACGATAACCGCCCAGGTCTTTATGATTCATTCGAATCGATAAATAGGCATGACTGCATTCACATGAATTTAATAAATGTGCATTCGAAATTAGAGAATAATAGCCCTTTCTGGTCATTAGAGTTTTTTCTAGTTCGGGTCATTATCAACTTTCCATTCCGTAGTTGTCTTTGTGGAAAGCAATGAATACTGCTGTATCCAAGGCCAGTCTTGGAGAAGAACACCAAAACCTGGCAAAACTGTTTTGTATGGAGCCAGGGAATGACTGGGAGGAGGTGTTCGTTGGCATCTGCTCTGTTCTTCAACGAGTGAGTGTTTTTACCAATTTGTTTGAAAGTGTATTCACAATATGTAGGAAAATGGAGAATGGGAACTCGTAATGAATGGTGTTGATAAGATGGTAGGGAAGGTCCTCCCAATGGTGATTAACGAAATGACTACATATGAAGCGGTGGATGGTATGGAATTGTGTGTACAATGAACTGATATTGCAGAAATGTTACTATTATGGAAGGAAAGCAAGTTCTCCTACTCCTTGAGTTTTCTTCAGTCGGAGGACCGCGATTCTATCATGTAAATTTCCTTTCTGTTCTTCACGTAGGATGCTGATTCAAGCCGCGCAAAAAGCGACCGCGGAGCATCGCGCCACCAACGACATTTCCGAAGAAGTGTCTCTAGATCTCCCTTCCGTGTCCGTTGACTCTGTCCACGAGATCTATCTCATTTTGTCCAATGCTGACGTGATCCAGCGCGATTCGTTCAGAACTCTATTATGTAAAAATGTATTTTGATTTTTTTCTATTTTGAATGAATGTAACGTCCAGGAATACGCTTATCTTCACGATCTTTTGAACGTCTTTCCCCAGCTGGAAGAGCAGCACAAGCAGGACTCGCTCACCGAGTTGTACGACATCTGTCACTTGATCTGTGGACTCATTGAGCGCATGTGACGCGTAGTAGACTTGGGGTATGAAGATTTGGTGGGCGAGCTTTTCGCGGACGACAATTTCAGCAAATTCATCGGAATCATGGAGTGTATGAACGGATGTAAACATGGTAACGAGCAGACAAGCCGGAACTGCCCTTCAAAGCGGAGTATCGGCAGTTTTTCAACACGCAGGTGCATTGCTGGAATACTATTCCGTGTCTGACGGAGGAGGTGAAGGCGTTGATCCACAAACTCTATCGCTTGATCTTCTTCCGCGACGCCGTGGATCCGCAACCCATCAACGAGATCATTCCCTCCGCTTTAGGGATTCATATCATCGACACACAGCACAAAATCGTTTTGTCCATCGCTACAAATACCGCGATTCTTGATATGATTCTGGCGTGGCTGAAAGGAAAGAACTCGGAACGAAAGGTGTCGATTGGAATTTTGACGGAATTGATGTTTCACACGAAGGAATTGGGTGTTGAAGAACAAGAATTGATCGTGAAGTCGGTGAATCGGAGTGGAAGTGATGCGTAGAAAGCTGGAAGGTTCGACGGATCGGCTTTCGAATTCGCTTTTTGAATTGCTGGGCGAGCGAAGCGTGGAGGAGCACGATGTGTCGAGGCTGATGAACATTCTGGATTATCGCGTGTCGTTCAATAGCGAGTCGTTCCGCGAGTTCGTTCTGGCGAAGAAGTGCGGATTGTTCGAGATAGTGATGAGCAAGCTGATCGATGATGTATGTTGTTTTATAATGTTGTTTTGAATTGTTTGGCATGGGCGAGTGGTTCTCTCCCCTTTCTTTTCTTTTCTTTTTTTATGTTTGTTGATCCATTTCTCACCTTTTCAGAAGCATTACGAACTCCAGCTGGCCAGTCTTAACATCATTCACACGCTTCTAGAGAGTGCGGAGGGATCTCGCAATTACTCGCAGTTCGTTCAGGCGTTCTACGAGGACTTTTATCCCCTCGCACTTCCCGCCATCACAAACAAAACACCCGCAGCATCTCTGGTGCTCCGTCTTTTTACCGAGTTTGAAGAAAAGCACGGCACCAACGCGCAGTTTTTTCTTCTCAAAAACAACGTCATTCCGTCGATTCTCGAGTTTCTCCACTCTTCAAACCGAACTCTTCAACTTTGTTTCCTCTTTCATTCCGACTCAGTCATTCGTAGCCTGCCTTCAATTCTTCTCCAATTGTCTCGCATCCTCGCAGATGTGGTATCGGCGATTCTTCATCAAACGCAACTATCTGAAGCCCGTCGTTCTATTCGGCGAGGGGCACGCATCGGAGGATTCGCTCGTGATGTCGGCCTTCTTCAATCTCATTCGAATCTGCGTAAACACGACGAATAACGATCTCAACGAACACATTCGGATGCAACTGGCGGATTGCAAGAGGCTCACCGCGCTTCCCGTGATGGCCTCGCTGCTGCCGCTGAGGAAACGAGAGGGAGACAACGAAGAGGACATTCTGTCGAAGTTGCTGCGCATTGAGGAGTAAATGCGTTTCTTTTGCTTCCTGTTTCTTGGGAACAAACACACGATACGGAGGTGAGGATGAATTCGTAGTCTCCACTATTCCGGTTCTGACGGAATGTTGCCGTGACTTGGAAACCTGCTAAAGACATGATGCCATCAAGCATGCCTTTGTAAAGAAGGGCATAAGCGCGTAAACGAGTTTGTCCGTTTGCAAGAGGCTGGATTTTCGACAGAGGACGAATCCGCTTGCTCGAAAGCACGAAAATATTCTACCTTTCATATATACGGATAAGAAATACGCTGTTATCTGTGTGCATCGATGGACATTCCTCTCCAAATACATCCAACCAAAAATTGGAGCAAACGTCGCGCATCACTTCGATTAGATTGTTCCAAGCGGGGTTGTGTATCTTTTGACTGCAGTTCAATGAAAACACAGATATCAAACTTTTCTGCCCATCGATATCCAATGGAAACGCCAAGTGATTCAATTTTCCTAGATTCTTCATTGTCACTCGATTCAGAGACTTCGGACCATTTATCACCAACCTACGATTGACGATTGCTAATCTCCTCCTACTATCATATTTACCATTTCAAAGCACATCAAATCATATGCATCACCGGATATATCACTCATGTTACAAAACGAAATAGATTTATAACAAACAATTCAAGAAGACTTCAACTGGTGGATCATATCGACTACGGAACTGTATGTGCAGATTACCATGACAAAGAAAAATAAAGTGAGAATAATAATATCTTCCATCCATAGCCACAAGCCTTGCTTCTTACCAACTGCCACCATGTGTAATGCAGCAGGGATTAATTGAGACACAACAACACCTGTGAAGCTTCCAATTGACAATGAAGGAAATCTCAAGTATCTTCATTTGAATTCAAGGATATTGATTGCATTGATTGAACTGAAAATCGGAATATAGAAACCAAGAACAGTCAGCAATACCACTTGGATCGTTCGCGTCCAAAAACGATATGCATCCTTCACGAAGAATTTACCATCACGATGAGCTAACCAATTAAACGCAATGTAAAATATCAAACGCTTATTGGTTTCCAGAATTTGGAAGCACGGAAGCAAAAGAAGAGGATAAGATCCCCATAAAGTAATGAGCATAGTGATGGCAATGATGATGTAATAGAGAGAGTCCTGGGGCAGATTCATCAAAATTGCGCCGTGAATTCCATCTAGAAGTGACTCTAAAACTGGTATAATGAACTTGGATCCGATCGATACATGAGGAACAGAATGATACCAGGAATAAGATAAAGTAAACCGATAGTAATTACTCCAAAGTTGACATAGCGACCGACTTTTGGTTTGTATGCTTCCTTCATTTCGTTCTATTCGTTAGACTTTACTCAGAGAATAAGAATATATACATAAAGAGGGAATAATAACAACATAAAACCAAAAGCATTGATTACAATACCCAATGTCGAAAGAACGTCTTTGAAACTCAGAGGCCATAAAACTGATGAATCCCAACTCAGGCCAAATGTGATTCCTCCATAACTATTTCGTTACACGCATTAATCAATTCATTCTTACATCAAAGCTGCTACGAAGGCAACAATCAGCGCTATCAATCCCAAAGAAGAAATTCCGGCTAACAAACTAGTAACATCACAATCAATCACAGAAAACAAACGTCGGATTTTTGAAAATGCAAGTCAACCAACACAAAATGAACAAAATGATGGTTGCAACTAATCGACGCGTCGTTTCGTTTTCCGAAAACGAATTGAACCACGGCAAACTCACGAGTAGATCTGTCATAAGTACCATGGTTCCCATATCCGATCCCCAAAGAGTAATTAAAGTACTGAGTAACATTAACCAATAGCCAAAAGTTCCGAAACACTTGTAGCAAAGAACGGTATAATCGTTGTCAAGGTTATACCTTGGGTCCTTTTCAATCTAGATATAGAAAATCCCTAAATAGTACTACCTTTTGCTCTCCCTTATAATGATTATACACTTGAAGCAATCTCCAGGTGGTAGTTGCATATATGTACACAGTATAGAGAGTGAACAATGTACCAGTAACTAAACCCATCTGGTTGGTGAGATGATGGCAAGAGTGCTTACCTTCCATATTGTGAATGGAAATATCAAAGAGGTAGAGCCTGTAATTGACTTCATAAGGTTTGCAGCGAACTAATTCACACACTTCCATAATGATCTACCTGAAACCCGGTAGACTTATCGCTCTCATCTACCTCGTCCTCAATATCCGAAAGAGGTGTATTCACATCACTAACTTCGGGCTCCGACTCTATTCATCAGTGTTTCAAAACGTAGAAACTCTCAATATCAGTAGTATTCATTAATATTTTTTGATCTTCACTATATTCCCCATTTTTCCCACGGAACATTGTTTCTCCTTTTTTGATCTATGGTTTTGGGTGTGAGTCTACATCGCGAATACCGATGTCAAGCTAATTTTTGATTGTAGCGTTAGGTGATTTTCCCCGATTCGCAATATAGTCACACTAGTACTAGTAAATAGTATAATTGATAAAGGAATGTGTTATTGTCATGAATACATAGCAAATTGATACTACCAATAGGAAAGAGTAGCTCATTCAGGAGCGTGTTCAAATCCACAATATTACCATATTAGATTCATAGGGTATAAACTGTTTTCCTAATATATCATAACATTATTCTAGTAAGTTTTCATGAGGATCATTCTTTCACTCTGAATTGCGTTCATATTTCTGAAACATGCCACTTCTTAATATTTAAATTCAAATATGCAGTCTATATGGGGTGTGTAAATCCAACAATCAACAAGTTCTGTGCTTATTCATGTAGTCACAATCTAAATTCTTTAAGTAAACATATTATAATATCGAAAACGAGATGGAATAGATGAAGAATTGTGATGTGGCCATTTCTATTGATTTTGTTAAATCAGTGTATCTACAGATGTTATATCAGTACGAATGTAAAGAGAGATTCTCCTAGTAACTTGTATGGAACGTACTGTGGGTTAGAAGCATCACTTTTTATGATTCAATAACTTTATTATAGCGTAAATTACTAATATCCACTGTTTTTTAGCCAATAAAAACGTGCTATAAATGATAAAGACAATTGTGAATGCTATTATGAACCGTAGATGTATGATACGGAAATAGGCACATGAAAGCAGAATGATCGTATTCAAGGGTACATTTAATAATGAAACAGTCTTCTGAACATCAGCATGGACCAATGACATTCATTAATCAATAATACCAAAAATTCAAAAAATACCAGCAAGAATAGTCGACTGTTCACAACTAGTGATTACCTACTGATTCTTAGATACATTTGATGGAGTATATTCATTATAGAAAACGTACTCTTGATATCCACAAAGCATAAACCTAGTTTCGATTTACAATGGAATAAAACGAAAGATGATGTTTGTATTTGAGCTCATCACTAATATTTCGACACACAACCATTTAGAATAAACAAGCAAGAAAAAAACTGAAACTAGAACAAACTAGGAGGTATAAAACAATTCGATTTGCGGCCAACAAGGTAGGGGAGCTTTCCAATTAGAGATGAAGCAAGAATGGTAAATGTACTGCTCTTTGTACCAACGAGTTCGTCGCAAATACCCAGAGTAGCCAAATCGAGCAGTGTATTGCTGAGATCCATATTCTCTTTCTTTGGAAAATCGATATTCCCTGTATGGGCCGCTTTTCTGTGGAAGGAAACCACTTTACGATTGGGAAGCATGTTTTTGATTTTCTGTACTGCAGAATTGGAATCAGAAGATACAAAGATGGTTGCATTTTTCAATTTTGAAACGATTGAGCAATTGCCAAAAGATGGAATATTGCTATTCAACAAAAACTGATGAGTGTCCTTAAAGTCGGAGATTGTATTACCCATTCGCATATGAAAACCAATACACTTCCCTTCTCCGATTGCCTTTCTTCTTGCGCCCACTTTCTCCAAAAACTGTTTACTAAATACAAAATGATTCTTCATTACATAGGATAAAACACGGAATCCATAAACACCAGAATGGGCTGAATTGAATGGTTCATTCTTTAAAAACCCAAGTCTCACAAGAGAATTGTAAGTTTGGTTGTTATATGTCATCCAAGCAAACAGAGGACAATTTGTAGTGATTCTTATGAATCTTCTTTTAAAAATAGTATTAATTGGATGTTGCATCAAGTATTGTGCTATAATCGAGTCTTTTGAGAAACATGTATCTATTTGTGAGAAGGAAGTTCGTCTCGGAAAATTATGATTGAAAGAGTATTGAACTGGCTTGTTTGACAAGTCCGTAATTGTAAAATACATTCGGGAATTTGGATAAGGAACTAAATCAAAGATAATAACGAAAAAATACAAATGATTGTGGCGTTCAAAAGGGATGCGATCACATAGTAAGAAACAATACCGAAGAACTTGTTTGCCAGACCTCCTTCACCTAATTGACATTTCACATACTTGGACAGGTCCGATTCTTGTCTCTTTTGATTATTTAGTGCTCTTCTTTTGTATGCAGAATAGTGTTTTCGTCTGGCTCTGCTGCTCTTTCTTTTCACTATTCTTGGTTTCTCCACAACTCTTGTATTCACATTACCTGTAATAATTTTTTGTGTTACATTTGAAATAGATCTCGTTACCGTTGTATTTGTAGCCACAATCATGCTGGTACGTACAACTGTATCGTTTCTTGAGACTTCTGTTGGAAATGTATTATTAACAGCTAATGAACTGCAGTTGTCGAATAGAACACTCTGGTAAGCCAAAGAAGAATTTTGTTTCGGATTCGGTGTTCTGGTTCTAAAGAGATCGAACTGCAATCCTTTGTATTGCTAAATCTAATATCAAATTCAAAAGTGTACATTCTTCTCTAGTACGAACGTAACTCCGCTTAATACCGATCTTGACACATTTGTAAAACCATAAAGTACTAAAAGAATACAAAAAACAAAACATCCATTGCATGACATTTCAAAAATAATGACCAAAAATGTATGTGTTTTTCTGCATAGAAATAATAATAATGCTGTATTTTCTTTTATCTTTTCAGAAAAATGTTCCATCATGAGTAAAATAATGAATAAAACTATATCGCAGCAAACTAGCACATTGTTTAGCTTTTCTTTCCAAGTGATCAAATTGTTATTTTACTTGTATTAAATGTGGAAAGCTCTTTTTTGTTAAAATGTATTAATGTTCTTATTGACATTTTTATCATAGTGACAAAAGGTTACTGAAAGTGGAATACAAATAAACGTTCAATTATCATCAAGTTGATTAGAATACAAGAGTCAGTACAATTGAAAGAAGCGATGAGTCTGGATCTTTTCTCATGATACAGAGAGTATCAAGTTCTAAACAACAGCAGTATTGATCCATTTTGTTTAGCCGCTATCAGTTCGTTAGGCTACATCTATTTCTATTCATAGGTAGTGACTTTACGCTAAATAGAGTATTACAAAGCTATATCACACAAATACTCTAACTGTGAAATGGGTTCATTTGCTTTATTTATTCAAGATTATTCAAATATAAAATATCACACATGAGTGTGAAGAGTGATTCAATCATAGTAAGATGTTGCACCTCATCTAATTACAATAGTAACACGCAGCAATGTGCTTTAGAAATCATTTCGTTTTTCGTTTACCCACTGAATCACTAGACTTAGTAAAGGCAAGGATTGTAGCTAGAAAAGCTACGTGGTTCGTTTTATTTTAAATGCATTCACACAACCATTATCTTCAGCCCTATTTTCATTTCTATTTACAAATAACAATGATTCCCTATATAACAAACAATCCATTACATTATTCTGCAAAATCTATGAACGCTGTCTTCACGGCTCCCTCACCATTCACAAGCTTTCCTTGCTTCAAAATCCGAACTCGCTTGATCTCCTTTCCCTCCATGATCCGATTCCACAATCCATTTTCATCCGCCTCTAGCAAATCACGCGGCACAATTCCCATCTCGACTAAATCCGATCGCATTACTTCGCACATTTCCCCTTCCTCCTTCAGAACAAACACCAAATCGCCTTGCTTCACCGAGATTTCGTCTCCATTCCCTACCCTTCGCAGTTTCTCCCATTCCTACTTCGCTCAAAATCGCGTTTCACGAATCGAACAGGATAGTTCACCAACGGCCGCACGTTCTGAATCTCGAAATAATTCCGTTTGAACGACTCGCTGTTCTTCGCGACGATTCGACACGAAGGCGTCGAAGACGACGTAAAACAAACGATCTCCCCGTTTCGATTCTCTCCTGCAACGATTTGATTGCTTTCCACGCGCGATGCTGCTTCGATTGCATTGAGAACCCCGCTCTCTTCGAGCTGTTTGACGATGTTCATGTAGCAGACCTTCAGCACGACGCACTGCTGATACCAAATGTCGTGAAACGGATTGAAGCTGCAGCCGTTCCAAAAGATGGTGAGCATATCGCGATGAAACGCTTCGAAACTCGAGTAGTAATTGCGATCGATGCGATGCGAGACGGTGGAAAGATCCATCGGATTGGGGATGAGCTTGCGATAGCTCGGGAATTTCTACTCTCAAGGGAAGCGTGGAAACGAACGGTGTGATCGACGGGCTCTAGAAAGATAAACGCGCTGGGCTCTTTCTGGAGGTGCGAGCAGATGAGTCGGAGAAGCGCCTCTACACTGCCAAGCCTTCGAACGCCGTACGCAGCGATTTGATGGAGGAAGGGACCAGCAGAGGGTTCCATTTCCAGTAAATGTCGCTTTCTCGCTTGGTTCGGTAGACGTTGTAGTAGCGAGGAATGAGCACGCCGTCCTGCTCGAAGAGCTATGTGAGAATGGAAGGAAGGGAGCGTGGCGTACGCGAGTGAGTCGCTGAGCGAGAAGTTCTGTGAATAAGTTTTTGCCTGGAGAAGACGAGGCGTAGAGCCGTTGGATGAGGGACTGGAAGGAGAGCCAGTCGGTGCTTTCGACTTTTATGGAAGTGTTGTTTGGAAGGAATAAAAGAAGAGAGGAGTTTGGATGGGGTTGAAGAGGATGATGAAGGGCAATGTGCAGAGTGGAGCCGTTCACGCTTTTGACGGAGGCGGAGGAGAGGAGGGGAGTCGAATCGGTTGTGGAAACGAGAATATATTCATTGTGCGAGACCAAATAGAAGATTGACTGACTGTCGTTCCTTCCGATCGGGTAACGATACTGATCGGTTTAACAATTGAGATAATGATACTTGAGAAGGGAGCGCCTTAACAAGTTCGGGATGAGCTTGACACCATGAATATGCAATATCTTTCATCATGGATATCTACCAATTAGATAAGATACTATAGAAATACGATCGACCCATCATCCACAACGCCCTTCCTGGCCAAAATCGATGCGACACACAATGACTCTCCGAAAAATGATAGTTCGATCTACGGTAATCACAAAATTCAAATGAATAACATCGCCCGTCTTCAACTTTGAAATCACACTTTGTAACATCTTTCGATTAGATTCTTTCAATAGATAAATACTTTTGAATTATAAATATGCGAGTCATTAGGGAAGGCGCTAGGAGATGAGCAAAAACAGTAAAGACGCTACATGCAAGCTTGAAGGGTTGCACAGTAAACGAACGATTCCTTGTTGACCATCTTCTTCCAAAACTGGCTGCACTAAAGCAACACTTTGAAAAAAGTGCCACTTTTCTGCAATGAGTGACAACATCTATCGAAAGCATTATTACAGACACTCAGCAGAGAGGGAAAGAAAGCAGAGGTAGAGAGATTGGAGGCGAAATTAGGTTTTAGGGAGACTGAAGAGATGATGCAGCGATACGAGTTGATAGCGCAGGCCAAGAAGCAGAAACAAATTCCAAATTTGATTTATTCGAAAAAGTGAGCTGTCAACAAACAACATTACGAATTAGTGTGTCTTCTCTACCGCCCTCATTCACTTTGGATCAGAAAATTTACCACCGAATGAGTAAAGAAGTTATCAGCGATATTTACGATTTTACCTACGCCAACATGCATTTACTCTACGAGCAAAGCACTTGGAAATGGGACGAAAAGAAGGAGCGTAGGATTTTCTTGTGTAGCATCACCTAGTTGCTGAGTTTCGCAGTAATGCCTCTCGATTTGTGCTAATTCGTCACAAGGAAGACAACTGGTATATTCTTTGTGTTGTTTCTTTATGGCTAGTATAGCTGGGTATCTTCTCTTCCGACTTAGCATTGAATCGTTCGATTTTACCTCCATTTTGTACATGTATCTTATTCTTCGTTTTTTTGATTAGTTACTCCATCATGGTTCGTCAACAGTACCAAAAGACAGGATTAGGGACATGCTTAATGCTTCTCGCTGAGGACTTAGCTCGTTATTTCCAACTGCAAAAGTGTCAACTGACAGTGTTTAAAGTTGTTCCTCTCTTACCCCTCTTTTTGTAGCATAATCTCCCAGCGTTTCATCTGTACACAGACCATCTGCAATATGTGATCGATCCGTACTCTCCCAGTAAATATGGGGAGCAGATATCCTTTTTTGTGGCTCTGTCTGTATGTTACTTAACTTCAGTCATGTTACGAAATCCTCAGCAAGAAAGTGTACGAAATGCTTCCAGCTGAATATTAGATCGATGGATGATTATATCGACCAGAGGCTTCAAAACGCTGCCTATTTCGAAAATCTCTTGAAGAATAAAGAAATAGAACAAAACGACGAGAATAGAGAAATAGTTAATGCACATGCGAAATGGAGGGAAGAAGACGAGGGAAAACTCGAGTATATTTTTATTTCTTTGTATACTCATTGCAGTATTGGACCTGATTACTCCTTATCTCTAAAGACTGGGAGTGAGTTATCTTTGGAGGAAATGGAGTTAATGTACATGATCCTAGAGTCTAATATGAAAAAGAAAGATGAGCAAAACGGGAAAGAGTGGAATGCGGTGAATGAGCGTGAGTGTCTGTTCTTTTACTAAAGGATAGGAAAATCTTTGGTCAGTGGCTCATCTCATTTCATAATAGCATATCACAACGAAGAGTACACAGCCTGTTTATTTGTTTTTTGATATTAGACTGGTCGGTTTTGCTCTTATTCGTTTTTTCAAGAACTGGTTCTTCACAGAACAGCTCTCCATGCTCCTGTACGATGTGTTTCTCTCTCTCTTGAAATATTAGATCCATCCAAATTGCATCGTCCTTTAGGCGTCGAGGCTTGGGCAGAAAGTTTGTAGAACTTTCAAAGGCGATCGGAGATCGCTGTTTTTGTAAATACTATGTGGGAGTAGTGTGGGAAGTATGGGTATCGAGAAGGAATGATGGCTAGAAGGATGAAATCTCGAATTCGTTTTTGCAGAAGGTTGGATTTAAAGCAGTGGAAGAAAATTCTGCGCGAGTCTTTAACAAAAATAGGAAATTTGTAGTATGTAACTTTCAGGATTATTTTGTTTGTTGGAATACTTACTGGTGAATAGTTATGGAATCTTATTTTGAGGATGCTTACTACAAAAGCAAATCATATGAGGTATATCAGATACTAGATCCTCTGAACTGTGGAAAGAGCGAAAAGATTGTTATTGATGCTGAGAAACAGTGGAGACTCACCGAAGATGAAATAAATAGCGTGTTGGACTGTGATACTCAGTTTAGATCATAGGTTTGGTTCTAAACTGGAGTATTTTACAGTAGAATGCCATACAGCTGCAGAGTTGGGAACGGAGAAGATCCAGTTGATATATGAGTTAACCATTAATAACATGCGGAAACTATGGATTGAAAATGGATATGAATGGGACGACGACGAAGAAAGTGGGCTCTTACTAAATATGCAACGTGTAGTTAAGGAAATGAACTCTAAAACTTCACATTACATACTTGTCCGTTCAAAAGAGACGCAGCAATTTGTTGGTTATGCAGATATCCGATTTCGGATTGACTGGTTACATAAGCTGGAGCCTGTTGTATACTTGTAGTTTCCGCAATGCAACGTGTAAGGCGTAGAAACTTTTTACAAGTCCACCCGAAGTATCAAAACCAAGGTATTGGAAGCTGCTTGTTACAAGCAATCGAGCTGATCGCCCGCCGATCTGGTTTTCCACTGTGTCAGTTGAGTGTCTGGAGTGTATTGCTAAGTATTCAGGTTAATCATAGAATAATTATGGAGCCTATCGGTTGTATACTCGAAGTGGCTTTCAGAAATATGAGAATGCTTTGACCTCTCACAATACTACAAATGTAATGTATAAGCGATATCAGTGAGCTGTTTGTTACAAACATTATTTGGTACGAGACATGAGTGATTTGAAAACGGAACCTGTGAAAGACCAAGAACCAGAACAGAAGGATCTGGCTGAGTTTCAAACCCCAATACCTCAGGACGCAATCGAGACTGAAAAGAAGGAAACAATGCCAAAAAGTACGTTTGTGTTTCAGAGTGGTAACGACAGAAAAGCGATACAATAAAAAGAAGGGGAATCAGCGGAAGAACTCGAAACTGAATACTTGGATGTTTTCATTTAAGCAAATGGATTATGTGATAGTTATATACAAAATCTTCCTAAAGATGTGACAGAAGAGGAGTTGAGTGATGTGTTTAAGCGTTATGGAATTATTCAGCAAAATTTAGATGGATCACCGAAGGCATTGTTTGGGTGCAGTGTATGAGGATCTAGATCAAACTGTACAAGAATGAGAAGGGAGAGTTGACTGGAGACGCTCGTCTTTGCTATCTGTGTAAGGAGTCCATCCAGTTAGCGATCAAAATGCAAGACGACTATCCGTTACGCTATGGGTGCAGGCATCGGGAGGAAGTGACTTGTAGCGATAAGGAAAACATCCGAGTCAGCGAAGCTGTGTTTGATAAAAAGGATAAGGAGCATGATCAAGCTGTGTAATGGTTTTTCTCCTCGATGGGATGTCTAGCAACCTGGGGGAAGAAGACGAGAAGACAAAGCGACTGCGTTGGATGTTTATGCAGCAGCAGAAGCAGCAGCTGAGTTGGGACGATGAGAAAGTGGACACAAGTCGCGTGGGTCTTCGCATTATCGTGCTTCAAAACATGTTTTCTCTCGCCGAAACCACGCGTTTGCTCTTTAAAAATCGCATGAATGGAAGAGCCAAACTTCAAATCGGAGCTTTACGAAGACGTGAAAAGCGGCTGCGAGGAGTTTGGAGACATCGAGAAGATTACGATCTTCGACACGAATCCGGACGGGATCGTGGTAGTGAAGTTCAAAACGTCGACAGCTGCGAATAATGTGTAAATTCGGAGGGGAAGCGAGGTGTAGTGCATCAAGCGGATGAATGGACGGTACTTCGCTGGACGTGTGATCCGGGCTTTGTAATGAATGGAGGGGAGTGTGAGGCGTAGCTTCTGGGACGGTCGCACGGATTATCACACACGTATGACGGACGAGGAGGAAAACACGAAGCTGGAGAACTTTGCGCAGTGGATTGAGGGAGAAGAGGACGAATAGGAAGGATGACGATACTAATGGAGTATGTGTGCAATTTGTTTGTTGAAAGAACAAAAGAGTTGAATGATGGTGGAAACGGCAGTGAGTGTTCGATTTTTTAATGAATGAATGAATCGATATATTACGACATGAACATATTATCGGTAATAGTTATTTCAGATTAAGAGTGTTATCTCACGCTAAAAAAGAATATGATACTTTCCACGCACTATTGGATGTTTCATTGCTTCGATCCTATTCTGTCCACTCTATTATTTCGATAATTAACTAAATACAAGCCATTCTGTGCAATTCTTCTCGTTTCATCCCATTTCTCTCCTCTCCTCTTTTTTCCACTCCACTCCACTCCACTCCACTCCACTCCACTCCACTCCACTCACAAACGACGCAACTCAAACAAACAACCCGACAAGAGACAGACAATCATTACATCACTTTCCCGTAGAAGGAGTAGACGAGACAGAAAGCGCATCGCCTCCATTCTGCATATTGAACGACATAGATAGCATTTCCCGCAGCTGTTTATACGCCTCCAAGTTCTACCTGGCACTCTCTCTCCATTCCTACCACCGCGTTTCCATTCGCCGTCACCATTTCCACCGGGCTCCCGGCCGTCGCCCGCTCGCCTTGCGCCACGCCGAACGGCATCTGCAGGAAGGAGTCGGTAGAAGCAGCCATGGCGCTCTTCTCCATGAGCTCCAGATATTTATATTTGTAGAACTCTTTGCGCTTCTGGAGCCGCGTGTATTGCTCACGAATGCGCTGATAAAACGTGAAGAGCTTCGCGTACGTGTCCTGCGCTAGACTAAACGTGGAAATGGAGAACTACCCATATCGGAGTTGCGCTGGAGATGGGTTCGACGCATCCCCTCGATGGTCATTTCGTATTCGTTTCGAATTGTGTTGATGACGGACTCGTAATGATGCCGCAGCGAAAGCTTTTCCTGCTCCAGCTGGTCGTTTCGATGCTGCAGCACCTGCACTTTCTCCTCCGTGTCGCCCAGCTGCCACTCAGAACACTATTCCACCGGTACCTTCATCTCGGAGTCGTTCAATCCGCGGATAAAATCGCACGATCGGCGATAGAGCAGCACGCACATCGCCGTGGACTCGACGGGGTCCAGCGCCTTCAGCTTCGCGATCGCCTGCATTTCCTCCGCGCTCCGCTTCAGCGCCAACTCCTCCATCTTCACGATCCCGTCTTTCTGGATGTCCAGCTCGTTCTGCTGCGCCATGATCTGATTCGCCAGCTCTTCCACGCGCTCCCGCGCTTCTGCTTCGCTCCGCGACGACCCACGACCGCCATGGCTTCGCGAGCGCCGCTTTTCTTCCTGCAGCTGCCGGATCATGTCCTTCAAGCGCGTGGTCATTTGGTCCTTCTGCTCCAGTCGCTTCTTCAGCTGCCGCAGCTCCAAGTCTTTCCGCGACTCCTTCGCCAATTCCCGCTCCAGCCACTTCAGCCGCTTCTGGTCCTCGCGGGAATAGATCTCGTACTCGCGGCGCTGATTGTCCGCCGACAGCTTCACCTCGCGGAGCTGGCGCTGGAGCTGCGTGGTCTGGTCGATCTGGCTGCGGAGCAGACTGTCCGACTTCGTGTTGCTGCGCTGCAAGTCGCTGATTTGGCGCGTCTGCTGGCGCGTCTGCTTCTGCAGCGCCTGGATTTCCTTCTTCTTCTCGTCGAGCTGCATGCGATGCTCGCGCTGCACCTGCTCGATTTTGCGCTGCAGCTCGATCTTCTGCGCCTTCATGTCCGCGATATCGTTCGTGAGCTTGGTGATGCGCGTCGACGTGTAGCGCAGACTCTCGATCGTGCGCTCCAAGTTCTGCTTCTGCTGCCGAATCCGGTTGATTTCCTCCGTCTTCGACCGCAGCCGCGACTCCAATTGATCGTGTTCCGTCTGGTAATCCGCCCGCAGCGCGCGCCGCTGCAGCAGCTGCGCGAGTTCGTTGCGGAGCTGCTGTTTTTCCTAGAATTCAGCGCGCGGCTCAGCGTCTACGCCCTCCATTTTGTTGATTTTCTCGGTCATTTCGCGAAGCCGCTCTTCGTACTCGCTGCTCATGCTCTCCATCTTGGCCTGCTCGATCTTCACGTTCTGCAGCTCCTTCTCGCGCCACTTGATGCCGTCCAGCAGCGTGTTCAGCTGCGAGTTCAGCACGTCGCGACGCACATTGATCGAGTGGTCGATTTCGTCCAGACCCTCCACTGCCGATGATTCGTCGTCCGTCGTTTCCGTGTCCGCGCTGCGCGTTACAAAAGGAGAAAAGGGGAAACTCGTTCATGAGGACCTTGCGGATCTTCTCAGCGGCCTGGATCTCCATCTCGAGCATGGTCTTGCCGCGGAGCTCGACCAGCGCCATCTTGTCTTCGAGTCCGTGCTGCGTCTGCTCCTCGCTCAGCTTCAGCAGCTCCGTGATCTGCTGGTTCTTCTTCTCCAACTCGCTCTGCAGCTCCTCGATCTTCTGCTTGTGCACCGCCACGATCTGCTGTCAAGGAAGCCCAACTAGCAATGAGACGGTCGACTATCAATGAGACGGTCGATTATCATCACATCATTCATCACATCGTTCATCATCACCATCCTGATCACACCATTCATCACCACATCATTCATCACATCATTCCTCATCACATCATTCATCACACCATTCATCATCACATCATTCATCACACCATTCATCACCACATCATTCATCACACCATTCATCACCACATCATTCATCACATCATTCCTCATCACATCATTCATCACACCATTCATCACCACATCATTCATCACATCATTCCTCATCACATCATTCATCACACCATTCATCACCACACCATTCATCACATCATTCCTCATCACATCATTCATCACATCATTCCTCATCACATCATTCATCACACCATTCATCACCACACCATTCATCATCCTGCTTCCTTCACCTCACTCCCAAGGATATGTTAATCTCCTTCATCGCCTCGGCGGAGTACGATTCTCCCAGCACGGTTCCGGACTCTCCCTTCTCCACGCTCGCGAACTCCAGCTGCGCGCGCAGCATCGCGTTCTCCTTCTTCGCGTCCTCCAGCGCCTGCTCCAGCGCCTTCGTCCGCTCCTGCAGCTGCTTCACCTCGTCCTCCGCCTGCTGCGCGCGGTTCTCCAGGTTCCTCCGCTCCGTGTCGAACAGCCGCGAGGTCTCGCGCCCGTCGTGCAGCACGTGCTGCTGCGCGAGCGACATGAGAAGCGACGGGTCCATCTCGCCCTTCACTTGCTGCAGCTCCGCCTGCAACGACGCGATTTGCTGCCGCAGCTACACCCTCAAACCGTGGAAACGTGGAAACCGCGACGATGAGCGACTCGTTCTCGTCGCGGTTGACGATGGGCTTGTTCTCGATGTTCTTCGCGCTGGCGGCGTAGCGCAGCGTGCCCTCGGTCTCGGCGGCGGAGTCGCTCGCGGGCGACACGCAGGCGATCATGAGCGTCTTGGCGTTGCCTCCGAGCGAGTCCATCAGCAGACGCGTGAGTTTGGAGTCGCGATAGGGCGGCACGCTACATCAAACCCCGATCCCAGAGCGACCTCCCCTTGTTCTTCTCGTCGCCGAGCGCGCGGATGACCTTGCCCAGCGTGAGCAGCCCGAGATTGATGTTGATGCCCTCCTTCATGCGCTGCCCCGTCGACTGCGTGCGGTACACCTTCTCGCTGCCCGCCAGGTCCACGAAGTGGAACTTCGACTGCTTGATCTCGTTGTGCACCACCTCCTCCTCGTTCTCCACGCTCGTCGAACGGATCTCCTGGTCGATCAGCACGGTGAAGATCGCGTGCGAGCGACTGCTGTTCTGGTTCATCGACGTTTCCCCCGTGATTCGGTACAAACTCCCGCGCTCCAGCCACGTCTGCAGCTCCTCCGCCGTCGACGCCTGCTCGCTGCGCTGGTTGATCACTTTGCATCCGCCCTTGGGGTCCGTGATGACGTTTACCATGCTCTTCGTTGATTGGTCCATTTCGAGGAGATCATTAATGTCGTCTCCGTACACTTCGAGGTAATTCACTGTGACTAAGATGGTGCTGCCGGGGTGCTCCTGCTCGATTTGGGCTTTCCGGACGAAAAGCTCCTCGATAAAACGGGGGACGATTCCGATTTCAGCTTGATTTGAAACACGGCCAGACGTTCCCATTGTGTAGGTTTTGCCGGAACCTGTCTGGCCGTAAGCAAGAACTGAGCGTTACGTTGACAAAAAAAAGATACTTGTCGCATTGTACCCCTCGAACGCACTGTCGATCAGGGGGACCACGCATGTATTATATATTTCTTCCTGTGTCGATAACGGCCCAAACACGTGATTAAACGTAAAACGCGTTCCCGACTGCATCGAAACCTAAACTAGTAGTCCGATAGAGTGGATGCCAACCTCATTTCGTTCAGAATCTCCGAAAACACAAATTTCCGAACATCCTCGTTCTCGGGCAATAATGGGCCGTACTACATATTCCAAATCAAAAGTTGAGGCATACTGCGTACTGCTACTTGAACACAATCGCTTGGCTTTGATTGAGCTTGATTCGCACTCATATTCAAAACAAATTCGCCTTCTCGCTCGATTACCACACGTAGCTAGCTACTCAAAGCCAAATTTCTAGTAGCAAGAATAATCTAAAACAATCTTTCAAACAAACAAACTCATAACAACTGTCTATTATCATTAAATCCGAAGACTTAATTGGTGCTCTGAGTCTACTTCTGAGCTGCGGCGTCTGTCTTCACTGCCTGTGTCGTAGTGGTAGGCGCAGGAGCAGGAACAGGAGCAGGAACAGGAGCAGCAGGAGCAGCGCTGGAATCCGCAGGAGTGGCCGAGGAATCGGGAGTGGCCGAGACATCGGGCGTCTTCACAGGCAACTGCTTGTAGTAGTCGCCGAAGAAGTCCCATCCCTTCTTGCCCTTGGTAACGATCATGTGACGGAACAACAGGGACACGCACAACATCAGAATAATTCCAATAATCACCGCCACGGTACGGAAAGGGAACCATGCGGGGTAGGGAATGAACTGCGGAATGCCGAAGGTAGATTCACCGCCACCGAAGCGGAGAATGGCTCCCACGATGTAGCCCACCAGAGATCCATAGGTGTTCATGCAGTTCGGCCAGTACACGGTGAGCAGCAGCTGAGGGAACAGCATCACGTAGATGAGATCCGAGGTCAGCACCCACAAATTATAGACACTGTCCGAGACAATGGCCAGAATCGTTCCGCAGATGCAGATAACAATCATCATAATACGGGCCACCACCGTAACCTCCTTTTCAGAGCACTTTGGGCGAATCAGGGGCTTGTACACGTTGATCGTGAACACGGTAGCCGAGGCCAAGTAGGCACCATCAGCAGTGGACAGAGTGGCAGCAGCAATACCTCCCAGACCCAAATAGGTCACGGCAGTAGGAGTCAGATACTTGATGATGTAGGAAAGGGCGAACGACTCTTTTCCCGACAACGTCTGCACCTCCGGGAACTGACTCCAGTCCACTGTCGTGGCGTAGATACCCATGAGAGCGGGGGGGACGGCGCAGATCATAGCTCCGATTCCAGACCACATCGACATCACCTGCGAGTCCTTGACAGTCTTACTGGAAAGAACACGCTGGAAGTACACCTGCCAAGGAATTCCTCCAAGACACATCAGAAGCGCGTAGTCGATCCAACTACCCCAGTCGCCAGGCGCAACACTTCCCAGCCAAATGTCCTTGGTCTTCGAAATATCTCCGACATAAGGACTGGTGGCAACGAAGGGAATACAGATGAACAAGCAGATCAGCATGATCACCAACTGCAAGACATCCGTGTAGGCTACAGAATACATACCTCCCACGAAGGCCAGGAAGCATGAACAAACTGCAGACAAGAGAATGGCCGCGACCGTGGACACACCCAAGAGGACCGAGAGGCAATAACCCAGAGTTGAGAGAGCCATCGCAATCCAAAAGATATCTCCCAGGCAAGCAGGGATATAGAGGAGAGCCACCATCCAGCTCTTGAACTTCTCTCCGAAGGGATCAAACATGGTAATATACTCCTTCTCTCGCATCTTCTTGCAGAACAGAAGACCTCCGATGAAGAAGCACACGCCATAGCACCAGGGAGCTTGAGTCCAAGCAAGTCCAGTACCCTCAGTGACAATTCCCTGAGTGGTTCCATACAAGTAGCCTCCGCACACCCAAGTAGCGACCATGGTAATAATACCCATCAGACCACTAAAGTTTCGACCCGCAAGAGCAAGCTCAACAGCCGTATCGGCCTTTTGTTTCTTGGAAGCCCAGATACCAACGCCAATCACCATCAAATAGAAAGCGACAAGAGCAATAACTCCGAAAATATCAAATTTCTGGACGTAAGGTTCAGGAGTAGGTTCCATTGATGTCTCCATTGTAGGGACCACCGTTGGTTCAGCAACAACACCTAGCACAAAAAGGGCAAATAAAATGATAGAGCTTGCCTTCATTGAATAAAAATGAATGGAATTAACGCATGGACCCATATTTATCAATGATTGGGACACATGATACACAAAACCCAATTACAGACGCAACCTGTAACGACTATCACCTGTGACGTCTTCCAATTTCAATCGATGAAAACTTTGCAGATGGGCCCTATTTTATTTTAGCTATTTCTTGCGTGTGAAGGCAACTCATACTTTCTGTATGATGAAACTTGGAGTTATTCTAGGAAGCTCTTTTCTTCGCTCTTCTGCTTTTGAGAATTTTAATACCCACTCTATAACTACAGATTATGGAAATGTGCAAACCCTTGAGGGAGTGATTGGAGAGGTTCCTATTACCATTATTCGAAGGCACCAATTTGATGTAAATAAGAAATACGTGCCTCCCCATGAAATCAACTACAAAGCAATGATTGCCGCTTTCAAGCAGGTCGGATGTGACAAAATCATCGGCTTGTATTGCTTGTCTTCCTTCCTCAATATTATAGCTATTCCGTTGGCTCATTGAAAGAATCGATTCCTCTGAGCTCGATTATTGTTCCTGACGACTATGCGTATCTTGGCTGTCCTCCCTATTTTAGTTCGGATCATTCTTGTCACTTCGTTCCCTGTACGTGTTTGCGTTGGACTTAACAGCAGCGTTGGATGAGGAGATGCGTAGATCTGTAATTCAAATTCTGAAGGAAGATGGATTGAATCCTGTCTGTGAAGGAACCTACTTTCAAACTGTGGGACCTCGTTTTGAAACAAAAGCAGAAATCCGCCTATACAAGGACTACTTTGAAGTAGTTGGAATGACTGGAGCGAGTGAAGCGACCCTTTCTCAAGAATTAGGCATCCCCTTTTGTATGGTTGGAATTATCGACAATATGTGCCATGGACTGGGAGCTCCATTATCGATTGAGGTAAAAATTGAGTTGAATTGCAAATTAGTCCTTCAATGCTCTGCAAGACAAGAATTCTCAGCGGTTTGAGAAGGTTATCAATGTAATTCTTATGAAGCTATGTGGTTGTTAATTTGTTTGTATGAATCACCAACTCTCTTTTTTGTCGTGTAACACTGAAATGGAAGTATAGTGATTTATTGATATGTATAAATCCATTGATTCGGTTTTCACCTTTTAAAGAAAACAAAGTAAAAACGAAAATGAGCAAACTGGAAAAGGAAACAATATCTGTTCCTGGAATAGAATTACCATCAACAGAGAATGTAAGGTATGATAACAAAACCGGGGACAACTGGTGGGAATACAACGTTTTTGAGCAGTTTCCCACAAAGAAAATCCAGATAAAAAATGGTTTATCATATATTGAAGTGGATAAGCCTCATGAAGGTTGCTATATAAAAACAGTACTAAGTGATTCAAAGATGAATGGAGAATCGTTTATTTATTCAGGAGATAATACTTTGATGGCAACTCTGATATTTGTGAATGGAATCGCTTCAGGACCTTGTACCCTATATAAGAATGAGTCTCTTTTCTTTACAGGTTACTTTGTAAACGGATATCGAGAAGGAAGAGGACAAGAATATGATGAAAGTGGAAATATGGTATTTGATGGGTTTTATAAGAAAGGTAAAAAATTAAATATTATTCAATCGAATGAAATGGGAAAGGGATATTGGAAAGAGATGGATGAAAATGGGAGAATCATTGAAATTTGCCAGAAAGATGAGTTAGGAAATAAGGAAGGATTTTGTTATTCTTATGAGTCTGGAATGATTCGTTGTGTGAGTGTATGGAATGAAGGTAAAAAAGTGGCAATGAAAAAACAATTTAGGGGAGATATAATGATTGAGTATAAGAATGGTAAGAAAGTGTATGAAGGAGGATTTGTTGATAGTTTGGAATTGGGGTATCCACCAAAAGAAGTTGGTGGAAAAATTGGAGAAAATGGATGGAGAGATATTACCAGAAGCAAATTGTATGCTGTGAAAACAGGGAGATTGTGTGATATAATACTAAAGAATAGATATTTGTCTGTGATTGTTGCCATAATGGCCATTCTGTGTTTCTGCCCCTATTTTATATTGGTTTATCTGAATGGAGGACCCTACGGAATAGGGTATGAGCAAGAATCCTTTATTGTTCAATCAGGATATGGAAACCATCTGTTGCGCTTTACATTATTCAATTATCCGAATTTGAAGGATATTGAAATCGGAGATAATTGCTTTAGGCGGGTGCGAACATTTCAAATCGATGGATTGAGTCAATTGAAGACCTTGAAAATCGGAGATAATTCATTCACTCAGAAAATAGATGGACGGGGGAATCAAAAATCGAAATCATTCCACATATTGAATTGTAAATCACTGGAATCCATTGAAGTCGGAGATAACAGCTTTAGTGGTTTGAAAGGTGATTTTATATTAAAGAATCTATCTTCAATACAATCAGTCAAGATCGGATCATTCAGTTTTAGTGCAATGACATCTTTTCGAATCGATGGATTGAATCGATTAAAATCTTTGAAAATTGGGTATTCTTCCTTTTCTCTACATAATGATTTGTGTGAGTATGCTACATTGAAGTCATTCCATGTATTGAATTGTGAATTACTAGAGTCAATCGAAATCGGAAACAATAGTTTTACTTGTTTTACAGGGGATTTTTTGTTAAAGAATCTTCCTTCAATACGCTCCTTACATTTCGGAGATGATCTATTTAATTATATATCATCATTTCGAATCGATGGAATGAGTCAGTTGAGGAGTTTGAAAGTTGAATACGCATCATTTTGTGGGTATTCATTATTAGATGAAGATGTCAAATCGAAATCATTCCACATATTGAATTGTGAATCATTGGAATCCATTGAAATCGGTAAATATTCTTTTAGTAGCTTTGGGGGGCAATTGGAACTGAAAAATGTAAGTTCACTAAAATACTTAAAAGTTGGAGTACTTGGTGAGTCAGCCAATTTCTTGCAATCATCATTTGATTTAAAAGGTATTTTTTATTATTTTTGAAAATCCAATAATAATAATATATAGATTTGCCTAATTTAACAACTCTGATCATCGGAGGAAATACATTTCATTCTACAACAGAACTTGATTTATCTTCATTTTTTTCATTAGAATCAATTACATTTGGAGAGAGACTATTTTCAAGAGTATCAACATTTCGAATCGATGGATTGAATCGATTGAAATCTTTTAAAACCGGCTATAGATCATTTCAAACTAGTGGAAATGGTAAATCGGGTTATTTCCAAATATTAAACTGTGAATCATTAGAATCGATTCAAATTGGTGGAGGTAGTTTTCTCTATTATAGTGGAGGCTTTGAATTGAAGAATTTACCAAAGTTAAAATCCATTGAACTTAATGCACCCGGATTTTATGATTGCGGTTTTTGTTATTGTTCGTTTGTGATTCGAGGTATGGATATGATATTGAATGTTTCAATTATCAGATCTTCCAAGTTTACATTCCATTACAATGGGTGGTTATGCCTTTTATCATTCCTTAACAACAATAATAGAAAGTATTCAATGAATCAGAATGAAATGATTAAACTAGATCTTCCATCATTGCAATCCATTCAACTTGGCAGTCGTGCACTTGCAGGAGACGATGAGGATGAATCCTGTTCCTTGACAATACGGAGTAATAAAGAAATGTTTAAAATGATTGAATGTAGATCTTCCAAATCTGACAACCATTTATTCTTCAGGATTTAGTTTCTATTCTCCTCGTTCCGTGACATTGGAAAGTAGTTCTACATATAAGATAGTGATTGTGTTCAGATATTCCGAATCTTCAAGAAGTTGACCTGCCATATTCATTCCAGAGAGTTGAATCGAGATCTATTTCGAGTAAAGTATGATGGATGTGGTTTTATTTATAGATGTTTCTTCTATTCTCGCTGATCTTGTACACTAAATCAACCCCGCATACATACATACATAAAAGAATAGAGTTCGATTAGGAATTCGGATTGCATATGTGTTGTTAATATTCTACTCTTATTTGTTTATATAAATTGTTATTAACTACATATCAAACCATTTTCCCCTTATTCTTTTGTTTTGGAATTCTTCATGCCCATCAATACTTATATAGAAGTGGCATTGAATCATTTGCATAATTACTGTGATAGAATACATTTAGGACTCAATAATGTATTGATATATATATGTAACAATATTTATCAAGTCTTCCATAAAAGCAAATATGTTGATGTGAGTTTGCAAGGATTTATACTTTAAAATAAAAAAATACATATTTATAGATTGGTTCTTATATGTTTGACTCGATCTGTAAAGAAGAATGCACATTTACATTTTACTAAAATAGTTTTAGAGTAATAACTCCTTAATAGTATCATTCCTCAGTTACTTCCTTTATGTCCCTTCTTGTAATTCCCTTCCTATTCACTCCTCCAACTTCTTCCTGGAGTTCACCCTGGTTTGGACGTTTCGAAGTCTCCTACAATTCCCTCATTCAAATCCATATATATCACTCTACTAGCATTCTTGCTCACTCAATCCTTCCATATTATTTACAACAAACACAAATACAAAGAGAACGATCCAATCGTAAATCCACCATTTCGCGTATTGGGACGCCGATTCTGCTTATTCTGTTGTTGTTGTTGTTGTTGTTGTTGTTGCTGTTGCTGCTGCTGCTGCTGCTGCTGTTTGTTTGCCACCGGCTTTGTAGGATTCGGCCGAATTTGTCCATTCCGGTCATACTGATAATCGAACACCACCTTCTTCGTGTGGCGCTGCAGGTCCAAAATAAACGCGGTACGGCGATTCACGCGGTACGGTCCTTCCTGGCGGCTAAGCGTGTTGAATAACAGGTTCTTCTGCTTGCGATTCTGAGATGCCGCACGAAGGGTCTGATTACGACGAGCTTGTGGCGTTTGGGAGGACGGCTTGGGAGCCGCCAACTTCTTTGGTGCATTGTTAGGAGAGGGCATTACAACACGTGGACTCGATTGGGCCGCTGTCTGCTGGCGATTTCCACGCTGGCGAGGTTGTTGTCTTCTGGGTTGAGGATTTGCAGGAGCTTGAGCAGGTGGGGCTATTTTCTGGTTCTGTGCAGGAGCAGCTTCATTTCCAGAGTTATTTGCTTGATTTCCATTTCTGTTGCGTCGAGCATAACGGCTACTACGCTGGTTCGTGCGTCTAGGCTTCGGAGGCTGGTTGGCTTGCGCATTCTAATTTTGAGCACACAGATTTGGCATGTACTGCAGGAGCATTCGCTGCTGCCATTTCCTGCTTCTGCTGAGTAATGATCGCGTCTATTGATCATTTGAAGAAATAAACTCCTCTACTAAGAGGCATATCCAACTTCTGCTCAATATCCATTATTTAAAGTGCAAAACAAAAGTTAAATGTTTGGTGACATATAACTCTAATTTTATTCAAAATGTGCTGAGGAGTCGGGCTTAGTCCAGTTGGCATCCTATGAAGAGCTAGACAGCTCCTGATCTCATTTCTTTACAAAAAACGTCTAGAGGCTATATTTCGTAATCCCTATGTTGTACGCATCATACACTGTGAACAAGGCAATTTGATTTAAACGGAGTAGTTTCTAGAAGCTTTCTTTTTCTATTATTATTATTATCACTTTTTAACTATCAATTCGTATTCTGAGATGCCCGTTAAATTCTATAATCACAACTTTTATCAATCTGGGGAATATATTGTAGTTTCATTCATCGGTATCTTGTATTTTGGAACCATGAGCTCTAGGTCTGCGAGGACTGCCTGCAGAAAATATCGTTGTGGATATCCAGCCTACCACGCTCCGTGTTGTCATCAATACACCCAATTTTGATCCTTTTGAAAAGACCCTCGAGCTCTTTGCAGAAATCGATCCTGCCACTTCTTCTTATCAGTATCCGTTCCGTTTGCATGCTTAATATAGAATGTTCCCGAGCAAGGTGGAGATTCGTCTTCACAAGGTGCAGGTCGTCAACTGGCCTTCTCTGGAAAAGACAGCAGGTGATCAACGAGAAAAATCTGTGATTTCTAGTGGTTCAGCTCCCAACTCCCAATTCCGCGTCTACCTCCGCATCGACTCAGGCCTTTAGCACAGCTCGCTGGGACAAGTTCTGCGAGGAAAATAAAGAGCCGGTAGGATTCCATTGTGAAATGGGTGATGGGTAGGTGGATGCTTCGGGTGACAATCTGTTCAAAGTGCTGTACAACGACGCCACTCCCGACCAGCGTCGAGCGATGATGAAATCGCTGCAGCAGAGCCACGGAAAGACGCTGAATATGAACTGGGATGAAGTGAAGGACAAGAACTTTGAGGACGACGCGAAGGACGATTAAATAAATTATACCATGAGCGTTGTGTTTGTTGGTAGAACGGTGTTGACGAGGAATCATGGAGGCTGGGAGTAGCAAACACGGGATGAGCTATTTTTTCTTGTTAGAATAGCGTTGGTGGAAAGAGGAGGGGATGATGTATCTCCCCCGGTGTACTTTATTTCTTTCGATCGTTAGTTTAGCGATTTTGGTAGGGGAAATGCTTGGTTGCTACGTGTGTAGAGTATTGTGTTTTCAGAGGATTCTCTCGGAGAGGTTGATGCCGAAGATCCTATTCGTTTGGTTTTTCATGAAGATGCAGGCTCATCGTTACTAAAGTCTCTTGAAATCGTTGAAATGACAGGCGAAGAGTATTTAGGCAACCGCTACGAGCCGTTTACTCCCCCCGCCGTGCTTCCGAAGCACACAAAGCAGCGAACGTTTTTAAAGAAGAAAAAGGCGGAGACCACCAAATACCCTCCCGTTCCCGTGCGTCCTTTCGAAGAGCGCTGGAGCGAAGTGGTCGATTACCATCGTTCCCACACGGCTGTGAGTGAGAAGGAGCTGGAGCTTCGCTACAATCTGTTGCTGCAGTGGCGAGACTCGCAGCGCAACATGACCATCAATGAAGATACGCGGTACATCGTCTACTGGCCTCCACAAGCCGGAATCGGGAACACGATTTCCTTCCTCGGCTGCGCGCTTCTTCTCTCCCTGTACACGAATCGCAAATTCCTGCGTACTCCCTGGCCTCCCCGCGGTTCTCACTCGCAGTATACGACTGGGAAATCTTCAACCAGTTCTTCGCGCTGCCGCTCGAGAACTACACGGCTCCCTCGTCGCGTAGCCGCTCCCTCCTCGCTCACCTCGCAGATTTTTTGCATCTCCGCGACACCGTTCTGCGCGAATTCGACGACGACTGCGACGCCGACGTGACCCAGCTGCTCCGCGGCAACCACTCCGCGCGCTTCTTCGTCCTGCGCCGCTCCTGCGGCATCGACCACCGCTTCGTGCACGACGCCGCGCTGCGCGGCTGGCTGCGCGCCCACGGCATCATCCGTCAGAGCCAGCGCAACGCGCTCGACGTCTACCACCGCCTTCTGCAGTTCCTCTTCGTCGACGTCGTGCAGCCGCAGCCCGAGATCCGGCGCGCCGTGGAGGCGTTCCGCGGGAGCGTGGGGTGGTCGGGGTTTTACGTGATCGGGATGCACGTGCGGACGGGACTGCTGGAGGGAAACGTGGGGTGGGGACGGTTCCTGCGGAGGAAGGACGTGGATCGGTTCGTGGAGATCGCGGCGAAGCGGACGGAGCGCGTGGAGAGAGGGAAGAAGGGGAAGCCGGTGCGGTGGTTCGTGTTGTCGGATAACGAGGAGGCGAGGAGAAGAGTGGAGGAAGCGGGGAAGGGAGTCGTGTGGACGTCGAACTGCACTGTGGCGCACACCAAGACGGTGAGTCGGAGCGCGTGGAAGTGCTCCGTGGTGGAGAATTATTTGCTCAGCGAGTGCGACTATCTGATTCTCACCGCGAAGAGTACTTTCGGGTACTTGGCCAAGCATCGTAATGAGGCCGAGCAGAGCAATATTTTCCCCAAGTCGTGAGCCGAGATGAATATGAATATGAATGTGATGATAACGATGATAATAATAGTTTTGGTGATGATGATGACTCATTTGATTTGATTAACTACAGAATGTTTGCTTTCAAAAAACAATCATTAATATTCCTTACCCACGGCCAAGACTTTGTCCGTGTAACTTGTAGGCGTCTGGATTTGATCGATGCACATGATCGCCGAGTAGAGGCCGTAGCCCAGAGTGAAGATCGTCAGCAGCGCAAAGAGGATGATGGGAGTCATTGGGACGCCGTTTGTGAGGGTGGCGTACACAATGGGCTCTTCCGGTTCAATGGGCGTACAATGAAGAATCACGGTGCTATTGCCGGTTTCCAGAGAGAGGAGATCTGCGTGTTAGGAACAAGAGAATATAAAAAAGCCAACCTTCTACGGAATCCAGGTGCATAATGTCGGTAGCCTACAGAATCAAAAAAGTAGTAAACTATCTTACATTCAACTCGCCTTCGAAATGCGGCGCGATGATTCTGCTTTCGAATTTCTGTACAAAAGGCTGGATTTCCTTTACAGACAGAGCATCGGTCTATTATTCACGAATTATAGCATAGCACAATACAATGTTTACATCTACAAATAGAAGGTTCATTTCCTACTCATTAACCTTAAAAACAAAAGTGCCTACCTCAATAGGAATAAGTGGCTCCAAATCAGAATAGTCAATTATTCTATTAATATATACTTCATCCGCTCTATCAAAATAAGTCCTTCTACCAAAAAGCAAGTACGACTCAACATGGGACAATATCATAGCGGGTCCATAAGCTACAGCAGCGGAGAAGCAAAACAGAGCAACCAAAAGACACCGAGCACTCATAGCAACGAAAAATGAAAGTGGAGAAACTCGCCGTTTCCCCTTTTGATTTTACAAAATCGAAAGCGTTTGGAAACAAACAAAGAGCGCAAACACGTTCTCCCCTCGAGAAGGAAGTTATTTCATAATGGACAGTGCAAAAGGGAAACCGATGATAAACAGACACAACACAAAACTAAACAGGTTGGAAAAGGTGCAGGTTCGCTGCTCTTCGACCAGAGACATCGCCACATCAATGTCGTGACTTTGTCCCTCTTCTAACGCATTCCACTCCTCAATCTCAAAAATGCCTTGTCGGCAGACGGGACAGACCGCCTTTTCATTCAGCAGCCATGGGTCGATGCAGCTCGCATGGAAGAAGTGCTTACAGCGCAAAGTCTTAATCACATCCCGCTCTTGGAATTCTGTTAAGCAAATGCTGCAAGTCGGCAGATCCTCGACATCCTTGACGCGTTTCTTTTTGAAATGCCGCTTCTTGATGGCTCCCACAAATCGCTGGCGTCGATGCTTTTGATACGACGCCGCGCACTGATTCAATGAGTAGACAACGCCCAGCCCGCCCCAGAGAGTGAGGAGGATCTAGCGAGTAAGCCAGGAATGGAAACAAAATACGAGGATGACTAGCAAAATGTACTGAATTTCGCTAAACGCAGTGACTACATGCGATGAAACAAAGATGGTAAACCTTCGCCTAGAGAGGAGATAGTAGCGATCGTAGAGACGTTTGCGGCGATTAGATTGATGACGGACATTCCTGTGGAACATGTAACACTAATGACAGGAATCGTGTACTATCCGGTAAGGTGAATGAGGACAACCCCCACATTATAGTTCACACTGTCGGAATCGCTCATTTTCTGGAGATAGTCATAAGATGACAAACACATATTGTTCATCACAACAACTCCAATAGCACCTTTGTCGTTAATCTAGACATCATTTCCGAGTGTTGCAAACACATTAAACACTTGGTTCGCTAGAGAGCAATTATCGAACGTAGAACGCATTATAATCCCAATCTTGCCGGTAACATTGGAAGTAATATCCATGCAATTGTCAAAAGGATCCACTTTTACGATCGGAGCAGTATAGCCTATATACTGACAGTGACAAAGACGTGGCTACTGTTCTTTTCGTACGGAACTCCGAAGTCTACAACCATGTGGTTGTAAATTACCGTATTCTCCCCATAGACTACGAGAGAAACGATAGGGCTGATCAGAAACAATAATAGTAGCATTATTATTATTTTCGATTGGGGTCAAAGTCTTACCTCCCACGACAACCGCGGTTCGAACGTTGATTTCGGATCTTAGCATATCGGAAACAAACAACGCCAATTTTTCCTTTGCTCAATTGACTTCGTGATACGATTCCAGTCCTCCACGGTGAGTCCCGTAACAGGAACTTGATACGCCATGTACCCACACCGTTGGGCAATCGACACATTTATGATATCGTCGTCGATCAGAAGTGTATGTGAGATCATTGCCTGGCGCGTTACAGGATCAATGGTTTTGATAGTTTCGAAATAATCCCCGTTAAAGTTTCGGGCAAAATTCTGGAAGGGTTCTTCCGCCAAAACATTGTAATGCTTTTGCTCCGCATCAATTCGTTCCCACACACGCGCTAGATGGTTGTTTTTACCGCAGTACTACTCATTAATCCACGAACACAGTCATTTACTCGAGGAACATCACCCAACCCTCTCCATGCTTCAATCACAAGTCGATTACAAATATCTGGGTAGTCGCTAAACGTGTTGCCAAAAATATACTCCACTAATTCTCGTCCTCCCATTAGACTCGTGTGGCATGCCATTTTAACATCGGTATTGGTACATATGGCAACAGCTATACCGTTCTGTAGCAGTTCGGGAATGATCAACTTGATGGAATCTTTTACATGGTCTAGAATCTCTTTTGCCTTCAACGGAACGAATTGGCTTTCAAAGAACAATGGGGGAAACATCTGATCATCACGCACAGCAACACCCGAGGTATGCAGGTCTAGAGCGGTTTGGTCCATATCGAATGCAACCAACCAGACCTGCTTTTTGAATTCTGGAGATATCGTTATGCGCTGTGAACTCATTTGATATTCCGATAATCTTGACTTTCATCAAATTCCATTTTTCGTCATTATTTCGTCAAGTTGGAACACTAGAAATCATTGTAAAATGGCACAATTTGGTGAGGTAGGATAGATCTGAATAGAGATCATGGGTAGTTGGTTTTGGTTTGTGGAGATGCGGATGTTCCTTTTAAGGAAAGTACTTTGCCCCCACAGTTTAAGAAGATGCTTGTACGTACTGCCTAGCGCGTGATGACCGTTAGATTCCTGGGAAGTTCAAGCATTGCTTAATCACGGGCGGAATCTCAACAGCGAATGGCGTTGATGAGTTGAAGGCGATTTGCGATGATATATACTATGTTCAGGAAGCTATTGAGGATGTGAGTGAAGACATATTTATTCACGGCTAGGATCCAGATGGAAAAGATCGTATTGAGACTACCATTTGCGGATACAAGATCAATCTGGTCAGTGGAGACTCGCTACTAGCTCAATCGACTGATTCGCTTCTGGAAGCAACTGCTCGTTTGGTAGTGACGGAATTCGCAATTCATTGTAGTACAAGCCTGATATTATGGTGTATGGAGGCACGCACGAGCTGCGTGTTGAAAAGAAAGATGGCGTTTTGTATTTGAATCCTGGCTCGCTGACTGGCGCTTTCAATCCTTGCCATCCGTATAGAAAGGGCGTGGTTGCTGTGTAGAGACAATTGCCCGAGTTTCCTGGTGCTGGGAATGCGCGATGACGATGTGATCGTGTTTACGTACCAAGTGAAAAACGAGAAGCTGGAGGTGGGAAAGAGTGTTTTTAAGAAAAACGAATAAGTGTACAAACTACGAGCCTGTTTGTTTTCACTCGCTCATTCCAGAGAACGAATGAATGAATGAATCAATGAATGAATCAATGAAAAGTGCGTGATCTTCGAGAAATCACGCGGCGGAGGCACGAACTGGCTGCGATTCGTCCTCGTGGGGACCGGTAGCCTTCGGGAGCTGCGACTCAGCGGGTTTGGCTTCGCGCTTGGCTTCCAATTCATCGCTCGATTTCCCTTTTTCTCCTTCTTTTTCGTTGGCTTTGGCTTTCATTTCCACGACTTCGATCTCTTTCCCCGATGGTTTCCTCGATGGTTTCCCCATATCCACAGCGGTTTCCCCATTGGCTTCCCCATCGGCTTCCCCATCGGCTTCGATCTGCTTGGGAAGGCCGTTGAAGAAAACGCGGAAGAAGAAGTAGGGGACCAAAGCGAGGAAGACGGCGACGAGCTTTCCGGCCCAATACACGGGCTGCTGCATGGCGAACCTGCGGATGAGCAGAGCGACAAAAGAATCAAACTGGGGCGCGAAATAGCCGACGAGCTCCGCGGAGGGCGAGGAAGCGAGGAGATCGGTGTAATAGACGAGCGCGGCGTGGAAGAGAAGAATCACGCAGCAATGAAGGACCGAAAAGTTGGGCAGAACGAGGATCATCATGATGTCCTGCAGCAGATACACCGCGTAGAACGTCGCTTGCGTCAGGAAGTCGCTCGCCGCCACGCCCGAGCAGAAAATGAACACGCTCTCGATGATCACGCCCTGCGCCAGCGCGAGCGCGAGAATGGCGAGGAAGCTGCCGATGGAGTAGGCCTGCGAATGGACGGGCGCGGCGCCGTTGGAGTAGGCGTAGAGCTGCGGGTTGGAGAGAAGGTCCTCGTCGGAGTGAACGCGTTTGATGATGAGTCCGACGATGGGGATCTAGAATGAGCGAAATAGAAAAAGAAAGAAAAAACGAAGAGGACGATCGAGTAGAAGGTGAGATGCAGCGAGCAGAACAGCGAGGCTCCGGAGAACAGCGTGAACAGCGAGTACATGGTCTGGCACCCGCACAGCACCACCGATTTGTACAGCGAATACCCCGTGATCGTCCAGCTCCGGCTCCGGTCCCTCGCTCCGTGCACGCACAGCAGTCGCACCAGCGATCGAAACTCCCGCACCACGAAGTCGCCCGCGCGCGCAGCCTACGTCGCACCGCCCCGCGGGACTCACCTGCTCGCCCTCTCTCCCGCGGATCCCCACGCCGCAGTCGCTCTGCAGCAGCATGCTGACGTCGTTCCCGCCATCGCCGATGGCCAGAGTCACGTGCTTGCTCGCCTTCTGCACCCAGCGCACGATTTCCGCCTATTTCTGGAATTCCAAAAATACCCACTTTTTGCTTCGGAGTCACGCGGCAGCACAGCACCGAGTCGAACTGAACCGCGGTTTTGAAGAAGTCCAGGCAGTCCGCCCACGCGAAGATTGCCGCCAACGACCGGCCCGTCAGCACCAGGCTCCTCCCCGCGGGGCAGAGCGAGGCCTTGGCGCGGTCCCAGGCGGCGCGCAGCTCATTGGCCGACGCTCCCTCCAATCGGAGGAGTTTCGTTTCGTCGCACTGCAGAATCTTGGATTGGCGGGAAATCTGGAGCGACGTTTCCACGTGATCCCCCGTGATCAGCCAGAACCGAATCCCGCCCTTCCGCAGAAACTACCTCACATCCCCGCGGGAATCTCACCTCCACGGTCTCCGAAACGCCCTCCTGCAACGAATCTTCGATCGCGCACGTGCCCAGCGCGTCCGCGTCCCGCTCCACGTCCTCCTCGCTACACTGCACACTTCCCCGCGGGGATACATCGAGACCAGAAGACGGTCCCGCGATTTCACCGCGATTTCCGCGGAAGCGAAGCGCGCCGCGAAGCCTTCCCACGCTTCTGACGAAAAACCGCGGGAGGCGAACACCATGGTGCGGTAGCCGCGCTGCGTTCCCCGCGAAAGCGACCGCCGGACCGAATCCAGAACCGCGGGACTGGGGGCGCAGCGGGGAAGCACGCTGTCGTCGGCTCCCTGGATGACAGAAATCGGCCCGATTTCGTACCTTCATGTAGAGCCGGATTTCCCCAGTTTCCCCGTTTCGGACGACGACGCTCATCCGCTTCCGCTCGCTCGAAAACGCGTTCACTCGCTCGATCTTCCATGTTTCCTCGCCGCCCCGCGGGAGTCGCAGCCGCACGACCGTTTCGTCCTTGGCGAGAATGAAACCGCCGAGCTGCTTGAAGCCGTGGAGCAGCGCCAGCTCGTCGGGACTGCCCGAATTCGGGCCGTTTTTTGTCATCGTGCTGGAGTTGCAGAGCAGCACGCAGCGCGCGATTTCTCGCCACCGATCCTAGATAAAAAACCGCGGGAACGCGTACCGAGTGGGTCGGAGGGAAAGGATCCGATGAAACCGACGGATCCGACGGATCCGATGGAACCGCGGGGATGATGTAATCATCTTCGGTGTAGGGGCGGATGGAGACGCTAGGAGAGAGGCGTGATCGGGGTTTTACAGGTCGTCGTCCGCGTGGAGCTCCCTCAAAATCAGTGTGTTTTTTGTCAAGGTTCCGGTCTTGTCGGTGAGGATGAAACGCACGGCGCCGAGCGTTTCGTTGAGCGCCATGGAGTTACAACGCACATCGCCCGGCGTGGCGTTGAGGTGCGGGTCGTGGTGGATGAAGGCGGTGTAGAGGATCTTGATGAGCTCGAGCGTGACCTTGAGACTGGAAGGCACCATGGCGACGTTCAGCAGCAAAAAGCGCAGCGCGAGCACCAAGGGCAGGTTCGTGACCGCCGATTCCATGTACCAGCGCGCGTGGCTGCGGTTCTGCGCCAGCCCGATGGGCGTCAGCACGAACGTGAGCAGGATCTGCGGGAGAGAGAGAGAGAGAGAGAAAAGGAACCTGGAGGCAGACGATGACGACGGTGAACACGCTGGTCATGTGGTCGCTGAGCGGGATTTTCTGCTGCGGGTGGTTTTTGTTCTGGCCGAATTTCGTCTCGTTCCCCGTGTACACCACCGCGCCGTATCTACGAGTAAAGAAGCGAGAGAGGAGGTACGCGAATTGGGTGAATTGGAGCTGGGTGACCTGCAGAAGGAGGTTCTGCGCGGAGAGACTGATGTCGGTGGAGTGGTCGATGCACATGCTGCATGGAAGTTGGGGGCGAGGAGGTACCGTGCGTCAAACTGGTAGATGTGGCAGTCGGGACGACTGCAGAAAATCTCGAGGGAGAGCGAATTGAGGATGCGATGGATCTCGTCTTGCGTCTTGCCTTGAAGTCGCGAATACAGCTGCGGAGGCACTTTGCGGACTTTTAGATCCGACTCGCCGTCAATATTGCTCGTCTGGAGACATGAGTCATCCCCATGAACAAAGTACGCGGATGAAACAATCTCCTCGCGGCCCACTCGAGTAGAGAAGCACGACGTCACAGGGAAGCTCGTCATTCTCTTCGATGTGTGTGTTAAGAAACGAAATAGAGTCGTTTTACATGCTTCGATTTGCATTAGAATGAAATGAAATCACATAATATGAAATCAAATAAAATGAAGGATATGTAGATAATGTCGCCGACTTGAAGATTCATAGATGGTACTTCCACGAGCATATCGCCTTTCAAAACTTTCACTAAATGATGGTTCACTTTCTGTTCGTCATGCTAGTTTACCTATTTTCACCTTATCGTTCTTGTATCGCAAAATGTCCTCGTATGCTTCTCGAATTGCCGTCAGAGCGAAGATAAAAATAATTGGAGCCCATGTGGTCAACGGATGATACGTGGTAATGATGGGAATTAACTACATGCCACAAAAACACAGCGATTACTTCCAAACAAGCTTCGACAACGTAATAAGCATTCATTGGCTGACTAGAAATTAGAATAGTACAACTAACGAACATCAGTTGTGAATAAAGATTCACAAAAAGAAAAGACCACCAATGATACTTGGTGTTGCTAACACGATTCGAAGCAAAACCATAGTTTGGCTGATTCACCAAAATGTGACCTATCCGTTAGGTAAATGAGGGATCGATACGTATGTCTTTGTCTTCGCTCATTTAAAGGGTGAAAAATCCGTACAACAAAAACAATATTATTCTTAGTGTTTATTATTAACCTATGACGTATAGTGATTCGTTTACCCCCTGCCCATTAGGGGTCGATTTCCTCGAGGAGTTGACACAGAGAATAGATTTTTAATGACGTTATATTCCTATTCCAATGGTTAGAATGTGTGGGAGTGAAAGTTTTCGATATCGGAAACGAAAAGTATAAGCAGTTAAATTTGCTCATTTTCGGTTGATCGATAGTGGGAAGTTGAAGGGAAGGAGAGAGATTGATAAACCGAAATGCATTTTTAATTAATGAAAATACGTAGGTTCTTTTAGGTATGTGCAAAATAAAAAGAGCACATAGGATCCACACAAAATAAAAATCTTCTTTACACTTTGACACAACCCACCACTTTCGTACCTCATTCTCCCTTTTCCAAGCCAAATCTAGACACGCCCATACATCATTATCTCTTCCAGTATAAAACAAACACGACGAAAGCAGATCACTACTGGATGGCTGAGATCGGAGCAAAGTACTCAAACGCATTCAGCGCAGTAAGAATATGCCTTCCTCCAGTAGATCTTCCAAGCTCCCCTTTAAACGGAAGTATGGCATCGTACAGCACAAACACATTTTCTTTCCCACAATTATGGAAGAGATTTTGAATGATGTAGTTAGCAAACTACGAGCAATAAGCAGAGAGCGCACTGCCGCCTACGTTATGATGCAAAATCGCTGGGAAGTGCGGAGACCCGACAATCTCGCAGATGATTTGATAACGCACTTGTTCATCGGCGAGAACGATCACTTTCTCGATCACATTGCTGCTGTATTTCTGGCAGGAGTACTCCACCACGTGGCCGAACACCGACCGCGTCAGCAGCTCGCGTTCCTCGGGGCGTCCTCGCTCCAAAACGAACTAGAGCGTGAAAAGAGTTAAAAAAGAAAGCACTTGAACGACGTAGTTTCCGAAGGGATTGGTGATGAGGAGATGCGCTTCGTGCAAAATCGCGTTCATTAATCGATTCCGGTAGAGAGGCGGAGCGCGCAGGAAGAACTGCTGGATCACGCAGCAGCCATGGCGATGCGTGGCGATCTGGAGGGGAGGAGAAGGGAGGAGGAGAGTACATCGATGCAATGCTGGACGAGTTCTTCGAATAAGGGCGTGCAGAACGACTCCGGAATGGATTGCAGACATCGCAGAATCACGTGGTTGCCGTTGGGGTGTGCGGCGAGATGAGCGATGTGGCCTTGCAGCGCGGCGAAAAGCGAGTCGATCATGCTGGGAGAGGAGCAATACTGCGCTTTAGGCCAAAGAGAAGGCGAAATACTTGGACAAGACTCTGCACGCAGCGCGTTCCGTGGATGTTCAGCGACGCGTCGATGACGAAATCGCGCACTGCGGAGAGCTACTCGAAAGCCCGCATCGAGGAGTACGATCTGCGCGCGCCGCTCCTCGCTACACACTTGAAGGAGCATTTGGAAGACGTAGTTCCCGAAGGGGTCCGTCATGAGCTCGCGCAGACTGCTCTGCAGCTCCTCGAAGATCTCCGTCACCGCGGCGGGGCTCGCGGTCAGCAGGATCTGCTGCAGCGCGCGGCAGCCGTTGTAGTTCTTGGCCATGTCCACGACGTGGTCGCGCAGGCCTTTGAGGTCGACTTGCCCTCGCTCGGAGTCGGGGCGAGATCGCGATTTGGACTTGGATTTGGACTTGGAGCGAGGTTGCAGTGGAGCTTGATTTGAGTTTTGGCTTGGGTTCTGGTTCTGGTTTTGATTCTGGTTTTGGAAAAGTCGGTCGTCGGAGGCTTTGGAGTCTGGACGAGAAGCGCGCTTCTGCTTGGCGTCGCGATCTCGATCTCTGGGAGTGAGGCCACTTCCCTTCGCCCACTTGCGAGAGGAGCGAGGCTCGGGCTTGGGCTCGGTGGGAGCGTTGGGAACTGGCGGATGAATTGGGCAATTCCCAACGCACATGCCGGACATGCTGGACGCGCTGGACTCGCTCGGCGCATTGGAAGCATTCAAAACACGCGCGGCGGCCGGTTTGTCCGGCTCGGTGGGTCCTAAATGACCGGCTCCCGCTACACTCTTCGCATTGACATTGGCATTAACAGTAGCATTAACAGTGGCATTGATAGTAGCATTGGCATTGACTCGTATCTGGGAAGAGGAAGTCGGTCGAGGACTCAGACGGCCGTTGGTATTGGCGCGTGGACTGCAGTTTGGATTGAGGCTCTCGCTCGCATGGCTCGCATGGCTCGCGTCCGCTCCGCTGAGACCGGCCATTCCCCCCACGGGTCCCGGCTCGGCGGGGTTCAGCGCGCCCTTCCCCATCGGATTCCCGGCGCCCTGGCCGCGCAGCGATCCATAGCTCGCATAGGCCGAGTAGGCGCCGTACCCTCCGTACCCTCCATATCCCCCGTACACTCCGTTGGGTCCGTTGGGTCCGTTGGGTCCGTTGGGTCCGTTGGGCCCATTGAGTCCACTGGGCCCATTCTGAACATTTGTCCCCATACCTCCCAAATTGGGTCCGCTGGAGCGAGCGGGCGGGGAGATCGGGAGGGAGGCGGCAGAGTCCTTGAAGTCCGGCTGGGAATAGGGAGAGAGAAGGGAGGGCGAAGCGGCGCCCGAGGGCAGACGATGAGTTCGCGATCCGTTCCAACGATAGGAGTCGTGGGAGAGGGAATAGTCGACACTGCCGGGACGATCCGTGCGAATGAAGGAGGTGCTGAGGGCGTAAAAGGACGATTCGGAGGGAGAGCGAGCCGAAAATGGATGGTCGTAATAGCTGGAAGAGGGCTGCGTGGGACTGAAAAAGGGATTGAAAGAATGGATTGTGGGCGTCGAAGACATGAGGTAGGTGTGGGAAGGAGCGTCTTCTTCCATAACGTCTTGCAGATTGGGGAGGGACAGATCAACGTCGGGAACTGGAGGAGACAAACGAGGACGACGTGTTTCAGAGTGAATATCTTGGGACACACATGGGAGCTGGCTAAAAGAACTAGATGAGGGGATTGTGTGGGAGGACTGGGAAGAATGAGAGGAAAGGGAAGAACACAAAGCATTCACTCCAGAATTGGTAGATATCTGGCTTTTAGCGTCAGCAACGAATCATACAATTCCATTCTGCGCAGGAGAAACTGTTGAATTCCCAGAAAGCGGGAGCGAAAATTCATCTAAGAAAGATCGATTGCTTTCCATTGGACCACTTGTGCTGACATTAGGTCGGGGCAGTGCGTCAAGTTCGCAAGGTCTGGTTTCACAGAGTACGAACAAATCTTACTCGGGTGTTAAAACATATGGCTTCACATAGTTCCTTGGAAGGCCATAGGAGTCATCAAGAGAAAACATACTATCTTGCGTAGGAAGTTCATCCCATTGCTCTACACCTTACTAGAAAAATAAGCAGTGTACCAATTGGATAGGCATTGTTCATCTCTCTTTTCGAGTTAGCTTATTTACCTAAACACACACGTAATTATTCCTTAAATCGATAGACAACTGTATGCTGCTGACTTTTGATAATCAAGAATCCCGATTTGATTACTGTTTATGACGAATAAATTGATTTTCGGAAAATTATTATGAGATTCTTAAAACACTGTGTGATCCCGTTACGCATAGCAAATATCGTCAATTATCGATTTTCGAAATGAAGAAATCACAGAGAGTAGGTCATTTTTTCGTTACCTATTCGCCAAATGCCCTGCCTTCGCGTGTTTACCAATGTTGATGCTGACAAATCCACTCTGAATGCCTTCTTAAAGGAGGCTTCCGCCATGGTTGCTAAGGAGCTCAGAAAGCCTGAGAGGTACGATCTGGCTATGTCTTTGTATTATCCCTTAGTTATGTAACTGTTTCCTGTATTGCAAATCAGGCTATGCTGTGGGGAGGAGTCGATGTCCCTTGTGCTCAGATTTACCTCATGAGTCTTGGCGGACTGAACGAGAACGTGAATTCTAACATTTCCAAGAAGCTTGCTGCTCTCCTGAAGAAGCACTTCCAGATTGAGTCTGATCACTACTATATCCACTTCATTGAGGCGGAGGGATACATGATTGGATATGACGGTGCCACTTTCTAGTCATTTTTTGTTCGAAACAAACAAAGGACACACCACACACTCCTTGCGTCGTTATTTCAAAGGATTGAAAACGAGGAACAACCTACAATTCGTTTGAATGAATCAATACAAACAGAATCGGGACTCTTGTCACTCAATACACGATTGTTTTCCTTTTGCAAGAAGTCGAGCTTACAGTCAAATAAATAACTAAATGAGAGAGAATATCTCCACGATATACTATAGGTTTGAATGAAGAGCATTGCGCAACTCGCCCTCATTTGTTTTTCGCGTCTGGTTTACCATCTAGAGTTTTGAAGGATTGAAAAAAGAAGCAAACAATGACAGGTAGTTTGAACTGGATGCACAGATACCGGAAATACAGCAAGAGATGGGTGAGAAAAGATCGGCCGTTTGCGTTATCGAATGAAAACAGCGGCAAAAACAACGGAGTGATACTATCCACGATGATGCAACCCCATCTGTGAGGTTGGAGAATCTAGAGAATCAGGTCTCGACATGGAGGGGTTACAGCTGCATATTTCTCTGCAATATCAAAAAGGGAATACGCAGAATCCACGTTCTCGATGTATAAATCTTGTAGGCATGAAACATCGGATACTCCCTGGCTTTGGAGCATCTCTATGACGCGATCCAACACAAAACTGCATCCATGCTGAATATACAACACTTTTCTGTGGTGGCGAATACACCAACACATCATAGAAAGCGCAAATTGCGTTTTTCCGGAGCCTGGAGGTCCAGAAAGGATCGATAATGCGTGTTTTAAGAAAGTTTCGCCCAAAAACAGATCAATTCTATGCGTAACAATCCAGCAAACATTTCGACATTTCATTTCCAACGGAAGCCAACGGATGTGTCATCTCGTCCGAGAGAAGAGAAGGCAAAGACCAGGTCTCCGAGGTGAGTGAACCGCATATTTGACTATAGAGAGCATCCACTTCCTACATCCAAAACTATCTGTAACAATACGGTCATGGGCATGCCAGTCTTTTTGGCAAATAGAGATTTATCAATATTTAAGATATCAAGCACTACAGTGAGAGGAAAGGACGAAACTTACGGGTATGGGCTCTAGGGAATGCTTGGTGGATACTGTTTTTCACCTCCTGCGTGATATCAATCGAAGAAGCAATTCTCCACATCAAACACTGAAATCACAAAATCGTCCCGATTCTTGGAGTTGATTACGATTTCAAATAAACTGGAGACTGGGTATGGAACAAGATGTGGCTGACCAAGGCATTCCGACGGTCAAGCTATCAGTGAAAATCCTAGACACTCTGTGCAACTATGCCCTTTCCTCATACAAAACCATTTTTTCTCGTGATGAATTGGACCTAATTGACAGAATCATGCACTGCTCTTCCGATGGAAAGAGTTTGTTGTATGCCATGTGACGGTTTCCGTTTTCTGTAATCATGTAGATACCAGCGAAAGTCCAAATTCTTTTCCCCAGTTCTTGTAAAGTCAAAGTGCGAGATTTGGCTTCTGTACGTAGTAGCAAGGATTTCACTAGCAGACTACTTTAGAATTGTGCAACAGCAAGATTTTAGTGACGTGCACAAAGAATGACGTGAGTTCGCTGCTGCCGAGACTCACACTGAAAGACTTGCAAAAGGTTGTGATATCGCAGGGAATGGAGTCTCTGGTGTCTTCGAAGTTGTTTTTTCCTTTCCTATCTGATTGCTTGTAGGGACCTGAACTCAAAGCAATCTCTGCTTTCCTTTTTAAACTCGATTCTCCCCTATAATGACAATAGCAGCAATTTGTTTTCAATTGTGTGCCGTGAGCTGGGAACTCCCTTCACTCTCGATCCCGAAATGAGTCGCTTGTTCTCTTTGCTCTACTTTCTTTACTCTCCATACAACTCGTAATCGCTTCCACTTCTTCTCAAAGCAAAGAAATTCAGCAGAATTGATCCATCATCTTGAAATGCGTCGTTTCCCCTCTTACTTTTTATTTCCAAAAATTCCCTTGTTTTCGAGCAGAGAATCGTTGGATGCGTAATGAAATCACGGCATCCTTGTTGTCTAGTTTTGTTGTCGCCAAACAGATTTCGCAAAGGATCGACAGCTCCACTCTCGCCTCCATTTCTCCAGACGATCTGAATGTACTCTTATCGGCTCTGGTTTCCACGATTACTACCATTTCGGTGGGTTCCAGTGTTGGAAACTCGCCTTCAAGCCAGTATTTGCATCAGTTAGTGATGCAAATCGTTTGCTCTTTTACTCCCTATTGGGACTATTGGACCCAAATTCCAATCAAAGAAGGGTCCTGCACGTCCGAAATAGGAAACCACCTTCTAAGCCTCATTCTCTTTCTCCGAGCATTCGCAAAGAACGAAAAGCCATTGGCAGAACCGTTCGATCGATCGGTGTTGCAAGTGAACGTGGCTTTCAATGACCCGCAGGACGTGAATTCAATGCAGTGCCGCGAGGATTGTGTGGAGGATGTGTTTTGTCAGGAGCGTTTCGTGTCATTGGGTCGTTTTTATGGGTACAAAGCGATTTTGATCAACCTTTGCGTGCGTCTTTTTCAGTTTCTCAAGAAAGATTCTGATTTGTTTATTCTGGCAGTTTCATTGCTGGGAGTCGAACCGTATCGAGGTAGAAACGTGGAAACAGGGTACCCCACAGAGTCGGACCGATGCTGTTGTTGGCGCGTTTTGGTTCAAAGCAGTTCGAAAATTCACTTGAAATCGGTTTTGCTTCGAATCATCGAATTCGCTTTGGAAGACCCTTCCGGTTTCGATCGAATTCTTTTTCTATGGGTAGTGCAAGGCGAGGTTCGATGGCAGCTGCGCGATAAATTCTTTCAGTGCGCCGTGCCGCCGTTTCGATTCAACGTGAAACGTCCTCGCGATCTTCCGTTTTCGATTCGCTACGTGAAAGATCTTCCGATGCGAGGGCGCGTGGGAGCGAAGAACGTTTATTTTAACGATGCGAACGAGGGCATCACCGTAGAACAAATCGCGTTGGAGTACTACGAGAAAGAGTTCGGGTATGAAGGCATCCACGACGAAGGCCAGTCGCTTCGTGAGCTTTGGAATGGAGCGTTAAGTGCAGGGCAGTTGTTTGTGCTTCTGCTGTGGGATTTTATTTACTTCCCGGTCCCGTTTGCGTTCCAGAATCGAAGCCAGACCATTCCGATCGATTACGGGTCGTCGTTGTTTTATGAGGCGCGGAAGCCTTTCATTGACGAATGGCTGGCGCAGTTGAGTCGGCTATCCGACGCTCAAATCCAAAGTGAGGATGTGAAAATGCTTTGATTCGAAGCACTGGTGCAAAACAGCATCGAACAGCATCGAAACGTCGCCTCTCCGATCCAGTGGGACAAACTCGACGATCGTACTCGCTTCCTCTTTCATTCCTTCTCATTTCGCTAGAATGGCTCGCTCGCCTCGCGTTTCATTTGGGCGCTCCGCGCATTGCCTCCATTCTCGCGCGCGCCGTGCGAAACGGCTCGCTGTATATGAAAGGACTGCCCGATCTGACGCTGGTTCGCGATCCCTCCAGAGAGATCGGAATGCCCAGCGTGCTGTTTGTGGAAGTGAAGGGAGAAAACGATCGGTTGCAGCCGGACCAATCGGATTGGATCCAGTTTTTCATGGAGAAATCGGTCAATTTTGAGTTGTGCAAAATAGGCGTGATTTTTGGAGTTGATGTGTAGATTTCGCGATCGGAGGAGAATGGGGTTGTGAAGATGAGCTCGAATTTGGTTCTATCGAAATTGGATCAAGAGCTGATGAAGTCGAATGTGGAGATGCCAAAAAAAGAGCCGAATTCGGTGCTTCCTAATCGATCGCAGCTTTTCAATTCGGCGTTGAGTTTGTTTTCGGACGAAGAACGAAGCGAAGAGTCGAAGGAAGAGAAGCAGCAGCAGCAGCAGCAGCAGCAGGAGAAAGAGAAAGAGAAAGAGGAGAAGGAGAAGGAGAAGGAACAGCCAATGGAACCCAAGAATTCTGTGGAGAAGGATGCTCTGGTCTTCTCGAATGAGGCTTCATCGCATCCAAATTCGCAGGCTTCGCCCATTGATCCAGTTTCGACGCTCCAATCGGCTCGTTCCAACGCTTCAGACAGCGATGTGCTGCTCATTCCAATCAACGCTCTCTTCAATTCGCGCTCCAAGTCCCAAGAAAGCAGCCAGGAAGCGCGGAGACGCAGCTCGGAACTGTCGTCGAGCCAGGAAGGAGCGAAGCGAAAGCGACGACAAAGCAGCGATCCGCTGCGGGAAGAGGGAAAAAAGCGAAAGAAGAAACCTCTGAACAATCGACTCATCACCTCATTCTTTGGCAAATAACAAATGAATCAAATTGTAATGTAATGAATTGTATTATTCCATGCATTATTTGTTATATCAAACAAGAAAACACAGGGAAAGAATGAACGCTTTGCGAAGCCATCCAAAACAACCACCCGCGTCATGAACACTTCCCTCCTCCGCGAGTTGAATGAATCGTTCAATGAGGAACGGAATAAACTTGGCGAGCGACCTCTGCTTGTAGTTGTTCATGCAAAAGAACACGCTGACTACGATCAAACCCATGCTCTACACCCACTTCCAATCATCTCAATCTCATCTTTCCCGCACATTTCCATATATTTCACAGTCAGCAACGCTTCCAACCATCCCACAAAGAACGAAACGCTCTCTTCAACGCCCGATTTCACTCTCTCCAATTCGCTATCCTTGGCCAACCATTCCAGCAACACCGGATTTCCCGTGTATCCGCACTCCCACTCCTCCCAGCGAGCCAGCAGCTGCATCGAACACGCCGCACATCGCAAGGCTGCGCGCTGCGTAGCGCGTCGAGGGCAATTCAAAGAGGAATTGAGAAGACTGCGGAGCGAACGGAAGTGGGAAAGAAGGAAGGGAAGCGCAATGGCGGTGGAAAGAGCGGAACTGGCACAATCGATGAGCAAATGAAGGAGAATGGGTTGGATGGAAGGAGAAGCTTGGAGGAGTGGAATGGAAAATAGAGTGTCAAAGATGGAGAGAAGAAGCTGAAGCATTTCGGCGGACTCCAATTGAATGGTTTGGAAGCAAACTAATCAAAAGAAAAAGAGCATTGCGTTCTACTCGAAAGCAAATCGAGCAAAGGAAACAGCGAATCGACTTGCCATTGCCGAATCGCAGACTGCAGAAGCGAGTGAATTTGCGTCAGCTCGCCTTCTTCAATGCGGTGAAATCGCACGTGATCGGCTGGATCGCCTGGCGCTGAACTCGCTGCGGGTTCGACTGTGAAACAAAGATCGGAAATAGTGCCGATTTCTGGAGTCTCGAATTGGGCGGAAAACGAGTAAATCTTCGATCGAATTCTATGCCCTATTTGTGTTTTCGTTGACCCACTTTGTCAAATTTTGGGACGATTTCTTCAAGTAAAAATTGTGCTGCGTCACATCCAGTTTCCATCCAGGAAATGAAACGCCCAGATCCGAGAGAGAAGCCGATTTCCAGTTGGATCGCAGGGTCTGCAACGCCGTTTCGATGGAAAACCCCGCGAGTCTCTGCAGTTGAACGGGTTTTTATTTCCCAACCATGAAATACAAGCAAAGAATTTGGGGCAAGTCGTCGTAAATATCATCACACAGGATTGCGATCCCACCTTTTTGAAGGAGAGCTGCGCAATGGCTCGAAATCGTACTGGTCCCGACTTCGCTGCACGCTTCAGCGAGCGAATAAAACCCGCGGGAATGCGAGGAAATATCGACGATGGACCGAATCGATAGGAACTTTTTCGCAGAAGCGTCGAGCGCTCTACTCGATAAAAAGAAAAATGGGGAATTGGACTGTGAGGTCACGTAGAGTTGTCTGGGGAGAATGCAAATGGGGAGGATCCCGTGGACGACGGCTGCGTGCTGAGAAGTGATAAAGGGAAAGAGATCAGCAAAGAATTCGAAAGAATCCTGGAGAGTGAGGAGTCGGAGAGGAAGAGGAAGCGATTGGTATTCTCGGTAAACAGCTTGTACCTGGCTTTCCTCTCCGTATAGGAGAAGATAAGCATGGCGATCCGATTCAAAAGGCACACTACACACAGATGAACTAATAGCGGCATGCGTTGAAGGGTCGTCTATTTTGTCTAGGCTCTATTGTCGACAAGAATACAAATTACCAAAGGGAATCGATATCGCTCCCACAATATGATTCTTATCAAAATCGTCTCGAGAGCGGCAGTCAATCAGAATGACTTCTAGGTCCTGTGGTGACTAGATTACGAATATGGCAAACCTCGTTTTCCTTCGTTTCTTGAAGCATGTTGTAAAACCCGACGGAATTACATGAACGGACATTAGCATACTTTGCCTCCTTTTTCTGTGAAGCCAAATCCTCTAAGACTCACAATTTGTCAAAAACACGACTTGCTAACTTTTTTGCACTATCGAGCAACTTATTGAATTCGACAGGCTTAATATAATCCGCTGTCTGCATAAAATCACAAAATGAATAGTTTCAATGATGTTCCTTCCTCTCGACCCACCCTGCATGAAAGGCCAGTTTACGCGTACTATGTACTGCTTTGCTATTTCAACTTGTACCCACAGCAGAATCTAGAAATGTGAAAAATACACAGCTTTCTAATGAATCCATATTCCATCGTGTCACAAGAATAAGTCCCAAAAAACGAACTAACAGAATGCAACCAGCTCTTCTTTCTCGTAGCTGCACGGCTATGCTGCGATCTACACGATCGCTGGCGATGAAAGCTTCTCCTGTCTTGTTCCAGAGACCTTTGTCGTAAGTGGATTCTATTTGGTGTTTAGCGATCTAGTTACATCGAGGAGCAGTACGCTCGTGGAAGAATGGTTTCTCCCCATCTTTCCATCTACAAGGTTCGCTGGGCTACCATGTCTTCGGGTTGCCATCGTTTGACCGGTTTGGGTCTTTGGATGGGTGTGCATTCGCTTTTTGTTGTAATCTCTAGGTTTCACCGCTGCGGGTATTACTGCTTGCTGTGGAGTGAGCGTGCCTGCTCTGATCGAGGCCATTAAGTTCCACCCTCTGATTCTTTACGGAGGCAAGTTCTTTTTGACTTATGCTCTTGGCTACCATTATGTGTGTGGTTTGAGACATATCGTGCGTGTTGCGTGTCCATATTTAATTTGTAGTATTATGAGTACTATCCGGATAGATTGACTTGGGATCACATCACAAGCAGTTCTCTGTTGATTATCTGGGGTATGTTCGCTGCCTCCCTCCTGCTGACATGGGCCAAACTGCCTGCCCTGAAGCCCAAAGAGAAGAAATCTGAATAACGAAACAATGATTTGTATTTGTATACGACCAACCACCTATTTGCTTGTTTGTTCTCATCAAACACGCTCTCCAATGGAAATCGTATTTAGTTAACGGTGACTTCGACCTGGACAGAAGCATCGATCTGGATGGTGGTGATGCTCTTGACGACCTCAACGGAGCTACACAATAATCGACTTGCAACGCAACGTACGCAATCAGATCAATCACACGCTTGTGGATTCTCATCTCGAGGTGCTCCCAGGTGTTGGTACCCTCTCCGCAAGGGGACTTACGAGTGGTAACGCGCAAGAACTTGGTGGGCAGACGAATAGGTCCAGCAACCTTCACTTGCTTCTCGGTGGCAATGCGCTTGATATCAGCGCACACTACAGCATTAGCACACAACCACAGAGTCCTTACCTCTCTCGACGGCCTTCACATTGGTGGAGGTGAGAGTAATACGAATGCGGTGAACATCCTCGTTAACAATTTTTTCCTTTTCCATGGACATAGTAGAGGGCTGTAAAACAGACGATAACCTGAACTATTTATGAGAGTGGTGGTGATCGAAATGTGCAGTGATTTATGATAACTAAAAAGCGCGGTTTCAGATCCATTGAATTGAAAAATACCAATTAATCTCCCTATCGTAACCGGTACTTTTCGTTGCTTTTTATTGATCATAAGAAATACTGCACTCTGCTACGAATTTTCGATTGTCAAGTATGTAATGGTGAATGATGCGAAAACAGTGGGACACGATAGCCGTCCGACCTTGAGTTGCCGATAAGCCCTGTGTGGTGTTTTGAGGCCTTTATGAATGGTTTTTCTAACTAGCTGTAGATGGAAAGAATTGATAAGAGTAAGGGAACTACTGCTAGAGATGTCGAGGCCATGAAGCTGATCAAGGCTTACGCCGAGTACCTGAAGAAGAAGGGAACCGTGTCTCTTCCTAAGCTGCACGATATCATGAGAACCAGAGTGTTCAGCGAGTACAGTCCTTATGACCCCGACTGGTACTTCATTCGTTGTGGTATGGAGTTGTACTTTGCCGTGATCCCTAGCTGCTATTGCTCGTCACCTCTATCTGAGACCTGATGTGGGTGTCAAATCTTTGCGTGATGCTTTCGGTGGTCGTCATCGCAACGGAGTCCGTCGCCAGTACCACGATCATGTATGTTCGCGCGTGAGAAGGGAGTGCTTATGCGTAGGCTAACGGAAACATCATCCGTCACTGCCTTCACAACCTGGAGGCTCTGGGACTCGTGGAGGTCGGCAAGCACGGTGGTCGCAGACTCACCAACGCCGGATACAAGGATCTGGACCTCGTTGCTAGACAGATCTAAGTGAAAAAACGAGCAGGTGCAAGGAGCTTCAGAGATGTTTGTTGTATCAAACAAACAAGAAAACGTTCCAGCTCGAGACAGGCAAACATTCACAATTACTTCAGCTTCTTCTTGGGGCGGAGGTGGTTGCTGTGTCCGCACTTCTTCTTACGGCAGTTGTGCGCACGAAGAGGAAGACGAGCGTAGCACTTACGGCACACCATCTTCTCGCAGTTGTACTTCTTGGCCAGAGCAGCCAAGGTGGGCTCGATCACTCCTCCAGCCATCTTGAACAGCACTTCAATGGTGGCAGCCTCGCTGACTCCGCAGGCGCTGATCGCCTCCGAATCGTCCAGCTCCTTGCCAGCGAACACAAAACGCTGGTTGTAGTAGTCGATGTTCTCCTTCTCCTGAATCATCTTCTTGACGTTCTCCACGGACTCCGTGGGCTGAACCTCAAGAGAGACGGTGTTTCCCTACAAGGCGATTAGCATCACTCTCAGAGCAGCAATTCAACAACCTACAGTAACAGTCTTAAAAAAGAGTTGCATCCTGGTAATAAAGGCTCTCGAGTGTCACTTTATGAAATAAACCAAAAGGGACAAAATGGCACCTATCGCGATCTCCCGCGAATCTCGCTCCTTATCGACCGATTCACAACAAACACGCAAAATCTTATTCCTCTTCCACCCAATTCAAACTCTTCTCAATCGCCTTTCGCCATCCAGTGATTCGACGCTCGATTCCCTCCTGATCCATCACACCATGGAACCTACAATGGATCCCTCCACGCTTCCTTACGTTTTGTCCACCACCCACTTCTCTCGAATATCGTCCATCGATGTCCAATACCCCACCGCGAGTCCCGCCGCGAAGCACGCCCCCAAAGCAGTGGTTTCGGTGACTTTTGGAATGACAATGTCCGTATTCAGAATATTGGCCTGGAACTGCATCAAGAACTACAGTCCACAGCGATCCGCGTGCCTACATTGTTCGCGGTCATTCCTCCGTCGACCTTCATGGAGGTGATTTTGATTCCGCTGTCCCTCTCCATCGCGTTGAACACATCATACGTTTGATACGCCGTGGCCTCCAGCACGGCTCGGCAGATGTGGTTTTTGTTGATCATTCGGGTCAATCCCACGAAGACGCCGCGCGCGTCCGATCGCCAGTGCGGCGCATACAGCCCCGAGAACGCAGGGACGACATACATGCCCTCGCTGCTGTCCACGCTGGTCGCCATGGCTTCGATCTACGTCAATCGTGGAAACGTGGAAGGAACCCACCTCGGAGCTGGATCGGATCATGCCGAGATTGTCGCGCAGCCACTGCACCAGAGCTCCCGCGATGGTGATGGATCCCTCCAGCGCGTAGCAGGTGTGCCCCGTCGCGCCGATCTTGTACGCCACCGTGGTGACCAGGCCGTTCTGGCTGTCCACGATGGTATCGCCCGTGTTCATCAGAATGAAGCACCCCGTGCCGTACGTGTTCTTCATTTCACCCGCTTCGAAACACGTCTGGCCGAAGAGAGCCGCTTGCTGGTCGCCCAACGATCCTAGGTCCCAAGACTGCTCCGGAAATACCCGCGATTTTCACGCCGTCCAAACAGCCGACGCCCGTGCCGTAGACTTCGCTGCAGGACACGATTCGCGGAAGGACGGAGCGATCCACGCCGACGATGGCGAGCAAATCATCATCCCAGTCGTGCGTTCGGATGTTCATCATCATCGTTCGACTCGCGTTGGTGATGTCGGTGATGTGCAGTCCGCCCTAAAAGACATCACGAGAGAGAATGTTGAAGTACGTGGACCCCGCCAGTGAGATTCCAAATCAGCCAGCAATCGATCGTGCCTACCAAGATTCGATGCTCTTCAAATCCCTTTTTCACCTCCGGAACGTGGGTCAGAGCCCAGTTCAGCTTCGGGCCTGTGAAATAGGAAGACAGAGGAAGGCCTGTCTTCTGACGATACCACTCCTTGTCGTGGGCGTTTGTGAAATTGTGGATAACTTCATCCCCTCGGCAATCCATCCAAACAATCGCATTATACACTGGCAGACCTGTGAATTTATCCCAAATCACCAGTGTTTCGCGTTGGTTGGTGATTCCAATTGCAGCCAAATCAGATAGTGCAAGGTTTCCTTGCTTCAGACAGTCAGATACACAAAACTAGAGTCTATCCTAATCGAAATGCTCTACTTCAACGTTTTTCAGAATTGTCATAGGATCATGCTCTACCCATCCAGGATGTGGCATAATCTGCTCATGCTCTTTCTGTGACACACTAATTATAGATCCATTTTTATCAAAAACAATAAAGCGCGAACTATACAGTAAGAGAGAACAGAATCTGGGAATTGTATCCTACCTTGTTGTTCCCTGATCGATTGCAGCACAATACATTTCAAAATAGAAATGAGTAAAAGAATGCCCGATTTTTGGATCCCTTCTCTCATAGCTTAATTTCCTTCAAAATCCACGTTTTCAGATAGTTTGCATGAGATGATGAAATCGGAGCAGGAGAAAAGTTCCAAATTATGTGAGGTACTTTTCTTGAGTTTACCCTTCTTGCATGTATGCTGTTTTTTATAATGTATGAACGTGTAGCATTCTGATATTGCAAAATTGCGCTGTGTGAATAAGGAATTATATGATTGTATGGTAGAAGGAATCTTTGAGTGTAGGGTCCTATCAAAAGGATGTATTTCTTCAAATCATATCAAGCAACGCGTTTACCGGTTACTCTGTCATAGAGTATGCGTTTGGCTGTGTTTTTAGTTGTAGATATTGGGAAAATTGCTTGCTACCCCAAAAATTGTCTTTAGATTATGAATCGGTGTATGATCATTTGCGTGGGTATGGGTTTGGCAGACAATTTGTGGAGGATGAAGGTATTTATGGTAGGTAGATGATTTGGTAGTTGAAGTACAGGAGATATCAGTCGTGATGTCAATCGCACTTTTCCCACCCATATCTTATTCAAAACTGCCGGTGGTCTAGGCCAAATGATGCTGGAGAACATTCTTCGTAGTCTGAGCGAGTACTTCTCCAACATTGGATACTGCCAAGTACTCTCGTGTCTTGTTGCCTGCTTAATTCAGGGAATGAATTTTGTGGTCGGTGTGATTATAATCGCGATCGTCGACCCCAGCGGGATTGGCTTTGAAGGGAACGAGGCGAGTGACGAGCAAGTGCTGCGAAATACGGTGCTGTGAGCTGAAACCTTTGCTGAAATGAATGACAGAGAGTCCCAAATCACCATCGAAAAGCGAGCGTTTGCGATCGTTGTGAACCTGATTCGCCTGCTGCACATGGAGGAATTGTGGAGTCGCGGGATTCCTGGACTCAAACGTTTCGTGTTCATCCTCCAGAAATACATGAAGTACTTTTTGCTCCTCTTCGCCTTGCGTGACGCACAGACTTTACTGTCCGCAGCTGCTCTCCTATTTCGAAGAGATCGGATATGACGTCAGCATCATCGTCTCCAAATGGTTCATCACTCTCTTCGCCTACGTACCCTGCTCCCCTCTCTCTTCCCGCTAGACGCTTCCTTTCCCCCTGCTCTACCGCTTGTGGGGTTTTATTCTGCTGCAGGTAGGCGCTGGCGTTCGGTTCCATGCAGCATTGGCCGGGGATGATGGTCGTTTCGATCGGTCTGCTTCGCTATTTCGAGGCGTCCATCCTCTCCAAGGACATCGTGCAGTTCTCCATCATGATGAAGGACGTGCGCACGCGCTGGCTCCAAACCGCAGAGGACCAATCGCGGTTATTTGCGATTATGAAGGAGCTGGGCGACATCAACAAGCGAACCTTCCAGGCGTTCGAGGATGAGTACCAGCGCGAGGTGGCGAACCGCGGGGATCTGGACATGAATTACGTGCCGGTTCTGTAGGGGCGACGGAATTCGATCGAAGGTAGGGACAAGCAGGAAATCATGCGGCGACGGCAGCAAATAACGCGCGGAATCGACGTGATTCGAGCCAAACTGGAGGAGCTCAGCGAGCAGGAATACTCCATAAAAATGGAATTCCAGAAATACCGGGATCTCGTTGCGCTGTACAGTGAAGAGGAGCAGGAACTGCGCGAGTTTAAGCAGGTGCCGCTTAGGAAAAAGAAATCGATGGGTTGTAGTCGCTGCTCAATCAAGTCGAGTCGTTGTTGTATCTGGACCAGCATTCGCTATTCGATACGGAGGTGTCGGAGGAGCAGATGGCGCGGATTTCCTTCCAGAGACAGCAAGACGTGAACGTGCTGTGTGGGAAGATTAAGCAGGTCACGAAGCAGGAGAAGGAGAAGACAAGGGTGAAGGAGGAAGCGCGTGCTGAGTGGGAAAATGTGAAGAAGAGTACGGAGAAGGGGGGGAATAAGAGATAGAATGGGAGATGATTTTGTCGGAGAAGAATGTGTTGAAGGAAGAGTTGATGGATGCTGTGAAGGAGCAAGCGAGTCTTACGAAGTGATCGAGGGGTGATGTAAATGTGTGATTCCATTGTTTTTTTGTTTTTTTTAGAATTATGCAATCTTCAGAGCAGCACGTTTTAGAATACTTTTTTGGAAGGACCGTAGGGTGACAAAGAGAGAGTACTAGGTAGGTGAAACCAGGAGAGACATCAACAGTTGGTTTGATGTTTCGCGAACTTGCTCTAACCAATGTACTCAACACTCGGAGTTGTAAATAATAGGTTGCGATTCGAGGTAATCCAAAGAGCACCGTTCGAGTAAAGGGAATTCTGGATGGCCAGGAGTTTTTAATCGCGAATTTGTCTCCCAGTAGCATATAGCATGAGTTGGTTATATAGAATATCCACAATGCCGCTTGGACATGAAGTTTACAAAAGACTGCGCCTTTGTGAGTTTTGAGGTGGAGGGGGATGCAGAAGTCGATTTGATTGGATATGTGACGGGTTTGGATACTCAGAAAATGATGTCTCTGAAAGAAGCGATGGAATTAAGTGATGCGAGTGACGATGAAGATTACGTGGAGGAAGAGGAAGAAGAGAAAGAGGAGGAGGAGGAAGAAAAGGAAGAAGAGAAAGAGGAGGAGGAGGAAGAAAAGATCAGCGAACCAACTGAAGAGAAGCCAAAGGAGCCTGTGAAATATGAGCGTTTGGAAGAGCTTCCTCGCGACAAGGTGGATTTCAATGTCGAAGGCTACAAACACATGGGGAAGTACATCAAGTACAAAGATGTAGTGAAGGGCACAGGGAAGCTGCCGATTAGCGGTCATCGCGTGGATATCAGCTACAAGCTCACTCTTCCTACCGGCGAAGTGCTGGATAGTGACAACGTCGAGCATAGTACGCGCATACCGTTTCCCACACAGTTCCGCGTCGGTCTGGGACATGTGGTGAAAGGATTGGATCGAGCGATTTTGAGTAGGCAAGAGGACAGAGTGAGACATAGACATGCACATTGGAGGAGTGAGAGAGATTCTGTTGGCGCCACCAATGGGATTCGGTGAGAAGGGAAACATTATGAGCGATATTCGTCCAGGCGAATGCATTAAGATGGAGGTGAACTTGCTGGGATCAAGTTAAGGGAATGGTTAGAGTGGAAGTGAGATGTTTGTTAGAGAATGGTTGTGAACAGCTTTCAATTGCTGGGTTTGGGACTGCAATTCATTCTTTGATTGATTGATCGATTTGTGTTTGTTTATTATATTACAAATGTGCTTATTTGATTCAATGAATGAATGAATGAATGAATGAATGAATGAATGAATGAATGAATGAATGATTGTTGGATGGTTCAAAGACTTGTTGATATAATGACTCATTCTCTTCATTCTATCCATCAATCCATTTCACGATTCGATTTCAATTCTTCAATTCTTCAATTCTCATTTCATTTCAAAAGTGTTACAATGCAGTTCTCTTCGTCTTTGTCTCAGTCTCAGTTTCAGTCTCGTTCTCGTTCTCTCATTCTGTTTTCAATATTCATTTTCATATTATCAATTACACTATTTCCATACCATCATTAATAATATCAATTTACTATTGAATCAAATCATATCAAATAATCCAATAATACCAACAATTTCTATTATCAATATCATCACCATTATTATTACGACTATTATTACGATTCTAATCAATACCAAACAGCTATTTAAACAACCTGGAACCAATTGAAAGAATGAATGAAAGAAAAGAAGAAGAAACAAGTGTGAAGTATCTAAGTATGCATAAACAAGAAATATTGTATTAAAATTGTGTAAATGATTAATAATGTAGCGAAGACAAAGTAATTTGGATGTTCATTCTAGTTTGTCTAGTAACGAGTATATTTCAAGGGATTTTGGGTGTAATGACGGAATCTCTAAGTAGAATATAATAGGAATATGATATAATGTACAGGTTTCTATACAGAGTGTGTTCACCGAATTGAACATATAAGTAACTACATAATCGTAATAATCGGGAGTGTATTATCCAAACGAAAACGAGAAGGTCGTGTGGAATACTTGTGTGTATTTATAGTTTCTCTCTCAGTTCTAATAGTATGAAAATGATGGTAAATTTAATATGATAGTGCTGTTGTTTCTTATTAGGAGAGCTAGTCCATGGTTTGAGTGATGGTCACCACATAAAAGAGATGGAAGTATCCGATGATATTCTGCAATATTGCGACTATATAAGTTATGTATCATTTGTGGAATCACTGATTTGCATTTTCTGTTTCCGATGGTACAAGAGACAATACAAACTTCGTTATTCTCGCGATGTTTATGAAGCAAGTAATAAAATGGTGAATGAAATGTTTAATACTCAGAGGTTTCATCAGTGGGTAGTATTTCGTTTGGCGACGGAATGCATTTATGTTTGGACGTATTGAGTGTGAGTATGACGGTGGTGTCTCGTTCCATGGGTTTATCTCGGAGATGGATGTACAGTGATGCAGTGGAGTGTTGTCTGATGTGTTTGCTGCTAATATGGAGTTCGTGGCCTTCGATGATGACTTGTGGCGAGATCTTGGTTCTGGATATTTCGAGCGAAATCGGTGAAGAATTGCGTACAATAAACCGTCGTATCTCGATGATCGAAGGTGTTGTTGAAGTGAAACGATTCCAATACTGGATAAATCGTCCTGGATGTTTGTCTGGACTGATTGTTGTTGAAGCACATCGTACAGCGAACCAAAAGCAACTGGTTTCTACAATCGAGTCGATGTGTAGTAATAGTTTCGAAGAGTTGTGTGTTGAAGTGGAACAAGATCCTTCTTTGGAATGGTTGGATTGATGATGATAATATAGTGTATTGTGTATTGTAAATAGTCGTATTGTTTGTTGTATAAAGAGTAGTAACTTGTAAGAGTTCCTTATTAACTTGTATGATGGAATATGAATGAAATATAATAATAATAATAATAATAGAATGGATGGATTGTATATCCGCGAAGTGTGATATGAGTTCGGTTTATCAATGAATTCGAGCGGTTTAATTAGCTGTTTTGTTCATTGCATAACGAAAACTCCAATTTCCTTACAGGAAGAGGATTTTGGTGAAAGTGATTGTCGACTTCCTCCAATTACTGATATTCTTGTAATAGCAGAAGAAAATATTTCGATAATACCGAAAGAATATGTCGTAGTATTAAATCAGAGCGAAGATGCTGAACCCAGGGGTTCAATTTCGATCGAAGGGGGAAAACGTGGCTATTTGTGTATTAGACGCAGCTTTGGGCACTATGCTATCTGTTCACTTAAGTTATTTCATAAGTCTCAAATCAAACATGCTGCTTGTGAAGGATATTTCATCGTAAAGCTATACCCTGAGGGAAGAGTAGTGAATTTTGGAAATGATCTCGTCCTGGGGTAAGTGTCAATTCTCATAATCATCAAAAGAATGCGAAGTGCCCGTGCTGATTTGTATTTGTCGTCCATCCTTTTGCTTTCTTGGGATACCGATGTTGCTTTTGAGTCGTTTGCTTTATTCTAGCCCTTTTTGTATCCCGATTACACGCCAGTAGGGAGTGATGTGCATCCTTCCCTTCAATTTCTGATGAAGTTGCAGCCTCATATTCACCGCTACGAACTTTTCCACCTTGAGCCATCATTGTATTGGGAAATCGGAGACAAAATACCTGCTGGAATTGAAAACATGGTTTTTCAGGAGGGAATACCCATTCGATTGAGAAGACCAAAGGACTCTCTCCTGAACGATGTGAGCTTCCGCTCCTTCGTGACCTATGAGGTGAACGGCGATATGGTACAGGCATGTCAATGCAGGTAACTCGTAGCTCTATGGGTACTCTCTCCATTATTGGCGCAAAGCATCCAAAGAGGAAAAGCAGCAGTGTTTGGAAGGCATGCGTACCTTAGTGTCAAACATGGATATCAGTATCGATAAGTGTTATTGTATTAATTTGAGGTGTTCGAGCGAAGAGAGGGTTTTTTGCTTCCATCAAAAGTTATGATCACGATGATTGTGTGCTGTGGGTGCAGCAAGCATTTGCTATTGTCTCCATTTTCCCGTATTCGCGATCTTTTCATCGTCTACTCCTGTATGACTTGCTCATTCTTCTCACTTTCTTTCAGTCAAATGTATGAATCTTCGTTTATCCAGATTAATGACCTGACTGTTCCAAATCTGCTCAGCTTACATCACCATCATCTCCGATCCGAGCAACATCTTCGCTGGTTATTGCAGCAGCAAGTGTTGCACGATATCGCGACCGATCTGGTCCGCTGTACTCCTGCTCCCCAACTTGGAGATACGATTGTGATTTCTCTGGGGGCAAACGAATCGGTCAAGATCTGCAGGCATTATTCTCGCGGTTTTCCATTGTATGACGATAATATTGCACCGATCTTTTTATTGCTACCATCCTCCTCGATCTTGACGATTGTCCAGACCTTGCTTCTGGAAGGAAAGGTTGTTCTGCACTCGATTCATCGCGCAGTGATTTCCAATGTTGCTCACACATTGCGCCGGTTTCTGTTTCCTTGGAAGTTTGCTGGGTCGTTCATCCCACTGCTTCCTTCTTGCATGTTGCTGGCAGTCCAAGTGCCAGGGTGTTTCATCATTGGAATCGAAACTGTGAATGCTTGGTGTTATCTTTATTCTAGAAGTTTCTGCGCGAAGCTCCTCTGCCATCGGACGCATTGATCGTGAATCTGGACACTGGAGGATTATTGCACAGCCAAGACTTTGATCCCTTGCCTGCTCTTCCTGACTGTTCAACACTAGATTGATCCTCACCACTAGATCTTTTGTCGCAGGTTCGCTCCACCATTGAGTCTATTCAGTACTCTTTGCAAGAGCATTTTGGCCAGTTTGTTGATTGGTATTGGCATTGGAACAAGCCCGATCCCTCGCACAAACTACCAAAATTATCTCGCTCCGAGAGTCTCCAGCTCTTTACGAGCATTCTAGACGTGTATGCTGGCATGTTAGAGGGATATGGGAAAACGATGAAGTATCGGGATTCGGGGGATTACAGTGGCTGTACGTTGGATGATATGTTCGATACGCCTGAGTTTCTTCATCGTATGCCCCGCTCTCTGCGTCCTTTTATGTCGCGGTTTGTCCAGACACAGTTATTTTCAAACTTGATTGTTAGCAAGACGCAGTGCAGTGCCACTTCCTCTTCTTCGCTGTTGGCACTTCTTGATTTTCCTGTTTTGTTCTTTGATAAATATTTGACTTTGATGAACCGTCCTTTTGAAGACAGGTTCAACCATCTTCGAAAAGTTTTGTACAAGCATAGCAACCGGATCCTTCTTATTTCGCTCCATTCTGGGCAAGGAAACTCCCCTTCGAAATCGCATAGTTGCGATGTAGATGATTTAACTTTGGATTCGCTATCTATTGGAGAACTAGCCGAGGTGGATTCCGATCTCGTAATGGCAGCAGACATTTATTGCACCGAGTGCAATCTTCAAATTCCAATGAAGTATTCCATTCACATGGATCGTTATCAATGTCCCTTTTGTCTATCGACATTAAGTCCTCTTTTGCGCGTGTTTTCTGACGAGGGTGTACAGACATTTTCACTGTTGACTCCCCAAGCAGTCAAGGAGTCTCCCGATACATTAGAATGTTTGTACTCTCGCTATATTCTCTCATCCTTGCGAACCCACGTACAACCGGTTCTGCCTCTCTCCCTAGCGTCCATGCTGTTCTATCTCCGACCCGGGAAAGCGTTCGCTCGGTCCATACTGAACGCATGGTGTGGAATCAACGAGGAGATTCAAGTGGATAATGAGAATCGCTGGATCGAAGACATGGAATTGGGAATATTTAGTAGTACTCCCATGCTAGCCGAAAACGGAGAACTCATTTTGGAAGGTCTGACTCCCGATATCATTAACATGGTCAACGAAATCATCAAATATCTGAGTAGTGGAGATGTGGAAACTGCTTGTAAGCTTTTCCTCTATTGTCGTGGTGGAGACGTGCATGAGTGCTTCCATAAGTAGGTGATGAATGTGTGGAGTGTGTAATGAATCATAGACCTATGGGCGAGTTCCTCGAATTGTGTGTCCTCCTAACGAACTTTAATGTGGTCGGCGTTCGTCAGCTGGTAGATAATTGGAAGTTGCAGTACAAGACTGTGTGTCTGGTCTAATTGTGTGGAATGGATGAGAAATAGAATCTGCAGCCTCCTGCCTCCTATTACTTTCATTGTGCTGACCTCTTATTGCTGGATTTTGGTGTTTGTTGCCACCAAACAAAACAAGAAAAAGGAAATAGAAGAAGAAGATGATGATGATAAATAAACTTGGTTAGTTATTAAGAGTGTAGGTGTATCTAAGTCAAAAACGACAAACTGTAGCCCCTACCCACACTTAAGACATTTGTAAAACACAGTGGAACCTTCATCAACACTACGAAGCTGAAGCGTATAGAAAGACATCTGAGGATTCTTGCAACGAGGACACTCTTCGTCCACCTACACAATAAAAAACAGCAAATAAGTAAAAAACCAAAGCACGAGTAGGACCCACTTGAATCTTCTCCTGTTGCTGTAATTCATGGACCCATTGCTAAAAGAATCATTGTTCTCAATGCTTAATCCTACGGGAACCGGCTTTGGGTGGCTAGAGGTAATAATTGTGGTGTTACTCAGATCTATAAGATAAAAGGAAAAAAGCAAGCCAACCAGACATCTGGCACTTCCAATGGCAAATGCCACACTCGATTGTTCCTGATTCAGGAAGATCCAAAATAGAACCGCAAACCTTGCAAAACTCTACATTGTTTACACGAACACCTCGCTTTTCGAAGTTATCAATAAATTTGGACATTGTTTAATTCAAGGCAATAATGAATGAGTGTATTGAAGTGTCTATTTTCAGTGGTTGGTAACTGCATGCTACGCCTAAGCTTGAAGAGCCAACTTTGACTGGCCAAGTTGTTCTCAGGAAAGAGAGGCGACTCGATCACCCCCAAAAGTCACAAAAATTAATAGTAATCAATCAAATGATCCATCTATCCTCAAAACGCATAGACAAGAGACCCCGTAAAATGTTTGTTCCTTGTGAAAAGAGAAAGAAATAAACGATTGTCGAAAGGGTACAGTAATCATCCTGATCCTTGATCATCAATCCCAACAGATTTTAATTGTTTCTCCCAACAGCGTGATGCTAGCGAAATTTGAAACAAAGAGTTCTCGTGTAAAAGGCATTGCACTGCATCCCAAACGTCCGTGGGTCCTATGTAGTCTTCATGATGGACAAATTCAGCTTTGGGACTACCGAGTTGGCACATTATTAGAGACCTTTAAGGAGCATAACGGTCCTGTGCGATCAGTCGATTTTCACTGCTCTCAGCCATTGTTCGTTTCTGGTGGAGATGACTACAAGATTCGAGTTTGGAATTACAATTCAAAGAGGTCTCTGTACACCCTGATGGGTCATAAGGATTATATTCGTGGAGTTCAGTTTCATACACAAAATCCCTGGATTGTAAGCTGTTCGGATGATCAGTCCATTCGAATATGGAATTGGCAAAGCCGAGAATGTATAGCCGTTCTTCAAGGTCATAATCATTACGTAATGTCAGTCCAGTTCCACATGACTCAAGATTTGGTCGTCAGCGCTTCTCTCGATCAGACTATCCGCGTTTGGGATATTTCTGCTTTGAAGCAGAAGGGTAAAACAGTTCCGGGTCTAAATCCAGTTCCCGCTACTGTAATGGGCCGATTTGGAATAGATAACGTGGGTACTGTGAAGTACATCCTTGAAGGGCACGAACGAGGGGTGAATTGGGCTTCTTTCCATCATGAATTACCTTTAATTGTGTCGGGTTCAGATGATCGCATGATTAAGATTTGGAGAACAAACGAGTCAAAAGCATGGGAGGTGGACACAATGCGTGGACATACCAACAATGTGAATTGCGTCCTTTTTCATCCGCACGAGGATTTGATTCTGAGTGTGAGTGAAGACCACAGTATCCGTGTATGGGACAGTACAAAACGTATCTGTAACCAGACTTTTATGCGTACTCGAGATCGTTTTTGGTGTCTGGCCACACATCCCACGAAGAATTGTGTAGCAGCTGGACATGACTCAGGAGCAGTTGTGTTTAAGCTCTCTCGAGAGCGAACTCCTGCTGATGTGTTGGATGCCCGTTGTTTTTATGTGTTGAATCGTGGCTATCAAATGTGTGACGTGTATTCCGGAAAGAACCAAACTACCATTATGCAGATTACGCGTGGCGCTGCCTTGTCTGCGAGTGAGCCGCGGGAGTTGATGGTGAATCCGTTCTCTTCTTCCGAGTATATGCTTCTCGTCTTTAACCGCTCGAATGGAGGGTCTTATGAAATGGTTCGTTTCCCTCAGAATTCTTCTGGCCGAATTATTCCTGAAGTGGTCAGCGGAAATGCTCTGGGCGCCGCTTTTATCGGTCGCACAAAGTTCGCCACTCTGGAGTCGAACGATACGCTGTTCATTCGTAACTCGGACAACATTGTGGGTTTTGTGGCTGGGGGATCTCACGCTTAGGTGACCAAGCGTCTCACTCTGCCTGTGGGAGGCGTTTCTCGGCTCTTCTGCGGTGGGTCTGCAGGGCGCATTCTGCTGCAGAGCGGAGAGGAGTTGCTGATGTTCGACACGTCCTCGCAGCAACTCGAAGGCAGCTTTGCAATCGGATCCGTGAAGCGAGTGAAGTGGCGAAAGGACGGCGAAGAAGTGGCCGTCATCACGTCCAATGGGCTGAGTGTCCTGGACCGCTCCTTGTCTCGCTGTGTCTCTGCGAGAGAGCACCAGCGTGTGAAGGGCGTGGTGTGGGACGCTGCTGGCGTGGCGATCTACTGCACGATGTCGCAAGTGAAATACTTGCTTCGGTCTGGTGAGCAGGGAGTCATTCGAAGTCTCGAAGACGTGGTCTATCCCCTGGCCATCAGAAATGGCGTGCTCATTGGAATTGACCGGTTGGGCAAGCGCGTCCGGATCGAATTGGACACGACGGAGTATCTTTTAAAAGTAGGGAGCTGCGTAAAAGGGCGACCCGTAGGAATACTTGGAGGAAAGAAACTACCGAGAAGCGATTCGCATCATTCAGCATAGCCACATCGACTCGCAAGCAATCTGCAGCTATCTGCAGCGAAACGGGTTTGAGGATATCGCCCTGCACTTCGTAACCGAACCCCGCGCTCGCTTCACCCTCGCGATTCGTTGCGGAAATCTCGAGATCGCTCTGCAGTGTGCTCGCGAGCTCGATCTCCCGGATATTTGGAACTCCCTGGCGGAAGAAGCGTTGAAACAGGGAAACCACGAGATCGTGGAGATGGCTTATCAGCACACGAAGGCGTTCGACAAGCTGAGTTTCTTGTACGTCATCACGGGCAATATGGAGAAGCTGCGAAAGATGTTGCGCATCGCGGAGCTCCGCAATGACATCATGGGGCGTTGCCATAACGCGCTCTTCCTTGGCGATGTTGGCGCCCGGATCTCGCTGCTGCGCGAAGTGGGGCAGCCTTCTCTCGCCTATTTAACTGCGGTCACGCACGGACTGGACGACGTCGCACAGGAGATTTATGAGGAGCTTCAGGTTTCTTGAGTCCGGGGTCGGATGAACTGTAGGAGGAAGGCTGCGAGATCCCCGCCAAGCCTCGCCACCCGTCTCTTCTTGTTCCGCCAGTGGCGGTTCTGCAGGAATCGAATTGGCCCTTGCTGGAGATGCCGCGCTCTCAGTTCGACAAGCTGATGGACGAGATGAAGGCGAACGGAGACGATGTGGCATCCGAGGCGGCTTCCTTCGACGAAGCTGCTTCCTACTCGTCCTCGATGGAGTCGGTTGAGTCGGAAGGCTCTGAAGAGTTCGGAGAAGGCGTGGATGCTTCCCGGTCTTCTCGATACGGCAAGGCCGCCGCTTCGGCAGGAGGAAGAACGGCGAGAGCCACAAATCAAGTGAAGGAAATCGAGCTTTCGGACGATTCGGAGGCCGAGAATCCTTGGAGCGACGATCTGGATTTCGAGGAGGAGGAGGGAGAGGAGGATTCGGCGAACGAAGAGGTCGCGGAGGTTCCCGCGGCTGCGTCTTCTCTCCCCTCGCAGTGGTGTCGGTCGTCGTCTCTGGCCGTCGATCACGTCGCGGCGGGCGACATCGACGGAGCCGTGCAGTTGCTGCATCGCCAGATCGGTCTGCTTCGAGTCAGTGCATTGACTGCTCCGATGCGACGCTGCTTCCTCGCGGTGCAGGCCACAACCGCAGGGTTCCCCGGCATGCCGATCCTGGAAACGCCGCTGCAGCGCGAAGGCGGCCTTCCGCGAACGATCCTGACGCTGGGCGATCTCCGAGCGGAGGCGAAGAAAGGGCTGAAGAGCTTCCAAGGAGCCCGGTTCGAGGACTGCGCCCAGTCCTTCCGGGAGGTTTTCGAGATCGCGCCGTTTGTGCAGGTGGGGGATCGCGGCGAGGAGAGCGAGCTGGCCCAGTACCTCGATCTGGCGCGCGAGTACATCATTGCCGTGAGACTGGAGCAGGCCAGGCAGAAGGCGAAGAAGGACATGGCGCGGTCCCTGTTATATTTGGCGTTGATGACGCGCTGCAAACTCCAGACGGCCCATCTGCTTCTGCCGCTACACAGCGCGATGGTCGCTTCGTTCAAGGCCGAGAACTTCATCGACGCGGCGGAGTACGCTCGCCGGATCTTGGAAAACCCCGAGATCAAATCACCTCGCAACGCAAGTTTGGAGCAGAAGGCGAAGAAAGTGCTGGGGAAGAGCGAAAAGGAAGGGCGCAACGCGATTCAGACCGGGCTTCTCGACGATCCGTTTGTCGTGGAGTGCGCCGCGCTGGCGCCTCTCTACCGCCAGGAGGAAAGAGTTCAGTGCCCCTACTGCCATGCGAACTACTGCAAGGATGCCAAGCAGACGGTGTGCTCGATTTGCGAATTGTGTCAAGTGGGAATCGAAACGGTGGGCATTGTGTGTGCGAATTCGCAGCAGTTATCTTACTGACGTGTTTGTTGAGAAACCACATTCTTTGCGTATTGGAGAATGGAAAAGCGGAAGTGAAAATAAAGCAAGAATAGAAATGCTGTTTTCGTGAGTGCTTCACATAATTTTTGACAAAATGGCAACAGTTGTGAAAAAGTTGAATATACTTTGCTTGCACGGGTATTTCCAGGATGCTATGGTCATGAAAGAGCGAATTCCTGCTTTATACCGCAAGTTGAAGTCTATCGCAAATTTCTGTAAACATTATGTGTTATTCTACTGAAGCGTAGACTATTTAGATGGTCCTTATGTAGTCAATAGCATGGAGGGCTATAAACCGGAATTAGGTGATACGTATTGTTAGGCAAGATTTATGACTCTTAGGAAAGTGGGTAAAGCATGGTGGATTCAGGACGCCGATAAGAATTATCCCCAGTTCAATGACACGGTTGACTATGTCTTGAAGTGCTATGAGGAGAATGGTCCATTTGATGGCATCCTTGGCTTTTCCCAGGGTGCTGGGTTAGGACTTTTCTTAGCTGCTCTTCAAGAAAAGGGAGATATTGCTACTGACTTCAAGTTTGTGATTAGTTACAGCGGTTTTTATCCTTCGGACATATCCCTTCAGGTAGGATCGTGGTATTTATACAAGAATAGAAAACGATGGATTCCAGAATGATTAGCATTCCTACATTGCATCTTATCGGGAAAGAGGATGATCGTGTGGAGCCCCAAAGCTCTGAGTAGCTGTATGGAAGATGGTTCATAGATAGAAAGGTTGCGAAATGCTTCATAGACCCTATCGTGATATATCATGAAGGAGGGCATTATATGCCTCAGAATGGGGAAATAAAAGAAAAGATCTACCAATTTCTTTTACAGTTTTTAAATATGGATTGTACTGTTTGAAGAAAACTCGAATTCATTGATAAACCGAACTTATGAATCATACTTCGCGGATATACAATCCATCCATTCTATTTTTATTATTATTATATTTCATTCATATTCCATCATACGAATTAATAAGGAACTCTTACAAGTTACTACTCTTTATACAACAAACAATACGACTATTTACAATACACAATACACTATATTATCATCATCAATCCAACCATTCCAAAGAAGGATCTTGTTCCACTTCAACACACAACTCTTCGAAACTATTACTACACATCGACTCGATTGTAGAAACCAGTTGCTTTTGGTTCGCTGTACGATGTGCTTCAACAACAATCAGTCCAGATAAACATCCAGGACGATTTATCCAGTATTGGAATCGTTTCACTTCAACAACACCTTCGATCATCGAGATACGACGGTTTATTGTACGCAATTCTTCACCGATTTCGCTCGAAATACCCAGAACCAAGATCTCGCCACAAGTCATCATCGACGGCCACGAACTCCATATTAGCAGCAAACACATCAGACAACATTCCACTGCATCACTGTACATCCATCTCCGAGATAAACCCATGGAACGAGACACCACCGTCATACTCACACTCAATACGTCCAAACATAAATGCATTCCGTCGCCAAACGAAATACTACCCACTGATGAAACCTCTGAGTATTAAACATTTCCTTTATCATTTTATTACTTGCTTCATAAACATCGCGAGAATAACGAAGTTTGTATTGTCTCTTGTACCATCGGAAACAGAAAATGCATATCAGTGATTCCACAAATGATACATAACTTATATAGTCGCAATATTGCAGAATATCATCGGATACTTCCATCTCTTTTATGTGGTGACCATCACTCAAACCATGGACTAGCTCTCCTAATAAGAAACAACAGCACTATCATATTAAATTTACCATCATTTTCATACTATTAGAACTGAGAGAGAAACTATAAATACACACAAGTATTCCACACGACCTTCTCGTTTTCGTTTGGATAATACACTCCCGATTATTACGATTATGTAGTTACTTATATGTTCAATTCGGTGAACACACTCTGTATAGAAACCTGTACATTATATCATATTCCTATTATATTCTACTTAGAGATTCCGTCATTACACCCAAAATCCCTTGAAATATACTCGTTACTAGACAAACCAGAATGAACATCCAAATTACTTTGTCTTCGCTACATTATTAATCATTTACACAATTTTAATACAATATTTCTTGTTTATGCATACTTAGATACTTCACACTTGTTTCTTCTTCTTTTCTTTCATTCATTCTTTCAATTGGTTCCAGGTTGTTTAAATAGCTGTTTGGTATTGATTAGAATAGTAATAATAGTCGTAATAATAATGGTGATGATATTGATAATAGAAATTGTTGGTATTATTGGATTATTTGATATGATTTGATTCAATAGTAAATTGATATTATTAATGATGGTATGGAAATAGTGTAATTGATAATATGAAAATGAATATTGAAAACAGAATGAGAGAACGAGAACGAGACTGAGACTGAGACAAAGACGAAGAGAACTGCATTGTAACACTTTTGAAATGAAATGAGAATTGAAGAATTGAAATCGAATCGTGAAATGGATTGATGGATGGAATGAAGTGAATGAGTCATTATATCAACAAGTCTTTGAACCATCCAACAATCATTCATTCATTCATTCATTCATTCATTCATTCATTCATTGAATCAAATAAGCACATTTGTAACATAATAAACAAACACAAATCGATCAATCAATCAAAGAATGAATTGCAGTCCCAAACCCAGCAATTGAAAGCTGTTCACAACCATTCTCTAACAAACATCTCACTTGCCCTTTCAACTAATCAAACTCACTAACATTCATTAGCTTCTGCACCTTCATCTTTCCTCGCAAATAATCTCCTTGCTGCTCCTTCCGCTTTGTTCTCTTTTCCTTGATCTCCTTTGCCTTCTTGATTGCATCGAACACCAACTGTTTCTTTTCTGAAGTGTGTCCAAAATCCAATTTTGCGCTTCCTTCTCCCTTCACGCTCGCCAACTCCACACTCTTCTTGTTAAACTTCTTGACCGAGATCTTTCCCAGCTTCTTAGGAGTTTCGTGCAATCCAAAACTAAGCCTCAGAATAAAAGAACACAATGTTACCTTTTCGCGACATGTCCAAAATGTAACAGCCGAACATTGAAAGCTCCCTTGAGTTCCTTCGAGTATGTAGCATATGCGCGGCAGTAGCTCATAAATCCCATGACAGCCAAGTCATTCAGCCCTTCGCTCTCTTCCACCGATCGGAGAATCGAGGCCTGGATTTCGCTTGCGGCGTGATTTCGCTTGGCATACACCAGCTTATGGCCTGGACCACTCTTACGCACACAGTCATCGAACCAGATATCGAAGTTGAACTGTCTCATGTTCAGTCCCTTATTCTGAAGAGTGAACACCATGCCCATTTCGGAGGGCTGCAAGAAAAGAAGGGATTGACCGCTCTTTCCTGCACGAGCGGTACGACCGACTCGATGAATATACTCTGAAATCTCGGTAGGGGGGTCGTACTGGATGACCCAGTCCACGACTGGAATATCAAGACCACGAGCAGCCACATCAGTGCAGATCATGGTAGCGAAGTTCGCCTTACAGAAGTCACGCAAGTTTTTCAAGCGTTGGTGCTGAGGCATATTCCCATGGAGACTCACCAAGGATCCCTTCACGATGGACGTGTCTATTCCGTCCCCTGGCCAACTCAATTCGCGAAAGAGTTCGTCATGGAATGCCACAGAGTCGCACGTGTTGACGAAGATGAGGATTCGGCAGTGGCGCTGATTCTCGTCACGCAGTTCCTTGCGAATGAAAGCACAGAGAGCAGGAAGACGGAGACTCGCATCGATTTGGATATAATATTGCCGTAGCTGCTTCGGGACTTTGAACTTCTCCTCCGTAGCATTCGCAGAACTCCCCGAAGCATCCGCAGCCGACTTGGGTGAGCTGGATGGAAAAGCCTGCTTATTGGTCAAAGAATCGGAATCAATAAAAGTAGGATTGTGAAGAGACAGCTCAGCAAGCTGTTGAATAGCAGGAGACAAGGTAGCAGACAGAAGAAGAGTTTGCAGAGGCTGAGTGATCTGCTTATGGAGCAGAGAAAACAGGTCCCGTAGCTGCTGCTCGAAACCCATGTCTAAAAGACGATCTGCTTCATCCAAAACAAGCATTTGGACACGCTGCAGTGAGAGAGAAGTCGTGTGAAGAGCATGATCCAGTAAACGTCCCGGAGTCGAAATAATAATATTGGCACCCTTGCGAATACGACTCTTTTCGCTCTTTCGCTTTTGGCCACCACAAATCACCGTAGGCACAATCCAGAAAAATGGAAGCAGAAGCTTCTTTAGTGTTTCTTCAATTTGGACACAGAGTTCACGTGTTGGAACAAGGATGATGACATAAGCGCCATCCGAACGATCAATCTTCGTAGGAAATGATTGCAGACGTTGAACAATCGGAATCAAGTATGAGAGGGTTTTTCCAGATCCAGTTGCAGACTTGATCATCACATCACCGCCCTGGCTGATAATCGGAATAGTCTGAGACTGAACCACGGTGGGACGCGAAAAGTTAAATACATTGGGACTCTTTAAAACCTCCACCTACGACTGAAGAGGAAACAACAGTACTACTAGTTTATCAGAAATTTTCAGGTCAGCAAACGAAGACGAAGAGAAAACGGTCTCATCTGTTTCCAATTTAAGGGGGTTTCTCAGACCCGAATTCGGTTGTCGCTTAATTGCAGAAGCTTCCTTTGGATGTTTGCGTGTTCCTACCAAAAGCAACATTCCATTATTCCCTACCATATTTTTTTTCCTTATTGTCCTGTTGCTCTTCAACTTCCTTTATATCTCGCTTTTTCGACTTTTTTACACTTGGATCATTTATTGGATTTGAATCCGCTGTTTCTTTGGTCATCTTTTGCCTTTTCAATCAATCACCCAAATTGGCCAAATAAATGGAATAAAGGGTGGAAACAGGGGTAATGAAACTTCCGTCTCACTTTGGCTACTCAGATTTCTCTATATTGTTTCGAAGTAATGTCCGTCGATCTGAGTATTCTTGCTAGAGGTATCCCTTTAGATCCTCTTCCTGAGCTGTTGTTTTGTTTTGTTAGCATTCATTTTTAGGAAGCCTTTAAATCCCAATGTGCCTCATGCTCCTAAGAGACCCGTGGTGCTCAACAAGGAAGAGTTCGTTAGAGCTGTACAGAATGCTCTTCGATACTTCCCTAAGAAATATCACGCTATTTTGGGTCCTGAGTTTGCTGAGGAGCTGAAGACGTATGGTCACATTTACATGTATCGGTAAGTCGTTCGTTTGTTCGTCGATCGTAGTTTCTACCCTACCGAGTACGAGATGAAGGCGTACCCCCTGAGCATGTATCCTGCCAAGTGCCAGCAAGCTGCTTGCATCCAGCTCATGATCATGAACAACCTTGATGCCCGCGTGGCTCAGTTCCCTCAGGAGCTGGTGACCTACGGAGGAAACGGTTCCGTGTTCTCCAACTGGGCGCAGTACCACCAGATCATGTACTATTTGAGCCACATGACGGAGGAGCAGACTCTGTCGATGTACTCGGGCCACCCGATGGGTCTGTTCCCCTCTCACCCGGACGCTCCGCGTATGGTGATCACGAACGGCATGGTGATTCCGAACTACAGCAGCCAGGCGGACTACGAGCGCATGTACGCGCAGGGCGTGACGATCTACGGCCAGATGACGGCGGGCTCGTACTGCTACATCGGTCCGCAGGGCATCGTGCATGGCACGACGATCACGGTGCTGAACGCGGGTCGTAAATACCTGGGCGTGAACGACATGCACGGCAAGGTCTACGTCACCTCGGGTCTGGGCGGCATGTCCGGCGCGCAGGGCAAGGCCTCGCTGATCGCCGGAGCGATCGGCGTGATCGCGGAGATCGACCCTGCGGCGCTGGAGAAGCGCTTCAAGCAGGGCTGGATCAGCGAGAAGGTCACGGACCTGGACACCTGCATCGCGCGCCTGAAGCGCGCGCGCGAGGAGAAGAAGCCGCTGGCGATCGGCTTCCTGGGCAACGTGGTGGACCTGTGGGAGCGCCTGGCGGAGGAAGAGGAGCTGCTGGTGGAGCTGGGCTCGGACCAGACCTCGCTGCACAACCCCTGGATGGGCGGCTACTACCCGGTGCAGCTCTCCTTCGAGGAGAGTCGTCGCATGATGCGCGAGGACCCCGTCAAGTTCAAGGAGCTGGTGCAGGAGTCGCTGCGTCGCCAGGTGGCCGCGATCAACAAGCTGACGGCGCGCGGCATGTACTTCTGGGACTACGGCAACAGCTTCCTCCTGGAGGCCTCGCGCGCGGGCGCCGACATCCTGGCCAAGCCAGGCGAGAAGACCTACGGCGTGGGCGGCTTCCGCTACCCGTCCTACGTGCAGGACATCATGGGCGACATCTTCTCTCTGGGCTTCGGACCGTTCCGCTGGGTGTGCACGAGCGGTCTGGAGAGCGATCTGGCGAAGACGGACGAGATCGCCACCAAGATCTTCAAGGACTACATCGCCTCGCAGCCGCCAGCCCCCGTGGCCTCGCAGCTGGAGGACAATCTGCGCTGGATCGAGCAGGCCGGCGAGAACAAGCTGGTGGTGGGCTCGCAGGCGCGTATTCTGTACGCGGACTGCTACGCGCGAACCACGATCGCCCGTGCGTTCAACGAGGCGGTGGCTCGCGGCGAGCTGACGGCGCCGGTGGTGATCTCGCGCGATCATCACGACGTCTCGGGAACCGACTCGCCGTTCCGCGAGACCTCGAACATCCAGGACGGATCGGCGTACTGCGCGGACATGGCCGTGCAGAACTGCATCGGAGACGCCCTGCGCGGAGCGACCTGGGTGGCGCTGCACAACGGAGGCGGCGTCGGCTGGGGAGAAGTCATCAACGGAGGCTTCGGAATGGTGCTGGACGGAAGAAAGACGACGCAGATCCGCCTGGAGAGAATGCTGTTCTGGGATGTGAACAATGGAGTCGCGCGCCGTGCGTGGGCTGGAAACGAGAATGCTCGCCTGGCTCTGGATATTGCTCGTGAAAACGAGTGCAGATATGAGTGGACGGATGCCCACTGGGCTTCGGAGGAAACCTTGAAGGACATTGAGAAGTTGTACTGTATTGTTTGTTGGAAATTGAATGGAAAGCATGATTCAATCATTGTGTATGAGACAAAGAACAACAAATAAAAAGAAAGAGTAATAAATATTATTATCTTCAAAGCATGAACGATTTGGGAGGATCAAAATTACGATACAAGCTTTCCTGAGAACGCACACCCCAAGAGGGGAAAACCATCAAGAGATGATACGAAACTAGAAGGATCAAGAAGTTCAGATTGAGATTTACAAAACTTGTGTGGAGATTCGCCCTCTTACAAAAACTATAATAAGCAAGACACACAGGGATCTTTAGTCTTTCTATCGATCATAATGATTTGATCGCCAACAAGACCGTAAATTGTCTACAAGGAATAAAAATAAAAATAACAAAAGTCTCACTGGCAAAACCTTCCCCTTATCTGAAATGACTGACCTCATTTCGCTCTTTAGTGTGCTTAGAGATACTGAATTCTCATGAGAGAAGATGATGTCAAGAGCACAAGCCGCTTCGTTGACACCTGCTTTTCCTTCTCTCACGAAACATTTACAAAGATGATGTAAGATCTCCTGTCGATGATCAATCTTCTTCTCTGTTTGCTCGAGGTCCAAGCTCTCACTTCCATGGGTAGAGACGCTCAGGGAGAGAGACGACTCCATTCCTTTAAGCAATGATTCTAATTCGACTAGCAAGGCAGCTTCCTCTTGCTCGCTCTGATCTAATTCGCGGCGCTTTATAGAGAGTTCATTTTCTTCGTCTTCTAAAAGTCCATCTGCCACTGATTTCTTCAGCCGGTCGAGCTCCGCTCTTTCTTCAGTAATCAAACTCTCAAGCTGGGTGTTATGCTCTTGGAGTTCCCGATACTGCAGAACCACAGATTGCATGTCCTCCAACTCTTTTAAGAGGAGCTTTTCCTCCTGCTGCAATGATTCCAGCTGAGGCTTATAAGGATCAGTATTACCAATACCTTAGACTGATATGTGCTTATTGTATTCTGAAACGACGTGATTTCATTTTCGATTACCATTTCTTCCTCCTGCATTTAACCAACGAAACAACGTACATACGTGTATCATATCTGCGAGTTGTTCTCTTTTCCTGCCAACGATAAACTGTTGATCAGTGCCTTTGTACTACAGAAGAGGTAATATGGATGGAATACTCGCTGGAGCTGATTACGGTAAAGCTCGATCTGCTCTTGAATCATAGAGTACTGAAGTTTCAACTGATTTACCTAAATGAAACCATCTATATAAATACTAACTGCTGGAAGGAACTCTGTCAGAGAGTATCTACTAATAAGTTGATCCATTTCTTCCATGATAACTTGAACGGTCCTTTCCTGCTTTCTATAAAAATCATGTAAGAATGATAAAAGTACGGCATATACTTTTGTTCCTCGATCCATTGGATATCATTTTGTGTAGCAATCTGCGAAGAAAAGGATGAGCGACGTTGCGAGTGAAAATGCATCGACCCCACACTCTGCAGGGTGTGGTTCGCTCTATCAAGAAAGGATAAGGAATTTTCCATAATTCCTTAAATTGATTTTTAATATAAACCAGAAGGATTGTAGTTTCAAAATTCTAGTGGAGATTCTGTGTTTAGATCAAATCATAAGACGAAGTGGCTTCTGGGAGAGTCGTTCAAAGGTTTGTTGTGTAGATGGCTTCTTTTGTACACTGACTATTCGTTGATTTTTTTAATGAAACAATACAATAGTTAAAATGGTTGGTCTATGATGGGATAATAGGAATGTTTCTCAAAAAGTATATAGAATCGGAGAAACAGATGGTTTGAGATGTAATAGATACTATGTCTCTAGTAGTATGTTAGAAGTGAAAGGTCAAAAAGCAAATGCCAAAAGTAGAACCCACTGGAATTTGTAACTTCGAGAATGATGTGGAACCCATCTCACTAAAAAAGTATCAGTCAACATGATATATCAGGAAGCAGGAATCTACGAAAATTGAAGATTCGTATTATTAACTACTACCACACTACCTCTTCCCCAATTCTTCGTCCCATTGTTGACTGTGCCAACCAGCCAAGGCAAAAAAACAAAATCAACGAAAAAAAGAGGTGTAAATCAAACAGAACACACACACAAAACTGTTCACAACTATTTCATCGGAGAATCCAACAAAAAAGGTGTTCCAGTCCGTTCACTCTCATTCGTATCTTGGTCTCCTCCATCCCTAAAATCACTTGAATGGCTCTTTAGAGATGCCGTGCTGCTAACACGCACACGATTCATTCCGGACGTCGATCGGCTAGATGAACGACTTGCTGTTGGACTAAACACCGAAACACCAGAAACATGCCGAGAGTGAAAACCTGACAACTAGGAATCACATCGCAATGAAAGATGCCACAGAAGTCGAAAAAACGCCAAATGGAGCAGAATCTTCTGGAGATATGGAGACAGATGTTGATGCCAAAAGAGTTAAATCCAGGGAGGATAACGACGCGATTGAAGGGATTGAATAATTATAGGTTAAAGTAAACTCTCCAGACTTTTGAATCACTTCCACAGGACAACGAGGATCTTGCGTCACACGTTCCATCTGCGTGAGAAACAGCTGCATACACCGATTTTCGCATTCCGTTGGGTTCTTAATAACCTGGTTGCACGGAATATCTCAAAATCAAAGAACAAACCCTCTATTTACTATCATAAGCACCCTTAAAAGGAAGAAACCCACGTAGCTCCACCTCATAGAACATTAGATCTAGATGAAAAGTGGAGAAAGAGCGTACCTCGCTTCTCGTCACTCACATGCTTCAGTGGAATTCGGTTTAGCAACCCAATCATTTCGCTCCAAATCATCCACTCTGACTGGAGAAACACAGAAAAGCGCTGGTGTTGACCGTTTCCAGAGTTTAACATATCCGAGTTAATATACTAGCATTTAGGTGTCCAAAAAAAAAGAATACACGCGGGCGGTATCCTTCTGCCTGCTGCTTCTGAAGCCATACGACGAACACAGCAATTGTTGGCATATGTCGCAATAAGAATTTTTCCTTTTTGTGGATAGATATCGAAATGGCCGTATTTCGAATAATCACCGAAACAGTTCGAAACAAGACTGACCACGCCAAAGCGCTAATCTGCGTGGTGACCGAAGACAATGTGACGTCATTGCCTTTCTTCCATCCATCGTCTGCCATGTAAATGGCAATCATAACGATTCGAAAGATAAGAGGCGCAGAGGCAGCATCGACTTGCAACAATTTATCTGCAAGGTCACAGTTCAGGACAAAACGCACTTAAGAGGGAAATACACTCGTGGAAAAGAATGCCAAATGTTTCATCGTTAGGCACATGATCCATCAGCAGCTTCTGTATCTCAATGAACTCGGTGACAAAGAGCTACAATATAAAGAGCCTATCCAAAAGTATACATTCACTAGCTGTTTCTTATTCAGCTCCGAGAGATTCCGTTCCTTTTCTTGGAAATAGAGTTTTTCATTCTTGGAGAGAAGAATCGACAGATTCCTTTGCGCATTACTGTAAGGCACGGCGCACGCAAGTGAACGGCAGTAACGATACATTGCCATGCAGTTCGCATCTTCGTATGTGGAAAGAACTGCAAGTTGGTGATGGCCCAAGCCGTTCGAAGGGTCTAAAGCAATGGCTTGCTTATACATCATTTCTGCATCCTTGAATAAACTTGACCCATCTGAGGGAGGCGGTAATACAAGTGACTGATATCGATACAAGTCTCCAAGATGAATGATAAGGTGGTAGCTCAATAAGACTTTTGTGTGCTTAGAAAAACAGGAAGATCTGTCTCCGGCTATGACATTATTTCCAACCTAATAAAAAACATTCAACTGTTGACGTGTGCTTGAGCTTCTTAATAATCTGTGTGTAATATTCAATACCCTCCCCAATAATAGACAATAAAGGCTTTATATCTGCCGGAGAATAAGGTTTTGAAAGGTGAGATAAGGCACTGCGCTCAATTTCAATGGGACGATAAAACCGGTTTTTCCACAAGATTAGGTCAATCTCGTTTTCTAAATAATAGCTGGGATCGGAAAACATCATCATACAGCAATTCTTCTCAATCCTAGACATGAACAACGAACAATGGCAAAACCATTTCTTTGCATTTTGAAATGTCCTTAGATCCACATTTTCATTTGATTTATATGCTCGTAATACCTTTTGAACCTGACTCAAGTTTCTAGTATTAACAATAAGAATATATATAAACTTCCGAAATTCATCTCGGTTAAGCTTCTCCCCATCAGGATTTGACATACTATCTATTACTAAGCAAGAGGTGGCTAATATATACTTTCTGGATTATTCACAATACCGTATGTAAACTCGAAAAGAAATGAAGCAGATTTCTAGAACTATTGAAATGAGAAACAACAGAACTAGAAAATGTGGGCGTTTCATCGGATAAAAAGCTATTCTTTTGTATTCTGGAATACTACATTGTTCATTTGAATTGAACAGAACAAGATAGAAGAGAATAGGAAGTGAAAAGGAGATACAAAGTTGAAAGAACAATCACCATTATAAGGGGAGAGTATTTTAGGGTGTGATAGGATGTCCGGATTTCGAATAGGGAAAGCAATTCGCATGATTATTTGTTTTTTCGTTTTGGGTAATGGTGTGACAACTTACCACATTTTCTTTCAAAAGAAAAGAATCGCATGAAAAATAGTGTGACATTAAATATGACCATTAGATTTGAGAAAAATAGGTTGTAGGGAATGATAATGCGATACATCTGGAGATACAACTTCTAACATATAGAATAGTTCATAAAAAAGGCGCTGCACAAGATATAGGAATAGTTACGAACTGCAGCCTACAATGACATTGTGATTCAATATGGCTAAGGAATAAAAGTAGTTGTGTCACATTTCTTAGCACTGGCCTTTATTCG